CCCCCCTTAAGCTGAGCGATGATAATATGCTAACAATCTTGGCTATACCGGATTTGGATCTCGGTGCATCCTCCCGAAGGAATTTCCGAGTTCCGGTCAGGTGTAAGACTCACATTACACAACGAATAGCTTGTCGAACCACTCCGATATTTCTTTATCGCACTATCTCAATACAAAGCATAAACCTCCAAATAGACCAAGATTTTTCCATCCTGGGAAGATAGACCACGCCCCCGTCTCTAAAGCCGCATAACCCTTGATCCAGTTTGCTTCCAAAGCAGAACAGAGCTATGGAATCACATGTGTATATGTCTATATGAAAAGAACATTTGAACATCAGAGGATCGTCACTATCCATTGCCAGGCCGAATTAGGGAAAAGGGCTAACCGAATCCATATAAGCAGCGGCAAGTCGCCTGCGGCATCTTGCCAACGAGTGACTGAACTCGAGTCCCGGCGAGGGGCCTCGAAAGAAAAGGATGTTAAATCATGTGCCTCATTACACCACGATTGTCGCAGGGATAGTCAATCTACAATGAAACATATCTCCGTGGTGACTTCAAGAATATGTGCAACAAGCTTTTTCCAGCTTGGAACGGATCATTCTCTAAAGGCATTATAATCCTTTTGTTTAGTAACATCTGCTTTTCATTATCATTATTGGGACAATCGATGTGGGTTCTTTTAGTTATCAATGGCTTTGTATAACCGGAAATCCTTAGCGCGGTGCCTGACTTGGACTACTATAACTATCGTCACTGAGTACCAGGGTTCTGACGTTTTGATGTTGCTGAAGGGGATACTCGCCTCAGTTCCCAGTAAGTGCACCGAACCTGAGAATGTCGGACCATCAAACGATCCAAGACTTTATGCTTACTCGGGCGTCCTGTCCTACACATAGCACTGTCTACGCTTTTATGGAGCCCTTTGTGGGCGATGACTGCACGTGGACAAGCCAACGGGTCAAGCGACAAGATAACCATGTGGTACTTACATATGGTACTGCCGTCGCTCATCAAGCCTACGTCGTAGTAGACGCTAATATCACTGAGGAGGACCCGCCGTATAGACGCTATACGGAGATGCGACTCAATCAGATGATTATCGACACCTATCGAGCCGCAGGTGGCAACCTGGATACGCTTCAGTACGTTGGCCTATATTGCATCCTCAACGAGTCCGTTCGGTATGCTATCGTCAAAGAGTTTCTTAGCCAAGGTCAGGATTTCCAGCAAGCTGCACAGGTCGAGGTAACACCTGCATCGGCGACATGGAATGATTCAAATCTCTTCGTGAGGAGTGGAGCTAACCTGGCACAGCATCTAGGGAGGGAGATTGACCGGATCGTGTATATCTCCCATGGTGGTTACCTGGATGACACGCTTCTCTATATGATCATTGAGTTCAAAACAGAGTTTGCTTCACTTGACGACCCAGGAAATGAGACACAAGCCATGGCAACTACGCCTGGCGACGACTTACAAGCTGGTACCGAAGATGAATTGGCTGAATATGACGATGTAGTTGTATTTCAGGGACGGGGCAAAGCGGAAGGTAAGTAGGCAGTGGTAATTTGGAGGCTAACATGACAATTACCTGAGTTCGTACCTTGGAACGAAGCTTCAATAACGGAGACGCCGGGTAAAATAGAACAAAGAAGACTAATCAAAATATATGAAGGTAAGTTACACAGAACTCTGTTCATCTTCGTGACATACTAGTCAAAGTATTGCTAGAGAAACTTGCGGAGCGCAAAGTGACATTCATAATCGCCTACACTTAGATGTCAAGTGAAGGAAAGTTTAGGTGAGATCGCTCATCTGCAACCTGATATTTAAACATTATCATATGGCACCATTCTCATGCTCACGGTGAGTGATGTCGCCCGCTGCCCTTTGACGTCGATATCTGTAATCCTACATCCACCGAAAGCCCGGTCCCTTAACTTCACCCAACATCCCCAACTATACAGCAAATCCGCTCGAATTCTATTTGCATGTCTCCACTCCTATCAGTGAGAGTATTCTTTGTACTCAGCTCCCAATAGGACGCGTGGGCGAGGTGGATGGTACTTCACGGCCTGCCAAACTATGACTCGAAGCACTCATGCCAATCAAGCCTCTGCAGCCCGCTTCTTCGCCAACCCGTTCAGCTTCTCCGCAGCCGCCATGATCGCCCTAGGATCCGCGCCTTGGATCATGGCCTGACCGTGGACGGCGACCTGCTTCCCTTCCTTGAAGAACATGAATGTGGGCATGGCCGTGACGCGGTATGCGCGGGCAACATCCTGTGCGTGGTCCACGTTCACTTTCGCAAAGGCCAGCTGGCCGGGGACGGTGTGTTGCTCTGCCAGCTTGGTCCAAATCGGGGCGATCTGCTTGCAAGGTGGGCACCAGTCGGCGAAGAAGTCCACAGCCACGTACGTCGTGCTGGACATCAGGGCCTGCAACTCCGGCAGGGAGGACGGGTGGTGCACTTTGTCTGCCATGGGCGCTGAGTGTGGTGGAAACGTCGATACAGCGATTGACCTTGAGGACGTGAGGGAAAAGGGCACCAATCTTCGCACCGCAGAGAGCTGATGTGACCTGCTGCGTCAAATATGTACCCACCAGTCGACATTCGATCGGGGACGAGGTGCTTCGCGAAGCTGACTAAATCAAGTGGCGCTTCCCCATCTGTGGCGGTGTTCGGTTGATAAGCCACAGGTACTCAGAACATTGGTGTGTCGGCCGCTTGGTGACTTGAAGTCTGTTTCCCACCTTCGTGTACCCTGTGCAAGTCAGGCACGAATTAACTAATAGCATGTCCATCATGGAGCAGAGTGTGTGGGGCGTGGTTCTGTTGGTACGGCCGCAATGGAAAGGTTTCATTCGTCAAACGATGCCCTCATAAGTACGGTGCAAGCCCTCCCAGGCTAATGAACCTTGCGGCATTCCCAGAGAGCTGGAATCCAATGGCTGACTGGAGCTCCGACACAGCGATTGAACGCATATCTACTTGGCAAAGTATGTAATGTATGGGATTTAACAAGCTGTTATGTATATGAACTGGTTGATTCTGGTGGTTGAGGGAAGCCAAGCCAGCCAAAACTCGCTGCAGCCAGTAACTTGGGTTACTTCATTATGTCCATCATGTACCTTCAAGAGTGAATGTTGGGAGATAGTCACAATTGTGCTAGCAGTGTCAGCTTGGGCTCAAATGTCTTCAAGGGACGAAATTGGTGTTGCAACAGTGTCAGGAACAGAGCGGGCATCTGGTAGCGGCGCAATTCGATGTCAACATCAAACCGGATGGCACGGACAGAACGTGCTCCCCTAGCTACCTCCTCAATCCCAACTCAGCATCATTCTGGGAAAGTCGACCTCAAGTCAGCTGTGTGCCAAGGCTGACCAGACACCCACATGCCCGGGCCCGAGTGCTGCACTCCCCCTGAATCCTTCAAGTCTGAACTGGACTGTCTTTCCCTCGTGGATACGACCCCCACGTGTGCGAAGAAGACCCATAGGTGTTGCGGTAACAGCCAAGAATTCAGTCATAGCCTTACGGGTGAAATTGGCGATCGAGTGGCCATCAGTGCTGGGTCGCTTCAGGTGGTGACTTGAGAAGTCGTTACATCCTTAGCTCTATCCCACAATCAATGACTAGACATGATACGCATGTGCACCTATCAGCAGTGAATTTTCAAAATAAAAGAAGTTACTAAGTTGTACGTGGCAGCCGCTTTATTGCGTTACGTTCGTGGCAGGACGCCATCCCACCTCGCCCAAGCGATCTGGCTGACAAGAGTCAACGTGCTGCAAGCCCCGCTAAGGCGAGACAGATCTGAGCTTGGCATCATCAGTCTGGGTTGCCAGCGGGTGGTGTTCCATTGTATGAATCCGAGAAAGAAATAAGGTTTGCCGCGCCTAGGTGCTGATCCCCTTCACGCAGAGCGCGTACCGAGGGACATAATGATAACAACAAGAATATGAAATATCACTTAGCTTAAATGAGTATAACACAGAGGCAATAAGCTCGGGCCAGGGATAGTTGGCTTGCTGGGCCTTGCTAATCCTCGCTCGAGTTGGAAGACATGGAGAAGTCATACCATATGCAATAGGTGAAGGCTAGGAGTTGACCAAGGGCATCGACACTTTGTGCATGCCCTGGGCTGACGGGTTTCTTTGTTGACTTTGGGACGTTCCAGAACGCCTAGGCAGTGTTTATCCAAAATCGTGTCCGTTTTACCCCAGAGGTATGGAACCTAGGGCGCCCGGTGGGTGTGCAGCACGGCGCTCGGTTGCTTGCTCGCCCCACCTGCGCAGTCGTTGCAGGTGGCCAGTGACTAAGGTGCCCAGAAGTGCTGAAGACTTGCTCCACAGCGGCCTACTTCTTTACAATTCCCCAGCACTGATTTCATCCACATTGTAAAGACAGGCTGCTGCAGCATCGCGCGCAGCTTGTCTCTCACCCACAACCTGGAATAGAGTGCTATAATTAAGCTTGGTGTCGCCCGAAGATGAACTTCATCAGGCCTCGTTTCTAGTCACCGGCACACGGCTATACGGCAAATAGCTGCCTCACCCCGCGTTTGACGGCCGCGAAGCGAAGCACATCAACAACCACATTAGCCTTGAGAAGTTGCTCCAACACCTAATGGACAAACCGCTGTTCCGGCGGCATGGTACTTCCAATACGACTCCTGATCCTACGCTACCCACCTTCTGGTCACCCTGCATTGATCGCCGGGGTGAAAGGTAGCCTGACTGCGTGCTACAGGGAGTGGAAAAACGCATTTCCCTGGTCGTATTATAGCGCATGGGCAATGATCATAAAGCTGAAATCCAGTCTCAAACATGCAAAAAGTTCCGAGATGCGGACATTTTCACCCAACCTTGACGAAGGAAGGTAAGCGCATATGATTGCAACCGAATGGTCACAGGCAGGACTTACTAGTACCGAAATCTCGTTACGCACCCAACCTTATTCTTAATGGACTGCAACTCGCGGACTATTCCTTACGCAACATCTCGAGACAATGAGATCTGCCAGGGGGCTGCCGAAGACCCGAATGATACGCAGCCAGCTCCAGGTAGGCACAGAACAGCGTTCACTCCCCTTCAAGTGTTCCCGGAGATTTTGAGTTATGGTTTGCAGGGCACAGGTACTCTCTGTGTCTACGCCAGCTTGCCAGTCCTGTCAATGAATCCTAGGCTTTCACAGTAGGCTCTCTACAATCCAACGTATGTTGCGCACATGGCTCCATTCCGCATGCTTCGTGTCAGCAGCAGCGCCCTGTGTGCATGCCCGCAGCCCAGCCTACCGTTCTGATTTACAAAACTGTTTTGGCCGATATTCTACGCGACACCGATCTTCAATGCAGCGCGCGTCTGGCTACGGAGTTGTTAGTTGTGTAAGATTCCCCAACCTGACGCAACTTGCGATTTAGTTGAGAGATTCTCTGGTAAGCATGATAATGAGGGTATTTCTCCGGAATGCATAGCCGTGGCTGTATTGGCCTTGAGCGAGCGACTTGGTGTCCTGAAGTGAAGGACGGAAGATCCTCGCGTCACCCCCTGACCCCAGGCTGCTGGTCAGGGTAGGCCGTCGCGGCTCGCCTGTCGATGGAAAGCCGCGGCCGTTGAGGCTCTTCGGGACGCAGGGACGGCACAGCTACAGGGCATGGTAGGCAGGGAGGTGCTGGCCAAGCCTCGCCGTCTGCCGAATATGGTAAACTAGCTTGGTCTGGTAGGTCGATCGGGGTTTGCAGAACCCCAGCTCGGTGTGAAACCCTAGGCCCCTCTTCTCACCCCATGCTGAGACAAGAGACCCTGGCCCACTTGTCGCATCTTTCAACGACGTCTCATGCAAGACGCGCGACAGTCTTCGTATGCTTCGCCAGAAGCCCAGCTGAGTGGCTCTGGTCCTCGACGGAGGAACCCACCGAAACTCACATGAGGTTCACAAGACCACATCATACGGGCTGCAGCGAGTTACACCACCCGCCGGAACAACAGTCGCGCCTGGCCATGCTTGCCGTCCTCCTGAGTTTTGAAGCCATGAGGAACCTTGATTCGTCCAATCCGGGCGTCTTCCGCAGGTTTTGATGGCCAAACAGTTTCTTTCGGTGGTAGTTTCTCGACCAATGGGTGGCTCCAATGAGTCTCTCACAGGTAGCTGTTGGTGTCCCCGTTCTGCATTCCCCCTCAAGTGTCGAGATCTGGAAAGGTGGACTTGCCCCAGGCCATTGAGAGACCCCTGGTCCTAAGCCCACGGAGTAAGTTCCACAGACCTTGGCCTGTATGTGCCGAGGCGCACGGTCTTGAAGTCCAGGCCATGGGTGCCCCTTGCTGCAGCTCACGGAGACCAAGATTATGCTCATAGATCTCCCAACTGGAGTGCGGCAGAGATCTTTACCAGTTCTGACACCCTTCCCTACACTCTTTTCTCCCACTCTCTCACATCCTTACCTTTCCTTTCGTTCATTTCTCCAAGGCAGGGCCTTTTGTTGTCTTTACCTTCTCTTCGCTTTGAGTTCTGGGGCTGGACTCACTTCTGCCACATCTGCCCTGCTTGTCAGTGGGCTATATTTATTTAATACGATACGCGGGCGTCCGTTTTCCACGATTTCGAACTCGATCTCACTTCGGTCATGCGTGAGGCGCGCTAGGAGGCAACCTTGCTGAAAGCGTCCCGGCGCATGTTGCCAAAGAATGTTGGAGGAGCAAGTGATGGCGCCATCGAAGGATAGGAGATCAGTCCCGGGCCATGGCCAAGGAGAATCGTCGGACGCCGTCATATCGAGGTCGTCCCATCAGCGAGATGTATCAAGCTCTGTGAGCGATAGATTAGGTACCAACCGTCGGAGTGACGATGGAGGAGATGGAGATGAAAAGGGCAGCGACAGCGATGATGGCGACGGCGGCAGCAGAGGAAACAGCAATGGAGGGGACAGGAATAAGGGGAGCCAGCACAGCAAGGATGATGGCGAGCATCACGACGATGACCGGGGTAACGGCGGTGGACGAAACAACAACAACGGCAATGGGAACAACAACGACAATAACAGAGACAATGGTGGCAGCAGCAAGAGCGAAAGCTCGGCGACCAGTATCGTGGTATCAACCATGATTCCTACGCTACCTTCGGTAACCGTACCACCCACGTCGGCCACCACTACATCAGCTCTCTCAACCTCGTCAGTGCCACTCATTTCAGTTGTCGAGTCGACAAGTGTGGTCACGACAACTCAGATGGCCACGATGACCACGATCATACCGATAATGACAACTTTTGATCTCACAGACCAGCCTAGGAAAGGCTTGGATCCAAACTTCACACCACCTTTTCCTATAATTGAGCCACCCACATCCCTGCAAACCATCGCGCCAACGGCAACCGACACAACTGCAACCGCAGGCGCAACGGCCATCGCACAGACCGAGGGCGATGACAGCGACAGCGACAACGATAATGACAACGATGGTCGCCACAGTGGCGGGAGGAAGGACAGAGGTGACAACCGGCCTCAGCCCGGTCTTGATCCAACGGCGGAGCATGCGCTCATCGCCGTGGGGTCAATTGGTATGAGCCACGCGTAGGGTCGTCTTCCCAGAACAGTGACTAACATTCTCTGTAGGTGGTTTTGTGCTCTTCTGTTTCATCACCTGGATTATCTATCGCACAGTCAAGAAATCCAGGCAAGGTCAGAACTTCAACGGACGCAAAGCCGGCTTCTTGACCAAGCTCCCCTGGCGCAAGAATCAGGGAGATGCCGCGTGGGATAACAGAAGCGTATTCATGGCGAGTGATCTTCCACCGTTGTACCAGCAGGGCAGCCAGAACTCGATGTCAAACGCGGGCTTCTACGGGGGAGACAAGGTCTACCTTCAGCAACAGCCACAACCGGGACCCCTCAGCCGGTCAAATACGGGCGGCTCGCAAAGAAGCCTGCTGCCGCCAGGAGTGACACCGGGATCCGTGATCATGATTCCGGCAGAACAATACATGGCCATGAGCCAGACACAGTCGCCCATTAGCAGTGACCCGAATAGCACTTTCAGGTCACGCATGCCGGACCAATTCTTCAACCAATCCGAGCTGGCCCGTCAGCCGTCCGATGCGTATGATCCAACCCGCAGGCAGGTACATCGGGCCAGCGAGCTGTCGTCGCTGTCATCTGGCTTTGGCGACGGAGACATTATTGTGCCCGAGACATTTGTCAACCCCCCTCAGCCAGCGGCGACGCAGCTACGGCAGTCAAACAACTACACCGCGCGGTTCTCATGGATGGGCCGGAGGGATGCTGGAGATCGCGAGACGGTATACACAGCGACGAGCGAGGATCGGCCGGCCAGATACCGTTCTGTCGGCAGCTGGGTCAACCAGCAAAGTGGGAGGTTGAAGAGAGCGGATGAGAGGCAACAGAGTGAGATGAACGCACCGCCAGTACCAGACCTGCCATCAGATACCAGTGGTCAACAGAGGTGACCATGATGGAGCCTGGGAAAGAGAGAGAGGTACAAGAGAATGCATCTTCGTTTCTGCATAATCTGCCGCGGGCGCTTTGCATTGGTCGAAACATGCATATCAAAAGGGGACATTTGGGGGACCGACTGTAATACCATATCATACCACGTTCATACTTGTTCGTTCATACCTGTATATAAACTCCGAGCTTTCTGTCACATCTAGCTAGGCATGGGAAGTTCTTCACGCAGCGCGTCTCAGAGCGGGTCAACACCCCCCGCGGCTGGACATGCTGCACAGAACTGCAACTCGAATAGGCAATAAGGGAAAGCTGCTTTTCAAGCATGGCGAGGCGCAGTATTTGGAAATCTAGGTTGGTAATATCAAGAAGGATTTCACCATACTTATCCCTATGGCTCTCCTGGACCCATGTGATCACATACTTTATGGCGACTATCTAAGCTACGACATCGCGGGATAGGGCGAAAATGTAAGAGAGAGCCAGTCGGCTCTCAGAGAGGTGCAAACTTGGCAGTGTTTTCGTTGCAGAGCACTTCCCTATCGCGACGGTATCCCTTGAGAGCTAACCCAGGCCGGTGGCTTCACACACCAAGGTATTGTGCCCAATCTAGTCCGCAGTTTCAGTCCGACCCTCCGTGGCTGAACATTGACTGCGGTCAGGCGCTCTGCTTTCTAGGGCGATTACGCACGTGGTGTCTGGTGGCCACGATTGTACCGATCGGTTTGCTTGCGTCACAAGCAACCAAGATTATGGTGATACCTCAGGGGTGAAGTGGTTGCAGGTAGAATATGTTGGGTTTGAGAGGGCCAGTAGCTTCGAGATTGTCTAGTCCACGAATAAGCGCGAGGCCTGGAGATCAAGAAGACTTGAAACGAAACATCTCTGATCATTGCCCAGCTGGGCGCAACAGCTATAGTTGGCATTGTAGTGTCCGCGCGTTTCTCGGGGCAGCGAAACTACCTAGTGGTGCCGAAGTCCACCCATTCACCTATTCACACACGACCGTCTTGCTTGACCGAGCTCCCCATAAACACCAGGGTGCAATCCGGGAACCTGCAACTCCCTGCGGCGACGGTCGCATTCGCATCCTGGCTCTGGCGATGCACAGCCCAAAGACGGAACGGGAGCGCTAGTCTCAGTACCAATTAGGCGGCGTCCCAGCGCCCGTCTCGCCTTTGGTCGCCCGTGGCGCAGCCAATGACGCAGTGAACGGCAGGGCCTATATCCGCCGGCAAGGAGGCCGTTCGCAGCGTCCAGTACCGTCCCGCCATCCAACCAGCAGCCCACTTGCAGGCCTGGAGAAGCGAAGGCCCCGCGACAGAGAGAGACAACAAGCATGGCGTTCAAGGCTGCCATATTCTTGTCCCTAGCACCCACGACAACGACGAGCTCCTGACGATCCGTCGATCACTCATTCGGTACTCTCGCTTTTACTGTGGATTCACGAATCCTTGGTGCCTTGAAAAGCCCGCACGGGTATCCCTCGCTCGGTGCATTCCACACGTGGGCCTTTCGACTCAGCCTCGCATTCAGCTGACCAGGCCTCGTCATCCGGCCCGTCGGTCAGAGAGCGACATAATTGAAACGAAACTCTTCTTTTCCCGCTGCGATAGCCTCGTTCTGTGCTTTCAAATATTTTCGCTCACTTCAGTAAAGGGCATATACCTGTTGTAGCTCGATTTTCATAAAGACCCGTCTTCCGTGACGTAACCGAACGACGACGACGCTGCTTGAATCCAGCCTGGTGTTGGCTCGTGTCTCTGGGGATAGCCTCCCTCCCATCTAACCCAAGATGCTCGACGAAAACCTACCCATCTTCTTCACCAGACCATCGTCTGATAACTCCCTCTCGACCCCGGTCTACTTTACCCAGAATGGCTCCGAACCGCTGCCCGAGTATGCCTACCGAAGACCAAATCCGGCGGCGCCCGAGTCCAAGAACAAGTTCGCAGTCGCGCTGGCAGATGCCACAAATCAGGATGTCATATACGGGGAGGTCCTGATCGAGCCGGACTGGCAGCAACCCACGCTCTCCGCCGCAGAGATAAGGGCACAAAACGGGGTGCCGCCGCCCCTGGTTCCCATGATTCCCGACAGCTTCACCATCCAGCTGTACAACCCCGACCAGCAGATCGTGGTAAAGGGAGAAAAGAGCACATGGACTGGCAAGGAGTCATGGGAGTTTGAAATACCACAGCAAAGCTTCAAGCCGCCCTCGACCTCCAAACTGGACCAAGAACAACAGACGGAGCCGCTCGGCAGCATCTTGACCCCCAAGGTCATGTTCAGGTGGAAGAGGGACAGCAAGTTCTCCAAGGATATGACATGTTACATGACAGGGACGGCATTAGGGAAGCAGAAGAACAAGGATCCCGATATCACAGTCGCCATGTTCAGGCAGGGGAGGAATCCGGGCCTGACCATCTACGAGCCGAATCTGAACAGGGTCGAGGTGGAGGATCGCAAGGGCTTCGAGGTCGCGCTGCTGCTGGGCGCTGAAGCCATCCGCGAGATCTACTTGTTCCCCAACCGTGAGTCGTTCAACCTCGCCGGTGCTCCGCCCAACAAGCGCAAGAACTCTCGCCCCCTACCCGGTGGAACCCCGCCGAAGACGTCCTCCCCTGTCAACAACCCCTATGCCATGAGCGGAGGCCTGGGCAACGCTCCCCCAGCTCAGGCAGCGTCAGCAATCCCCGCGAAGTCAAGTTCAACACCAGCGGGCCGGAACCAGGCGGACGTTGATGCCGAGACGAAGAGGCTACAGGCGCTGGTCCAGAAGGAAGAGCGCGAGCGTGAGAGGCGGGACAAGGAGGAGCAGAAGCGCATTAAGAGGATGCTCGACGAAGAGGAAAAGGAGCGCCAGCGCCAGCAGGCCGAGGTCGCCAAGGAGACGGAGCGTCTCAAGAGGGAGTACGGCATGGCCGGCCAGGACTACGAAGCCAGCCGACCGAACCTGCCACCGCGGCCATCCGGCCAGGCCAACGGGCGCCATCCTCAAGCCTCGCTCCAGCCACCCGGCGCTCTGAACCCCCCTCCCAGACCCGTGAGCGCTGGGCCTTCACATTCCTTTAGCAACTGGTTCCACGGGCCTGGCGTTGGACCTGCAGGGCCGCCGCCCCAGCCTCATGTAACATTCCAGCAGCCTCAATCAAGTTCGGGCAGGAGGAGGGGGGAGAGCGACGGAGGAAACAAGATACAGAAGAAGCGTAGTGTGTTCTTCTGAGTCGAATGAATCTTTCCCGAGATCTCTGAAATCAATATTGGGTGTTATTTCATGATACGGTACGGGATAAGGGGATACGCAATGCATTGTTAGGCGCGGTGGAGTTCATAGGGGGTTACGTCTAAGTATCTTCGTGCTTCGGGTTATTCTTCGGTCGCATAGCATAGATATGAACTCATGATTTGAATGATACATCAATATTCCGCATAATGCCTGGATGTAGATGGTGATAGGTTGTGCAGTGTCTCAGTCGTGTTCGCCGCTGGGGCGACGTTGATAACGGAGTACACCGAGTGTCGTAGGCTGTTGACCAGGTTGAGCCGGCACTCTGGGAGGTGCCGAGTTCCAAGCCCGTGAAAAGAATGGGCCGGGTTATAGATGACGTTATGAGAAAAACTCATACGCCTATTTGGATATGTAAGACCTCAGAGTAAGGCGTAGACAGCCAATATGGAGACTGCGAGGATATGACCAACAACCGGAAGTCAGGAGAGCAATGTGCATGAGCGACAGCGGGCACATCTGTGTGCCATTAGCTCGACCCGAGATGAATATTTTCCTTGCAACCTGCATGGTAGTCTACATCAATGTCATAAGAGTTAGGTTACGCGCGGCGTGACATTAGACTCGGCTGCCATATTTGGCTGGTTCTCTTGCATGCTTAGAACAGATGAATGATCCCCGTTGGAAAGAAGCGCATTCCGTTCTCACTGAGTACTGGCCATTCAACACACCGGCTCCAGCACTTGACTTTATGAGTCCTTCATGAGATAATACTCCTCATATCACATTCGGCATCAGGACGATGAGGCCTCATCACTCGTCTCGAAACCCGTACTGCTGCACCTTCCACGGCTGTCTACGGATCACTACTCGTCTTCACCCACACATCTCTCGGAACACCAGGTACGCACTCTAAACATAAATTTGACACCAGCCTCATCCTGGACAGCAGTCTGACTTCTACCTTTCTCACTCATCTTCCGAAGGTCGAGGCTTACCATACATTCTCCGCCATATACATTTCTCTCACAACTAAACATACCTCTGGTGCGTCGATTGCCCCAATTCACCACCCTCTTCTCCGGATTCGTTACACGTTCCTTCTCAAGGTACCTTCCCTGAACCTCGAACGGTATTTCGGTGCAATCGTTGTTGCGAATCACCCAGCCCCATCTCAAAGTATTTGACGCATCCTCCTTGAGATTCGTTCAACTAGCGACCACCAATATCCAGGTCCTTGCCTCTCCCAAGTGCATTGACATACCGCATTGGTCCTTGACCTACATTTGCATACTCTCATCATCAGGTGTACACCTGCTACATTCCTCCCCTTCCACCAAAGCCCAATATACCCTGTGGCTTTGATTTCCTCAACTCGTTCCGTATCTCAGACATACTGCGCAGGTCATCTGGTCAACCAGTATTTCCGATTCTCTCATTCCACATTTTAGTGACTTGCGTAAGTACCCAACGCAATTCATTGGTTCTTGCCCTCTTATGAGTCCTCCATCATTCGATATTGATAATTCGTCGCACCTCGTCTCAATTCCTCACCCCTTCCCACCTACATCTACAACACTCGTCGTTAGACGAATGCAATGATATACGTACATTGCACACATACCTACACACCTACACAGTTCCACTCAATTCCTTCGTCGGGCCTCAACTCCATCCCAGTGGTAATACGAGAGCCTTGATATTCTCCAAGGTACATCTACTCCGGAGGCATTCATCACTCGTGGAACGATTGGTTTCTTACCCGAATCCACGGCCCTTCCAATTTGCAAGGAAAGCACAACAGGAAGGTATCTCAGAAACCCGTTTTTTCTCTTCTCAAATAGTACCACGCTACGCAGGTCTCACGCTTTTGTTATCTGAGTGTGCATGCCTAGGTAACGAACCTTCTGTTTTCTTTTCTCGAAGGTAGAGTGACAGGCCACCTTCTTCTTTCTTCAATTCCGTCATTCAGATTTCGAAACACACTGTCGATGAAGGTAACTGTTCTCGTCCGGTCTTCGTCATATTGATTCCCCAGTCTACACACCACCAACCAAACCACTTACTTGCGACGATATTTCTGTTATCGTTGCAACACACCACCACCACCTTTCAACATATTAAGGCAGGTAGCCATCCGCCAATTGAACCGACATAATGGCCCCGAAAAGTTTAGACGGAAAGCCCAAGGCCATCTTCAAGAATATCGTGGTTGCCTTGGCTGGCAAAATGAGCGGAGATTTCACAGATGAAAAGCTCACCGAGTGGATGAAGCTCCGAGGTGGAAGTTTCTCGGCTGAGTTTGATAACTCGGTTACACACCTGGTCGCATCAAAAGAACAGTTCAAGAAGAAGGTGCCTCGAGGTAAGTTTTCCTTTCTGACATATCATGACTGATAAACATATATGACAAGGCAAACATCCAGCGTGATTACTGACACATCCACGCATAGTCAAGGAGGCTTTGAACCGAAAGAAGGTCGAGATTGTTGACCCCAACTGGCTCGAAATGTCTATGGTTGACAACAAGAGGCGTGACCTCAAGCATTACTCATTCAGGGCCAAACACAACCGACTCAAGGCCAAGCAGGCCAAGGCCAATAAGGCGGCCAGGGGTATCGAGCAGGACGCACGCAACTACGTCAATACTCGTAAGTATCTCTACAAAGTCTGCTTTATCCCGCCCTGACTTATACGGGACAACCCGCGGACACCTGCTTCGTTGATTTCATTCTCCACTTTTCCCGTAAATCTTGTTATCCCATAATACCCTCGGACTATGCCCCAATGCGAGATATGTTATGCCGCTCTTGTCCTACACTCAGCGGTCCCTTTCCTTATTCCACGGTGCTGCACACAGACCTGTAGCTATACTTGAGGCTTGGTCTTGCGCGTTACCCTTTTACCTCACACCACAACGCTTCTTCAACGTGACAAGCACTTCTCCGCTCGGATCAAGTCTGCTAACATGCCGGCCAGACCTCTACCACGTCTACAGCGACGAGACTGTCTTTCGCTACCAGATCGAGTTGGTGAAAAATGACGGCGCACGTATGTACCTTGAAGTAAGTCATATTTGCTCTCTACACTTACACTTGCACCCCATCCCCCTTCCTCCCCCCATTACTCCACTGGCCACCCAGGTCAGCTGACCTTTCGCACAGCTGTGGGAGTCCAACAACAAGCCACATTTATACTTCTTCGCCCTCCGCTACATCCGTTGCAAGGGCGCGCCGATGATATACCAAAGAGAGAGCGAGACACCCGGCCCTTTCGACCGCGAGTCTGATATGTTTCGTAAAGCCTTTTGCGATAAGGTAGGCATACTCTGGAATGATCGCATGGATGAGGCCGACGGAACCGGCTTGGTCAAACCGGTTAAGGGCAAGATGTACTCCTATCAGATCCCCGTAAGTCTGAACCTGGCTCTGCTCCGACATTACCGCTTGGTGTGAAGTACTAACATGTCGGTCATAGACACTTGGTAAGCCCGTTGGTCATGTCCGGGGTAAGGTTTGGGAGCGACCTGAGGAGAACCAGGACCAGCCCAACATCAGTGGAAGCACGTCCAGCTTCGGTGACGGCGAGTCGTCCAGCAGTAGCGCTGCTTCCACGGGCAATAGCGGAAAGTCGTCTAGCACCAACGTCGCCGCAGCCGGCGAGTCATCTGGCAACCCCTATGCCTCGATTTTTGGCAATGGGGAAGCGTCTAGCAGCGGAAAGGGCACGAAGGTGAGTAAAGCCAAGCTCACTATTCGCAACAGCACCGCTGATGCTGGTGTCGCTACCAAGGACAAGGGCAGGAATGTCATTCGCAACGGAGAGGGCTTCAACAGCCACGCCGCACACAAGGACGGCCGAGGCACGTCCGCATCATCTGCGATCGCTATCGATGACGACGACGAACAAACCGGTTTTGGCTCGTTCACGGGTTTCGATGCCCTCCAAGACTATAACAAGGGCAAGATCAATGAAGCTGGCCAGCCAATTACTGGACAGGACACTACCATGACGGATGCGGCTCCTTCGGGCGCGCCAGCTGAGCTGAAGTCACCTGCCCTGCCGATGACGCCACTTCCCATCACACCCGAGAAGCTCATCGTTCCGTGTGAGCCTAATGCACCGCGCAAGGCCGGTCCGCCTGTCGCCCCGGGCGAGAGCTCCAACGCCACTAAGGCCCCTTCTGAGAGCCAGCCGAAGATTCTCAACGGGACCGCCCCTGCTCCTTGGATGAACGACGCGCAGATTGAGGCTTTGGGAGTCCTGAATGCACGAAGGGAGAGGGAGAAAGCTCTCAAGGCGGCAAATGCGAGGGCGAGGGCTCTCAACAAGAAGAAGCTACCGACCGTCGCCAGTATCCACGCACAGGCGAAGGTCGACACGGAAAAGAAATCTGAGGCTGCAAAGGAGAGCAAGGGCCAGGAGTCCGGATCTGCCCCCACCGCGATCAATCCCCAGCCTGAGAAGACGGCTATCACAGCCTACAGCGCAAAACACCAAAAGAACATCACCAGGCCGGCCCCTGCCGCGGATCCCCAGCAGACGCCCAACGCCGCTGCCGGCAACGCCGCTACTAATGAGCAGGAGCTTCTTGCCAACGAACAGAAACTCCTCTCCGTCAAGCGCAAGCAGCCCGAGCCCTCTGTCCGCCGCGATCTGGATGACCTCCAGAGTGCCGCTGGCGCTGGTGCCGGCGCCATTGCCCCTGCCGGCGCCACCGCTGCGGACGATGACACGACGACTGCTCCATGCCCTGCCAAGCGAGCCAAGACGGCGGGATCCGCCAAGAAGGCGAAACCGAAACAGAAGAAAAAGAACCAGGACGGCGCCTCGGCGTACGATATTGGCGGGGGCGATGACGCCGACGTCGAGGACCTCAGCGACGGCGACTTCGACCCCGACGAGGACGAGGACAGCCCGCCGCCCGAGGAGCCCGCGGCCGACAAGGTTGCGGGCCTGCAGGACCTGATGGCGCTGGACGCGCGCGAGGCCGATGCGCAGGGCGCGCAGGATTCGGCCACGGGCGAGGCGGCGGCGGACGCCGAGACGGACGACACCGATAGCAGCGACGACTCGGGATACGAGTCCAGGGCTGTTCCGTCTGGCGGATGCGGCATTCAGCCTGCCGGAGCTGGTGGACAGCCCGGCGAGGACAAGACTGTGGTGGAGCCCCAGTGAGGCAGATGCTTTCAGACACGGATTTTGACCTCCTGGGTTGGGGGATATGGGCTGGGGGCCACGACGTGAGTTCTGGGTTTAGAATGGACGGTGTGGGTTTGTCAGGGGCCGTAACATGACTGGCTTGAGACAAGGCATGTCGTATCTGATGCACCGACGGCGGTGCCTTCATAGTTCGCGATGGGTTTGGCGATGCATTACCTCGTAAATGGCGAGGACGCTGTTACATGGGCCGACGTGGTGTTAGTCCGAACGTTCCCCTGGCCCATAAAACACATAGACAATGGATTGACTACTCGTAGAAAAGTAACAGCACGTATCACTGTGACGTGACACCTCGTGGAAAAGGGGCAATAGCGCGCTCCCCACAAGGGTCAGGTGGAGGAAATGATGATTTGTAGCATCGCTGAGATTTGGGGTGGGTATCGCTATGCAGTACGTATCGTCATAACTCGTGGCTCGGTGGTTTTCTTTGGGGGGAGAGAAAGAGCACAGCACCATCTCTCCTGACTTTGGTGTCTTCGCCTCTCGCCTCCCCTAGAATCTCAACTTGGGCAGAACGCCCACAATCAGGATGGCGATGACCATGAGCCCAAAGATCCAGCCGTACAGCATCATGCGACCCCACCAGCCCTTGCCCTCGCTCATCTTGCGCAGCGCGCCCATGCGCCGGGACGCGTGCTCCATGCCGCGCTCGCTCTTGTCCATGCCGGAGCCGGCGGCATTCAGGACATCCTTCTCCTGCTCGAGGTCGGTCTGGAACGCGCGCGACTGCGTCTTGAGCGACTGCGCCATGGACAGCAGGGACTCGGTCAACCGGTCATGCTCCTGGCGTTGGTGGTCCAGGATAGCCTCTGTCGTCGCCGTGGTGCTGAGGGCTGTGGTGGGGCTCGAGGGCCTGTTGCCGAAGAGCTGTGCCCGCGCCGTCGACTCGGCCGTGTCCCGGGAGGATTCTGTAGGTGCGCCGCGGGCACGAAGGGCTTGCTGTGTCGATGTGCCTTGTTTTTCTTGCGGTGCGGGTTCTTGTTTCGCTGCTGGTGTTGTCTCCTGTGGCCGCCGGGGTTCCGGCATCAATGTGCTCTCGTCCGCGTAGCTCTCATCCTCGTCCTCTGCCTCCTTATCCCAATCGTCGTCCCCCTGTGTTCCCCATCCGTGCGATGGCCTCTCGGCTCGTGCTGGGCTCGTCGAGTCTAGATTGTCACTCGGCGTCTGAACAATCTCGCCGAGCAGATCCTCTTCTTCGTCGCTGTCGTCGTCGTCGCTGTCGATGCTGATCTCCTCAAGCTCGCGCAGCCTCTCGGAGATCTGCTCGAAGACCTCGCGCTTTCTGTTCAGATCTGCCTGAGTCTCCTGGCGCCGGGTGTGCACCTTGATGGCGAGAGCGTCCTGCTCGAGCTTCGTGATGAGTGTGCGGGCGTACTCGAGGTTCTGCACAGGCACGTGTTAGCTGACTACGAACAGGGCCCACCCGCGGAGAAGTAGGGGATGAAAGGGTGGGAAAGAATAACGGGGAGGTCGAGGAGAGAGGAAGTCGTACAATTCCAGCCTTGTTCCTCTCGTATTCGCTCGTCCGCAGCCTGCGCTCCCTCTCGGCATCGGCCTGCAGGATGCTCTGTTGCAGACGGGCGAGCAGACGATTGAGGTCAGTCAGGGAATCAGGGCCCGAGACGCTCCGCCTGGGGGTCATGGGGGCCTGTGTCAAGCGCGCCATGGTTGCTTTTCGTCGGTCGCGATCTGAAGACTGTATGGCGATGCGTGGTTCTGCGGCTTGTCGTGGGCTGTTTGTTTTGTTATCGAGGAAAGCGAGCGTGGGCAGGCCGTGATGTGGCCTGTATTTTTGTTGCTATGCTGTCATGGCCGGGCGAGCCAATGCCAAACGGGGGAACGCGGCGACCGTGTCGAGCGCCCGCCGACCTTAGCTCCCGGCTGTTGGTGGGGCAGCCAGATCGACATCTACAGGGGTCTGGCACCTAGAACCCCCACGTTGTACAGAGACAGTATTGCACTCGACAACGTTCTTGGCCTATTGTTCCACGTTGATGTTCATGCGCAGGCTTTCGCAAAGGCGAGGTCTCATTCTGTCATATTACTCGCACTGAACACTGCATATCTTTTAGCTCACATCGCTCGCACTGGCAACCCAACACCCAGTCGTGAGTCTCTATTCCCAATCCGCCGCTAAGCACTGGTGTAATAGATCCTGCAGGCATCATAGCGCTGTTCTACCACACTATACTCTGTCTACGGGATGTGCAAGACCGGCTTGAAGCCATGTGTCCGGCAAATCTTCGTTGCCTTAACTCTATGCATTCATGTGAAGCGCATGTCAGACCTCTTGGCGGCTCAAGATGCCAAAATCCATTGCTTTACAAGCCCGTATCTGGTCCTTGACAGGTAGTCATATTACCACCGTCTTGGCGACCTAGCAATCTTGATCGTACGCCTGGCTTGGCCCAATGGTAAATTCGGGCCAGGTGCCATTGCCCTGCGGTTTGCCGTACGCGAGCCGAACGAGCGTTGTACCATCTGGTCTGTAGTTCGACCAACTGTCGTAACTGTTGAGTCCGCGAATGGGGTCTTTGGCAAAGGCCGCCCAAGCGCCGCGAATATACGCACCCATCTGGTTCTCTCGGGCGGTATTGGGGTAGTAGTACTCGGGTGCCGTGTTGAATAGCAAGGGCAGCTGTGACTACAGTCAGACTTTGAGACGTAAGTTGAAGGATGGATCATACCTCAGACCCGTGCCACGAGCCATTGTAAGGAGTCCACGGTAGCAGCACATTCGGGAAAGCCCCGAACCACCGGTACCGCCAAGTTGGATTCCCCTTCGCCACGTTCACCGCTGCCCTCTGCCCGGCTGGGCAAGTATACACGTAGATATTCTGCACCTGCCAATACCAGCTCGGGAGACCGCTCCACCACGGCGTCAACTGTTTGGACATCCCAGATTCGTCGTTCGTATTCCCAACCAGCACCGCTCTCGCAGCAGGAGTCCGCTCTTGGTAGTTGCCGAAGACAAGTTTTCCGTCTACAACGGGCCCGTACGGTAGCCCAGGCGTGTATCCATATGGAACAGGGGGCAAGCGGGTGATGAGCTTCCCCGATGGCACTCTCAACATGCAGGAGAATGTCTCGTCGGGATCATCAGGACCGCGGTCACAACCCACGGCTCTGGCCGCATCGTACCACAGGTCAGAGGCGGCAGGTTGAGTCTGGAGGCCGAATCCCCACGCCGTGCCACTCTGGAGTATGTAGCCGGACGCTATAGGGTCGTGCGCGTACGCGTAGGAATGTAAGTCCGCCGCCGCCGCACCAGCGGACTGTCCGAACATCACTATACGGTTGGGGTCCCCGCCGAAGTTGGCGATGTTATCGCGTACCCACTCAATTGCCATTCGCTGGTCCAGAATCCCGAGGTTGAGCTCGGACGTCGGGTTGCCCGGAAAACCAAATATGTTGAGGCGGTAGTTGATCGAGACCAGAACAACATCTTGCTCCCCTGCCATGGACTGCCCGTTGAACCAGATTTCAGACGAGCTACCGGCCGCGTAGGAACCTCCACTGTAGCAAAACATGCAGTTAGTCACTGTATTTGCGTGTCGTTGGCTTTTAGACACCTGATTTGGGCGGCTGAGAAATTGAATTTCTACGGAAAGTAGTGGGCTTTATATGCCGAGGCGAAGCTTGTTGAAGCGTGACATGACAACAGTGAAGGGGGAAGATGGAAATATTAATTGCATACTGGATCCATATTAGCACGGCTTTGGATGCCTCGCCATTTTGAGGCTGGGTCCATATATTCAACGTCAAGCAGTCCTCATTTTGTGGTGCGTTGGGCAGGAGGATGTCTGGCCCTACATAGTATCCACCTCGAGTGAGATTGTAGTATACGCCCAGAGCATGTTCAGCCTCGAGAGACGGGTGGGCTTGCATGCAAGCGAACCCCTCAGTCCACTGTTAGAGCCCGAATATATATGTAACTTATCCACCAATCTTACGACTTACAAATGCTGTGCCATTAATTGGCGCTTTGCCGGTGTATGCTACAGGCCGCTGCCATCGCAAGTCACCGACCGGTGGCTTAGCGTATGGAATGCCTAGGTATTCAGACACCTCCGTGGTGTTCGAGGCGGGATGCCCAGTCACCGGCCCACTGGTGGTGTTGACGGTCTGCCCAACGACCCAGTTGGCTACTTTCCTGGGGAGGGAACGATTGCTGACCGGCGACCGTGCTGATATAATCGGGAGAAGGAGCAACGCAACAGCGATCTCGACGATGCAGATCAGCATCGCGAAGCAGCGGAGGCCCTTGAAAAAAAAACTAGGGCTAAAATATGATCGCATCTGTTGGATGCAGTTCAAAAGCGAACTTCTTCGTCTGTACATCGGACATCAAAGTTAATCTCAAACCTTAAATGGTGTCTTTTATGTCTAAGTCTTATTCGTTTCTGCCAAGCACTTCATATGCTTCTCGCATCCTTGCGTGTTTCAACATTCAGAACCAGAAAGACGCGGCGATTGGCGGGTGCTGCCTTGTGTCGGAGATGTGGTCCCTATAAGGAAAGCGGGAAGGGCGTGCGCCAGCACAGGCGATACCTTATCGAGATGATACCACCCTGGTTTAATCCATTTAAGTGTTATGTGGCCATTCAAGACTCAATGACCGGACAGTACCTGCACAGATTAAGCAAGCCTAGATCAGCTTGCAGCACGAAGAAGTCGGGGCAGTCTGGATTGATCAATCAATTGAGGAGTAGTCTCGCTTACAGGGGCTCAGATTACTCAAAGCAGAGAATGGTCGGTTCACATCAATAGACTTCCTATTCAGTCATTAGGCCGGATGTCGGTCCGGCAGTAGTGCCGGGCGAGAGCCGTATCTACAGACATCAAACACCGACAGAAAGACATGTACCTCCGCCTCCCGCTCCCTCTGATCTAATCAAGGTCGACGCCCTCTCATGGTAACTCAGCCCAACGCCACCCTTTCAGCACCACTTGAAAGAGCAGCGGCACTCCAGCGGCACTGCAGCGGCACTTAAGGATCCTGTGATAGGCCTGGGTGCTCTGTTCACAAGTTACATCGCGGGACCGGGTTCCGGATTGGGTGCATCGTCACATCGTAGCCGCCGGATTTGAGCATGAACTAGGAAAGCATTTGAGGGGACACACCGTGTCTGAATGCTTAGTATATTGCAACATAATCATCAAGGTCAGCAGGGGTTTACTAGATCTATGTCTAATTGATAATGAGATTATCTTGCCTATATTGGCTTCCATACAGATACTCAAGCATTCCTTCTATTTACAGTGTGAAGACAAGCAGCGGTAGAAACCGGAAACAACTGATACGAAGTGCAAGTCAGCAACACGTCAAATGCGATTGCTATAGAAATGGAATGTACCTGCAACATTCCGCGAGAACGGATTAAACAAAGAGAAGAAGCACAATCCCTGTATCCCAAAACAGCCTCGTGCAGTGCATTCACTTAACACATACTCGCTTCTTAGGCGGCCCTGCCATCCAGAACTTGAGCACTTCGGCCGCGACGCGACACACACAGCTGGCTTTCCCTGAATGTCTTAAGTTTTGACATTAGTAGGGGATAGTGTTCCGACTTCACGGCAATGCAGCTGCGCACAACGATGGTCTCACAAATTTTGATCTACACAGCTCCAATTCTATAAGCAAGGCCATCAGGCGCATGGGCAGATGGGCTATGTTCAACGTCAAGGAAGGCAGAAGTAGATCCTGAAGCGCTAATTTTAGGATGTGGGGGTTTCCTGGTGGATCGAACCTGGGCTGCAACGAGCCCCGGCAGGGTTACGGCTACGGAGTACCGAGTACGGAGTAGGCAACAACCTATTTACCGCCTGGCTACGGGCCCGAGGCCCACAACTGTTGAGCCATCCCCAAAAGCAGGTATGGAGCTTGTTGGCGGAGTCTATTGCGATATTTCGAGCAGCCTGTGGGCCTTGGTTGAGTGGCATAGCACATTCGCACTCACGAGAAGTGACGTCACGGATCAACGTTGTGCTCAAATTTCCGAGCTGTGGATTATATTCGAAATGCCAAGCGGGATTAGCTAACTCGAAGGATTATACGACTGACAAACTTCACATTAACCCCGGACTAGAGAAGTGTAAATCATTACGCCAAATGTAAAGGCAGCTATAATACATGGAAACGAAAACGGCATAGTCGCACATTTAATGCTTACATAGCCCAGCTGGTCATATTAACCTATAGGTAGACATCCCTAAAAAGTGGACATAGGCCTCAACTACGATGACTGAACTGGTAAAGTTTGAGCGGTGCCCAGTGCCTGAGTGGATGTGCACAAGCTGAGGCGATGAGACAGAACCCAGCTATTCTTCCTGAAGGAGGTCGGGATGGATGCAGTGGTGTGAATGTCGCAAGACATCTGCAGTATTGAGGATGTCGATCCAAATTCGTTACGCCAGTCTATTCATAGAACATCTGAGTGCATCTCCTCGATGGACATTGATTATAAAAGAGGCAATAGAACTCTGAATACTCGAGATTTGTTCATCATCAAACGCACCAACAAAACCACCTACTTATACCACCACTCAAACCCAAACATCAGACCCAACTTGCTTCTCAAAGCCCAAAAAGATTTCAGAGCAATCATGTCTTTCAAGACCGTCTTCGTCGCCCTCTTCGCTACCTTGACTATTGCGGCTCCAGCAACCAATGTTGACGCCAGTCTCGAGGCCCGCAACGACGCCGCAAACGTTGTTGAGAAGCGCTTTGAGCCCGGTTGGTGCACCTTCCACCAGCACGACGACTGGTCCAACGGCCTGGACACCAACCCGACCACCAAGATCCAGCTCAACTTCTTCGACGGCAAGAAGAACCAGTTCTACACCTTCCCGCAGACCAACGTGCGCGGCCAGATCCCTTACCACATCAAGCCCGATGGCTTCAGCGACCCCATCACTCTTTCTGGAGGGCCCGACGGTGGCTGGAAGTACGAGTACAAGGGCGATGTCTGGACCACGTCGGACAAGAACAGATGCAGCGCTGGAAAGAGGGCCGACCCTGGCAGCAAGGGCAACCACGGGCGCAACACTCAGGACTATGACTGTGGTTTCACTTGCTAAGATGCCAACATGATGGGTCTTTTCATATTATGTTCATACGGTTGTTTTCTTACTTCAGGCGTCTTGTAACCAACTCCAGCATTCTATCATGAGTTACCCGGAAAATTCTGGATTTGCATACCTGTTAAGTTATAAAAGTGTCTACTTTGAATATCACATTCTATAAATCGCTATTAGCAAGCTCTGTTCCTACCAAGTATCCAACTACGCAGCATCTCTTGTGTGTATTACCACGTGGCCCGCGTTAGCGCAAAGTGGTGCAAAGAGCATCCTTATATACAGTCGATTGCTCCTGGGGACAATTCGGAGCTCTAAAACTGCACGATTATCAAAATGCTTCCCAATTAAAAGTGCATTGGTAACATGATCAGGAAAAGACGATTGAGGAGAAATGCCTGTCGTAGCATACTAAAATGCCAAGAACGACCGTCTGCATTGGCTTCACTGGTAACGCCTTGTTAGCGTGGCTCCACATTGTGGGCTGACTTACTCCGCACATCCCATTCACTTGGGTCCTCAGGCAGAAAATTTTGAGCCATCACTTCAACGCCCCTGGACAAAAATACCATCATTCATATACTCTCCACCGACCCAACAGTTACATTCAAAATGCCAGAAGAGAGCCAACCCCAACCGGAGGCCCAGACTTCCGTTGTTGACCCGAAAGTCATGGACTTCCTCCGGCTCTGGCATCTGCGTATGGCACACGCGAATTTGAAAGCTATCGTGGTACTGGGCCACCAGGGCGACGCTGGGGAGATACCGCAGGGGTTTCCCAAAGGACCTAAAGACAAATTCGAGGGTCTGCAGCCGTATATGGATGAGCTGAACTGCGAGGCATGTAGGCAGGTATATGGGAACCCCTCCGGTCCGGCTTCGTGGTAGAAGACAACTCTCAAAACACGCATGGCTGTCAGATGGGGTGGGCACGAATCATGCACCTGGAAGAAGTCTAGTCTCTAACTCAGGCGGGAGCTGGTTCAGAACTTGGCTGGATGGGAGATAATGCAGTCTTGCATGAAATAGTTGCTACATTGCCGGAGAACTTACCTTCTGGCTCCACCCTTTACACATTACCAGCCTTACCTTGATTCCAAGAGATCTGAGTTATATCAAATGGATGTTTTGGAAACCGCATATTCCAAGGCTAGCGCGGCCCGAAACACGCCAAACATGAAGGCTAATTGATAACTCATTGCGAAACCCGCGGCGTATGAGTCGTCACTTATATCCAAGCCCTTGTGGCTGTGATGGCGCTCTCCATACGTGGCTGATTGCATCGTATGGGTCCGTGGGCGAACAATAGGAGCAAGCTATCCTTCCAGTATACTGTGTGGCAAATCAGGATGATATGACGGCCGTGTGCGTGTAAGTGGAATAGATGTCTTCGGTAGCTGTGCACACTTGGCCATGTCTCGTAACTGCGTAGCAAACGTTTGAAAACCACTAATCAACATTGAAAAAAGGAAGATCTACCGTAGAAGCCCATCTGATTGCGGATTCTTGGCAGAAGGATACTTCGATTCTTGTAAGGGTGCAAACATACGATGTTGTTGCGCTGGGGAGGAAAGGTTCCTCCACAGCGCTGGGAAACTAGTCTACTCTAAGCTAGGGCTAGCGCACAGACCACATATCAAAAGTGGGGTCACGTAGCCGTGACAATTCTACTTATCACCTTACACTTCTACTCGTTAGCTTTACGAGCGTTTGCCCATAGACCTATGTGAGCTGCTGCTTAAGTGTTTTCAATGGATGTGCCAAGACTCGCTTTCGGTTCGAAGGATTATACGTTACCTACCGTATGAGGCGAAGCTGGGCTATGATTGGCCTTACGCGAATGTTGGTGCTCAGAAATTGCACCAACTTCTCACGCTATTCAACTCGCCGACGTAGTAACACGTGGGTAAAGTCTTGACATAATAACTTACGAAGTGTTATCCAGTCACTACAACCGTGACACGGAACTTCAACAATCTTGCAGGAGCAACACACATTGCCCTCTAAACCCTAAAGTGGTGAATGAATAGCTCTTCCAAATCCACGATGGTCCACACGAAGGGCATCTTATTGGTGACAGGGGCAAATGGAGGTCTTGGCAGCGCTGTCGTGTCTAAGGCCATGTCGCCCCCATAGCTCAGAGCCCATCACGGCCTTTACACTATCCGTGATACGTCTGTAAGCACGCCGGCTCTAGACACCGCCCTGACGCGAGAGTTGCCATCCATGTTGGCAACTCCGACCCATTCATGTGAGCAGCTGTCCCTCGACTTGTCACGATTTGACCAAGTCCGTAGGACAGCAAAAATTATCAACTCCCGTGTCGCCGCTGGTGAGATAGCTTCGATTCAAGCCATCGCGCTTAACGCAGGCTATGAGGAGTTCGAAACACAGACACGGACGGAAGACGGATTAGATATGACGTTTGCTGTCAACTATCTCGGTCATTGGCTGCTGACACTCCTGCTCCTGCAGAGCATGGACCGAGAGAAGGGTAGAGTAATTTGGATCAGTAGCTGGTCGCACAAGTCTTCGCCACACGTTGATGAGGGTCTAGACTAATTGGAATACGTCAGCCCTCACGACAAACTCAATATGGAAAAGACTGCGTATACCGACAAAGGTACAGAACAACGATTCAGGATGACCTAGGCTCGATTGCCAAAGGAACCTGGAGCGCGAACAAGAACGATACTCTGGGCTGGGCTGCTGGCTGGCGGCAGTACGGCGCCACCAAACTATGCAGCGTTACCATGATGTACGTATTCTTCGGTCTCCTTACGTTCAGCTCCGCTTAGTTGTACATATACGTATGGTTATGAGCTAGTAACCTGCGTGGCCACGCTCTATTGGTTTTATAGGACCTTCTGTAAACCTAATGCACTGCCGTGACATGGCCCCCATCCACTCAGCGAAAACCCGAAAGGTCTGTATCTTAACGGTTCAGAGCTAGGTGTATACAATGCGGAGGCAAAGGAACCAAGAGCCTGGGATGTGGTTTGGAGAGGTAGTGTCAAGCACGCACGATTAACAGCAGGGGAGACCATCTTAAAGCATTGGTAATGATCTGGACTAGCTCGTTTTCTATTTTGCATCCGTATCTTCAGCTGGTCTACGTCCCTTGAAGTCCAGCGCTTCCCACTTCATGAATGCAGCAGCTGTTATCATGACGATACCCGCCACGACGAGTATGTAAAACTCTTTGGCGATGATTCGTGTGACCGTGGTGCTGGCAACCATCTGGATTTGCTGGTCAACAGCCCCTGTTAACCGCGCAGATGCACCAGCTAATGCCTCGCGAATTTCGGCATCGGAGAATCCGAAAGGTCGTAGAGCGGCAGATAAGTCCCGGTGGCCTAGATTCTCGTAGACACAGCCAGCAAGGGCTACGGTGAAACAAGCAGGGAATGATATCCCGAGTGTATTCAACAAAGCTGCGTCGGGAGCCCACTGCTTTGGCAGAACAAAACTGATAATACTGACACCGATTGGAAAAGTAAGACCGACTCCAGCACCCAGAAGTGCTGTGGCGCCGAGTATCGCGCTGTCCGGGGAAGTCGGGCTGATGGTGACGATATATCCGCTAGCCCCTACAATTATCAAGCCGCCAAGGGTGTAAATTGCTGCATATCGTCGAACCATGGGTAGCAATGCCCCAGAAATCAACACGCATGCAATGAACGTTCCAACCAAAGGTAGCATGTGGATAGCTGAACTTATCGGACCCTGACCACGGGCGAAGGCGAAAAAGAGCGCTGAATAGTAAAGCGAGATTGTATAGCCGATTGCCATCATGCATGTTGCTATGAAAACGAGCAGAACCGTGCGATTCTTCAGCGCGTCGACTGGCATGAGCCGATGCTCAGGGGTAGTAAAGAGGCTGAAAGCTTGCTGGACAAAGTATGCCATGACCACCAGCCCTGTGATCACCCATACAGTAATGGCCGCGCCTGAGTTCCAAGGCCACGTCAAGCCAGAAAAGGCGATGACACTTGGTAGCAGTACCACCGAGGCACTGTGTAGGATGAAACCAACCCAATCAATACGGCCAAGATTTGAGGCGAACGACCTCTTGGCGTGAATGGGAGGTGGCGGGGCAATTGTGCCGGCAAGGGGGGCAACGACACCCATGATAAGGGGTATCACGATGTAGAAGGCCCATCTCCAGGTCAAATGGTGGTTTTCTGCGAATAGGGCCCCGAGGATTGGGCCCAGGAGCAACCCTACTACCCACGCAAGGCCCAACACTCCAGCAACCAACGCAACCTCTGTCGGTCTACACAGCATTACCAAGTACTGCTGGGTGCTTCATTATGTCAAACTGTCAGTCGATCATGAGAGTCAAGCAGTGAGGGAGAGCCGACCCACGTCTGTGTAAGAAGCGAACCACCGAGGCCTTTCACCACTCTGCCTATAATAAAAGCATTCATCGTCGGAGCTGAGCCGCATACAGCCGCGCCGACTGAGAAGACGACCGACCCCATCACAATCAAGATGCGCAGGTCGGTGAAGTTTGAAAACTTGCGCACAAGTGGGACGCCGGCAGTTTGGGCGATAGCGTAGCTCATGGCACAGAAAGGGAGAAGCTCAATATGCCCGAAGGCTTCATATAGTGTCGCCTGGATATTGGCCACATTGCTCAAGTCATAGCCTGTGATGTCGAAACATGATTAGATGGACGTGCTCAATAAATGAGATTTGTCTTTTCGTTTATTAGCAGATGCTCCAGATGACGAACCATTTATCAGCAATGCGACTACGCCGACTGTGATTATGAGAATCCACCGCCATGTCGCGATTCCTTCTCTTGGATTATTAATACCAATAGATTGATTGGGTTTCTCACTCTCGTTCTCTTTGCCGTTGGCAACGTCTGATCCGACGACCATGGTTTGGCCATGGTGCGCTGGTTTTATTCGCTCATTTTCGGTCATGGTATTGCTTACCGAAAGGTTAAGGGGGAAAAGTCAATGGCAGAGGCCGAAATCAACGAGAATACGATTCTTATACTTGAAAACACTCATCGGGACCGAGTTATCTGCTGCAATCCTTCGTAGGAGTGGTGCGTACCAGTCACTATGCGACGAACAGCTGATCCTACACGACTCAGCGAATCAACTGTTTTTCTGCGGAGTACAAATGCAGCCATGTCAGATATGCTGCATATGCCAATGGTGTCGCATCCTTCAACGCTACGCCGCAGCAAGCTACCAGAAGCCCCGTCTCATTCGGGTGAAGCGTGTATACAAGTAGAGTAACACAGGTGAAACAAACATTAAAAGTACACGGTACTACTATTTTAACTAACCATTGTCTTGATTGCCCATGGTGTTTATTCAGATAATTACCAGGTACAGAACTTACTTTGCTACTGCTACCCATGGTAGGCCAAAAAGAAAAAGGTGGCAGCAAAGGCAAAAATAAGTGATGATGCGGCAACCAGGAATCGAACCTGGATTTCGTCGGGATTACTCCACAACGACGTGTACTAACCGTTATACGATTACCGCTAATTTGCAAGTGATCCAGACAACGTGAGTTGCTATTGGATGGAAACAATGGCGTTTATTTTAATATGACTCCGCATGTGTGGCCTTGAGGGCTGGATCTCTTGGCATATCCACTTCCAGTACAAGAAGCTCTTATTGGGTGCATTGCTTATGATTTGGAAAGCTAGCATTAAAAAGTGTGGAGAGATAAATCAAGCCGGAAGAGACTCTACTATGTAACTTGAATGAGACCAGAGGCAAAACTGGGTCAGTGTGGACAGAACAGTCCACAAGACGTCCTGCGCCACGGTTACAAGTAGCGTGTCTGGAAATGTTCTATATCCGTTATGGGCGCAGCATGGTTCAATTATAATGTAACCATTGCCAACTCCTTGCTACTATTGTCATGAGCCAAGCTGGTAGCAGCGCGCAATACTCAACAGTTATAATAATTAGCCACGGAGTGGCTGATGGCACTGTGGCTGGTACCACAGTGCCCTTTACACGGAAGGGCCTGTGAATCCTCCCACCTCAGCGGTACCAACACGCAGGAAGTTTCTGCATCTTTAATTCATACGTATGAATGCACCTCAGGTTGTATCATAAAATTGAACGTTCTGCGTTTTTGCATCTTAGCAACAGCGACCTCGGGAGGTCGGTAAGGCAAGTGGGATCACCCGACTATAAATGCTCACTGCTCTGGCGGCAGGACATTCAATATGCTTGTTACATGACTACTTGAGTAGAAGAACAAATAGGAAACGGTAGCAGCAACCATTTAGACCGTTAATGCATCATCCAAGTGAGGATGAAATGCGAAGTGTCCTCAATAGACATGGTGCACTCATCCTGAAGCTGCATGCTCGCTCCTGGCATACTGCATTTAGGGCGCGAATGTAGCATGCTACCATGCAGTACTCTATGGGACAGCCGACCGATTTTAATAGTTCTTCTGCTGAACTAACCTGCAATGTTGGTTCCGTGGTGAGTACGCTGCGGATGAGACTCGCGAGTATTTTCGTGGCTGCAGAATGAGCGCAGCCATGGAAGTATCGGCTACTGGATAGAACGGCTCGAAAGGAAGGGTCAAATGCCTTGATGATTCAGTAATCTTGGAATAGATTAGGCTGGTATTCCCATTCAAGCCCATTCTGCGGCGTTTAAGATGCAACTGATCCCGCGGGGATGGGTTTCGCAGGTCTGATCTAATTGGTGGGGCCGTGGGTAGGGTGGGGCAACACGTCCTCAGCGCACGGGGCCCTGGACACCCACATTTCTCGAGGGCACGAAAACCCTGAAGCCAAGACCTTTTTTGGTAGCCGGCCGAAACCACCAAAAATTTCCCGCCAGCCCGCCCAGTCGTTGCGACGTCCATCCAACCATCACACCCAACGCCGGTCATTCATTCAGTCGCCCCCCAACTAACCCAACAACCGCAAAAATGGTCGGTGGTATCAGTGTTCGCGATGTCGATGTAGGTGCCATTACAATTCCCTGAGACGACCTCGACGCCGGGCCCCGCTCGATCGAATGGGCCCAGAGAATCCAACTCCAAGAAAAAAATCAAACAAGGAGCGATGAAGAAGCCATAGCGCCTCGACCATCACCACAAGAGAGAGATTTGGGAGCAGGCGCGAGGGGGTCGCAAGACCTCTGATGACGGAATCATGCTGATAGACGGTGTTTGTTGCAGGCTCAGAAGTTCATCGAGGCCTACTCGAGCTTCTTGAAGCGTCAGGGCAAGCTGCCCATCCCCGGTAGGTTATACGCAAACAAACCTTTACTTCTTCTACCATCCAGACCAGAAGTACTGACAACTCCATTCAGGTTGGGTCGACACCGTCAAGACCGGTCCCTCCCGTGAGCTGCCCCCCCAGAACCCCGACTGGTTCTACGTCCGTGCCGCCTCTGTCGCCCGCCACGTCTACCTCCGCAAGACCGTTGGTGTTGGCCGCCTCCGAAGAGTCCACGGTACCGCCAAGAACCGTGGTGTCCGCCCCTCCAAGCACGTCGATGCTTCCGGTGGCGTTGACCGCAAGATCTTCCAGGCTCTGGAGAAGATCGGTGTCTTGGAGCAGGACGAGGAGAAGGGTGGCCGCAGAATCACCCAGTCCGGCCAGCGTGACTTGGACCGTAAGATATTACCTGCTGCCACGCGCTCGCCCGCGATCCCTTACTGACATGTTCCCACCAGGTATCGCCCAGACCGTCGCTGAGGCCGACGAGGAGGAGGAGGATGACGAGTAAATGTTTTCTTCATGGTCATGATATCCGATAATGGCACTGGGAATCGGTTCAGGTACAGCATAGGGTTCGGCGTCTGAAAATGGCTTTGACATTCTGATTGACCAATTCATCTGGCACCATGAACACCATGACACGATGCTTTCTCTTTGCGCAGTCGTTGCTGCACGTGAAGCAACCCGGCATGTGTCGCATGTGTCGCAAACTCTTCAACAGGTGGCCGCACACCTCACCTCGGCAATGGCGCCTTTACTCGCCCTGCGGGTGCCCATATCACACTGCCGCAGTCCCGATTGATCTTACGTGACCCTCTTGATATCAGCTCTGCTGGATCCTTGCCTACACTCTGAGATATACCCAGCTCTCCATGGTTTATTTCAATTTTTGCGTCAAGGAAGAAGAATCTGTCCGCTTACTCACCGCAACCCCCAGCCGCTTGGCACATGGGGGTTGAGGTCCATTTTCTCTGGCCAACATTTTCTACGCTTTGTAGACACTTCGTATGATTTACATTGAATAAACTCCTCAGCGTCACCCGCTGGCAATATATGACGATAGTATATGTTTCTGAACTCTTCTAACGTGTGCTGAATGAAATCAAATATCCATAGCATGTGATTACAGACACATGACAGACATGACATATGACAAACCTCTGTCTCCTCTCGGATTCAACAACTAGGACAAAAAACGGCAACTTCAAATACAGAGGGCCTTCACCCATTATTGCAGCTGTTCTCTTCAAACCATGTCTCCCACCTGTCTTCTCTGACCATGTGATTCTCCCCAGCGTAGTCTACTGCCCCATCCATGGGCCTTTCTCTCCTTGGCCTAAGACCCGTTACAAGTTCCATTAGCAGCGGGCCGCGCAGAGTCAACGGCCACACATGCGCAGGCCCCTTGTGTCGGTATGTTACATTGCACTGTATCCCCTCGATGTACCTTGCACCATTTAACTGTTACTGCTGATGCTGGTGCTTGGTCCTGTTCCTGGTGTGCATTTCATAGGTTTATCTATGTAGTCTAGGTTTGGCGTGCGTGAACTGGGCCAGTTCTGGGGACTGAAGTAAAACGCCAGAGGAGCCCACAAGGTCCGTGCATCTCATCAAGGACAAGGTAAATGATGGCAGTTGGGTATGATACTCTATTTGTTAGCTACATTTACACCATGATCCAACGAAAGGTGATGAATCGGCGGGGTCCCCATTGGAAGTCGAGCACAGCTTTTGGTCTCGACTCGGGGCTAAACGCCGACCTCCAAATGTCAGCTGGACGCCAGTGCCCGCCACTTCAGCGTATGAACTCGACCCCTCATGGGGCGTGTCTGGGATGGCAAACAGATCATTCACTCTCACTTTCACACTTATCACGAATACTCATCATCGAGGACCAAAGCGGGTTAGGTTGGTGTATCTCATGTTTCGAAGAAAAAAGAAAACTCATCGGGAAAAGTCTACTAGGTGATCAGGACCGTATACACTATGCATAACCATGCATTCAAGCCGTGAGCCGAGCCGGACGCCAGCGGGCCGTGATCCCAAATGCATAACCTCAAGAATCCCTTGAGCCTGTTTTATTGACCGCTGATCCATCATTACAGCATCCGAAAAATCTAGGTTCATAATCATCCAATCTAACATTACCGCCTCACGCCCACTTGGCCAGCAGGGCCATCAGACCACCTCCCAGGTACACGCAGCCCAGAGCCGACAGCTTCATCTTCAGGCCGGCCCTCTGCATCTGCGGCGAAAACATGAACTCGTGTGCCATCAGCTCGACCAGACCCGTGTACAGCAGGATTCCGGCGCTGATAGAGTCGAAGATTCCGTTGATGATAAGAGTCGTGGTGCCGCTGGGAGCCAGAGTTTCCCGAACACCCAAGCCGGCGGCGATGGCAATCGGAGTGCTGAGCGCGTAGAGGATGGCGAGCAGGTACGGCATGTAGCCCTTACCCTTGGGCCAAGCAGCAACAGCCAGTCGCGAACCCAGACCGAGACCCTCAAAGGTCTGGTGGAAGACGAGGACGATGTAGAGCACAGTAAACTCATCACCGGCGACAGCTAGGGTGAGACCAATGAAGATGGAGTGGAAGATGACGCCGAACTCGAGGATGAAGAGTGCCGTCATCTGAGCGGCAAACGCGGCGTCATTCTCGTTGTGGTCTCGGTGGTGTCCAAGGTGGTCCTCACCGGGCAAGCCAGTGTTGGCCGAGTTTTGCTCCTTGGAGTGGTTGGTACCGGATTCGACATCGTGGTTGGCGTGGGATGGGGAGTGAGCCGAGCCGTCAGAGCCCTGCTTGAATAGCTTCAGGGACGGGTCCTGGCCGCTCCCTGAGTGATCATGGCCCATTCCACCGCCGGTACCGAAGAGATCGTAGTGGCTGATGACCACTTCGATCAGAAACATGACCATGATAGTCATGAAGCAGATGCCGCCAGCCCAGGGATAGTCGGCGACCGGGAGGTCTTGCAGACAGGGCGATGAGAGCGCATCGAATGCAGGAACCAGCAGGTGCATCACCGCCGTTGCGATGATAACACCGGTACCGAAGTACTTGGCGACGAAGAAGAAGATCGGAGGCACGCGCATGCGTTTGCTTCTTGCGAGGACCACCGGCAACAGCGCGCCCAGCAGCGCTCCCACGAGGATGACAAAGATGGATGAGATGCGGAGACCAAGCCGACCGTCATACTCGTTACCGGTGTCGCAGTCGACGGTCACGCTCAAGGGTGTATCCTCGGCCGGGACATCGGCGCTGCCATCCTCCTGCCGGATGCTGAGTAAGAAGTCCATCGTGTCTGATGGCTGTGAAGTTGAGGTGAGAGGAGTTTTGGATCCGAAGCCTGACGAGACGACCAGTACTGTTCACCTCCACACACGAGAGAGTAGTCCACCGGGGGTTTGAGCAGGCCAAGAATGCCAACCTTTTTCGCCAAGCTGCGAACCGAACCGTTCCTTGCGAATGTGCGCGCGAATAGACGGCAGCAGATCTGACCCAAGCTGCAAGCCAAGAGCAGGTCCTTTTGTAGCTGCGAGGACGACTCTTCGCGCCGCAGCCGGTCAAGGGTAGATAGCGAATTAATAATTCGGAGCACAATTGCAAGAACCTCTCTGTCCCACTTGGCCGTGTGGATTCAGGTTGCTTGTGAGCGTTGTGCAGCAATAAAACGAAAGCATGCGAGGCTCCGTCTCCGCGCAAATGTGGTGGTTGACTTTTGAACGTTCCCACCGGGACTGAGGACCTTGATGGCCGGCATTGCTGCAGGACCCACGAGCGCAGGGTTTGGCACCGGCCGTGGCCGACTCGGGCTCTAACGTCGTCTCGACTGCAGGGCGGACTGGGCGGCAGCGGGTCGCTGACAGCAGCGTCAGAGAGACAGAAAAAAAAGTTGAGAACCCTGATGGACGGGAGTGCCTCGACGGTCGCTTTCCTAGTGCGGCCGTTGCAGGGGTGCGTGACGTATCAGAGCCATGGGAAAGGCGATGGCGTCCGTCATGGGTGGGGGTCTTCAGTCCACTGGCGGCTCGTAGAGGGGGTTGTGTCTACTTCAAAATGGACGACACACCACAGCTAGTCAACGCTTCTTGTTAGTCTGTCTCGAGACTCGACGTCCGCATAGCAAACAATGGATCGAGGCCCCGGTGACACGGTTGGGTCCTACGAATTCCGATCGGTATTCCACACAACCGGGTCACAGCACACATGACATAGGGTCGCCCTCGTCTTTAGCCGTCCCCACGTGGGCTTTAGCGAGAACGCACACTCAAAGACCAGCTGGACACCCTGGTCATATACCTACATACCATACCATATTAATGCTCTGCTAGGAGGGTGTCCATCAAGGTCCCCAGACCAGAGTCACCCGCCGCTCACTCACCGAACGAAACCAAAAGGGCCTAGATGAAAGCAGTTCCCGTAGCACACACATCGTCCGATGGACTCGACTTGCCAGGTAGCACGAGCGCTGCACAAGATATTGTTTATTCTGACATTCGGAGTGCCACAGTTTGGATATATGTACAACCGTCTCCTGACGCCGACAGAATACCCACGTTTCGCAGCCGCAAGCGGCCGTTAAGCATGTGTTTGAGTGCAACGTTCTCTGGTACTTACGGCACAAGGCATGCAGGGTCGTGCTAGTAAACAAGAAGCTTTCCTTCGTTCCTTCGACTAACACCACCTTGGGCCATACCCCGAGTTGTCTCATGGAGTCACTGGAATGACTTCGGACGACCTTGCGTGTCTCGGCTAGCACAGCACAACTAATCTCGCAAAGTCGCTCTGCATTTCCGAGGGCTTGCAAGTACGAGTTGAGAACAGACCCCTGTGCTGAGGAAACCTGCCGTCATATTCCAGTACGATACGTCTGAAGTAGGATTGGTTACCTAACATGCGATGCGTCATTAGAACCGAAGGGGCATTCCCGGCGCTTCTCAGATGCACGAAGGATTCATAGACGCGTAGTTGGTTCCAAAGACTTGCCCACAGTTGAGCCGCGTACTTTCCAAGCTGCAGCTACCCGGACCAAGCTAAAGATGGAAGTCTTTCCGACGCACTTGCAGCTCGTCTCGACGGGTTGGCAATCAGTACCGAACCAGCGGGTTGGGACCAGTGTCTGAGCGTTGCATTTCTGGTTACTGGCGAGGAGGGTGGCCATCAAGGTTGGTGGAGACCCCTGAGCCGCCCGCCGTTGCGACCCGAATGTCACACAGGCTGCATGCAGGTTCTTTCGAGCCCGCGATGCAGGCTTGATGTACTGTGTATTGTACACCAAAGCAAGTGAGTAGGGGTCTGTTTGGAGGCCAAGACAGCGATTGGAAAAGCTTGAGTTGGAGGATGCACAAAGCCAAGTCGTGACTATAAAGCTTGTCTACCCGCCGCCCTGCATCAGCTTTCTTGGTATGAGCTGCCTGCAAGAATTCGACTCGGCTTGGCGAAGCGGATCAGCTGATGGGTGCCGTCAATCTGCTGCCAAGGAGGCTCGGTCACATCATGGACCAATCAAGAGGCTGCAGTGAGATGTAATCATATTCATGAGGAGAATTGGACCTCGAGACCCAGACTTCGGAACGGGGAGTCTAGCCGACGCAAGTCGATGCCGCTTCCCAAGCTGAACAGCAACGATTTGACCCTCCCTTCCCAGAGGAGGCCGATTTTCATATGCTGGTCCAATCGGGCCTTCAAGACCCCGGAATATTCCTCGTCGTCACTCCCGGTCTGGGCAATGAGCTCGTCCTCGGGTTCGTCTAGTCTCCATTCCATTTTAGCTCTAAAGCTCCGGTCTTTCTTCTTCTTTTCGATAGGCTCTGCCGGCTCTGTGACTATTGCGGGCGCTGGTGGTAACACCTGAGGTGCTTCCAATACTGGAAGCGGGTCGTCTAATCTCCATTCCAGCTTGGCCTGAAAACTTCTGGCCATCCGGGTCGAAGTCGTGGGAGCAGGTTCTAGAATGGTCTCTTCCCTGGAAACGGTCCATGACCCCTTCTTCCTCCAGAGTTCCATTCCGATCGTCCAGTCGCTCTCGTAGCTGTAGACATTGAAGTCCATCCTGCTGGCAAGGGAGCAGTGCTTTCCGGCCAGAACCGCGTAACTCCAACTGATGTTGCCCATCAGCGGATTGATGGTCATGGTCGCTGTGAGTGGCGTGCCCGTGTATGTGGGCAGAGTCGCGAATCGCATACCCACGCTCATGCCTCCGGATTTATTCAGCGTGCCGTAGTATAGTTCCGCGCCGGTGCTGAAGCGTCCATATATACCCTCTCGTTCGCCGTTACCGTTGCCATTGCCGTTCGAGGCCCCATTCTCATCGGTCGTCGCAACGGAAGGGCGAATCTTGTTGACGTCGCCGCCGAAGTTGTATAACCCGCGCACACCCATTAGACCTCCATCCGAGGACGCCAGCCCTTCCACGCCGTATTTGCCCACGTCATACTGGACCATGCCCAAGACGGTACCGCCGTTTCGTAGCACTTGGTCAGACACGGCGCTGACTTGGAGCTGGAGCTCGGGGGTGAACCTCTTGACTACCAGCGCCTCCAGCATAGATTGCGGTAGGTAGAGCCTGCCGTAGGCCAGTGTATCCTTCTCTATGCGATCCCAGCCCTGGATCCAGCTGCCACTGCCCGTAGATCCCCTCGACAGTTCCGCGAGCGGCTTGTAGCTCCTCAGCAGGTCGGGCAGAGGTATCTTGTCGCTCTGGGCTATGGCGTTCTGGAGCGAGACGGACGAGTACAGGTAGGAGACGGAGCCATCGACGACGCCGACGGTGCCGAGCTGGTAGGCCGTCGCGAACTGGGGCGTCGCCAGCGAGCCCAGGGTCAGGCGCAGGCCGCGCGGTGTCGGGAAGTTGAGCAGCGCATCGGCGGTCGCATTGAGGGACGAGTACGAGTTGTCGCGGTTCCAGCCCGTGGCGGCGTAGAATGCGCTCTGGATGTAATCCATGAACTCGCGCATGGTCGCTGGTGTTGGTGCTGGTCCTGCTTGCTGCTGCCCACCCGGAGGCAAGCTGTAGGGGCTACCGCGGGCACATCGGCGGGGGGTGAAGACGCGGTCCAGTGCTCGTGCTCTTGACGTAAGAGCAGCCTGCCGACGTTTGGTGCTCGGAAGATTTGACTTGCAATACAGTACGGCTTGTCGTGACCTGGCTTACCTAGAGCTTTCCACCCGCTGCCCCGTGTCGGACGCTTGTGGCGCGGGCCTGGCAGGCGGCTGGTCCCGCGCGTAAGCCACACTGCTGCCTGTGCTGCGTGCGGGAGCCTGCCGGAATCTGTTGGTGCCTGGCGCACTGCTTCACTCCCACTTCAGTCCAGTACAAGTCTGTGGGCCAGCAGGTAATACCCATGACCTAACGTATAACCATGATAGCCTACAACACAAGCACATGTTACTGTGGCTAGAGTCATCAGCCAACCTTCATTTCAGTTGGATACGTATGCATCTGCCAATCTTTTGGCCATGAATACCCAACTGGGCGCATCATCGACAGCGGCCGATATTGGTTCACTAAATCTCAGTGATTTGCATTCGCTGCTCTGCGAGATCGAGTCTACAAACGAATCTGGCGACAGCTCGTTGCACGTTGATGATGACACCAGTATTTCAAAACTCTCACCTGCTCAAGAACCTCCTAGGCTTTCGGGAAAAAACGATGTGCCCCAAGAAGCATGTCTGCAAGCGAAGGTCATACCACAATCAACCTACTCAACAGGTTCAAGCCACCGGAAACAGCTTGGCCACCAAACTGTACACATACTGGATCTGCCAGACGAGATCCTCCGTCACATATTCGGTTTCCAAGCCACACATCTCCTTGGAATCAGTTCGGACAATTCGCAGATCAAACCCCTACGTCTTGTCTGTCGACGCTTCAATGAGCAGAGTTCCCACTTGCTTCTCAACAGGCTCACTCTGGACTTCACTCGTTCATCTCTAGAGAAGCTCGAGACAGTCTCCAAGCACCCAATCATCAGCAAAGGCATTCGAAACGTCCATTTCGAATTACACACATGGAGCTCAACGCTAGCCGCCTCCCTTTCCGCTTTTGCACGCTACCACCTGACTAACGGACGAGACAATCTCCTAGGCAACATCTCGAGATCTCCGGCCGCTCGGGTATCACGCCGCGTCACCCATTCGAACTCTGATAGACGAGGTATGGTTTCTCGTGCATTGTTGATGTATGCCACAGTCGATCAGGAACTGCCGAGCGTGTCTGGCCTCGAGCCTGTAAATGACGATGGCATTGAGTCTGTGGAAGCTTATCAGCGTCTCCTGCGCCGCGCTCATGAGGAGTATCAACATCTATATGACTACCAGAGAAAGTTGTTGAAGAACGAGACATTCATAACTACAGTCGTATCTGCAATCAGCCGGATGCCAGCCATCGACAAACTGGAGTTTCGTGACTTTAATCCGCTGGTTGCGGACCAGCGCCATGTTCTTGTCCCGAATGCAGATTCTGATTTTGCCATATTCCAAGCGGAACTATACAATAAGCTGGTTTCGCCAATGCCTTGGGGGGCCGCAGCCGGCTACTGCCAGGAATCTCCCATCAGGCTGCTTTTCCAATTGCTAAGCGGCCTTTCTGATACCGAGGTTCGCGTGACTTCCCTTAAGGTCGATTTCACCTTCAGTGGGGATTCCACTCTTCTGAAGATCACAGAACCTGACCGCCACAAAATCACGGAGGCAATGCAACGACTCAAGAGCTTTGATTTCAAACTTGCATGTTCTTGGCCTACGACTGAACCAGACTTCTCGTTTCTGACAGCAATCACAAAGACACGCAGACTAAGCCATCTCCGACTGCATGGCGGCGGGATAGAACAGGAACCGAGCAGCCTCGCTCCACATCTCCAGCACGAACTGGCTATAGGTCCTGTTTTGAATAGACAGCAGTGGCCGAGCTTGAGTACCGTCTTTTTGGACTGTGTCTCCGTCAATCAGTCGACCTTGTCGCGCTACGTGCAGTGCCTGCCAGCGGGGTGCCAACTAGAGCTGCGAAAGGTCCGTCTGACAGACGGGTTCTGGGTTAAAGTCCTGGACGTTTTGCGCGACTGCCCAGCAAGGGTCGAGATGCTGGTAGACCCTGATGGAGGCGAGCGACGGGTCATGGCTGAAGGAGAGTGGTCGTCATATTTCGGAATGGCTTCAGGGACCTTTTGGTCCAAGAGCCGCGCAGAGAAGTACATCATGGGCTGGGACAAGGTCAATCCTCTCGCACAAGGTGGTTGGTGATCGGATATAGACTTTGGATTAAGGGGAAAGGGATAGTCCGTAGGGGTTATGGCGGGCACTGCCGAAAAGAGAGGTACGCGTTCGGGTTTGGCATAGTAGATAGGATTTTAGTTTAGATACCCCAAGATAGTTAGTTAGCCAGCCAAGGTGGAATTGCAGTATAAGTTTCCACTGTACCCTGACCTGCCTACGGCCCTAGTCAAGGCTTAGTCAAGGCCTAGTTAAGCGTCAGTTGCACATGCAGAAAGGTGTCGAATTACTAGTAAGTCGATGGCGGAAGCCACAGTGACAAAAGTCCACATCGGTGAATTGTGAACGGCTTATCTTGAGACACCTTGGCCACGCGTTGTCATCGGCTGTCGCGGATAGGTGCGACCTGCCGTAGACGTCGTTTGCTTTTGGGTTCAGCCACAGCTATCCCATGCCCATGCCTTGCCCAACAAGCTACCCCTGCAGCCCCACCGAGACAAGACGGCCAGGTCAGGTCACTGGAGTGCACTACATGTCGAGCCCCAGGACCTTTATCAGAATCAGCATTCTTCGAGGGTCGCTACGAAACTCTGCATCGTCGAGTCCCAGACACGTCACTAGTACTTCGCCTAGGGGGCTTAAGTTGTTGCCTCCAGGGCTGAAGGGCTGAAGCAAGGTCGTGCGCCCACGTCTGTCGCAGCCCGTCCGCCTGCAGTTGTCTGCAGCTTCGTGTTCAGGAACTTTTGATGGTCAGCTTCATCGGCGACGAGCTTGCATCATTTCCCTAGTTGTTCCCAATTGAGACTGAGGTCCCTCGGTCTGAGAGAGTCCCGTAGTCTCTGAGATATCTAGGACCGAGTCACATACGGCGAGCGTTATCGCACTCGGCTCGACGGCGACCCCACAAGCATCTTGTCTTCACTGTACTGGGGCGACCGATGTTGCAGTCAAACGGCGAGTATGCCTATCATTCCCGTTCAGCATAAGGAGCCATGGAAACTAATGTGCCGTCACAGATATTAAGGGCTACGGGCCCATATCGCTACCTATAGTAGTTATACTTTACCCAGCTAGTAAGATCGCCAAGCGCCTCTCCAATTCGCAATGGACCCAACCCCAATAAGCACCCCCGGTGGACCCGACAGGAGTAGCCTAGCAGACCTCTACGCCCGCCTGCGGGTTGTCAACGAAAGCATCAAAGATGCGACCGGTATGGTCTTCGCATGCACCTCCAATATGAGATATGCCAAGCATCAGCATGACACGCCCGAGAAACAACTGCTCGCGCAGGCCACTACACTCAAGAGGCATCTCGAGGGAGAGCAGAAACTGCTGCGGGAGAGTATCGACAAACACCCCAAATCGAGAATGGGCACTACGAATATATGCGATATGCCCGAGGAGATCTTGTCCGAGATCTTTACCTATCTTCGAGGCCGTGTGTGCAGGGAGCAATCTGTGGACTTTGTCTGTAAGAACTACTCCAACAAGGAGATCAAGAACATCAGGCTAGCATGCCGAGTGTTCTGCCGCGCTAGCTCACATCTTCTGTTCAACTCTATCACGGTCAGGATGGAAGAGACGTCACTAGAAGCTCTCGAGTACATATCACGCCACCCGGACTTCAATGCGAGCATACGGGGTATCAGAGCCTCGTTAACAACGTACAGTAATGTTCTGGGTGGAAACATTGATCTTTTCATTCGGTACCACATCAAACAGATGCGTAAGGAATGCAAGAGGTTGGATGGGATACGTGAGTGGAAAGCCGTGGAGCAGGAGATGAAGAAGGCAAACTTCATCATAAATTCGTGGGAAAACTTGGTCGGCAAACCCCGAAGTTACTTCTCAGCAGTTCCGAGAGAAGCACATTACCAAAGGATTCTGAGAGACGCGCATGGAAAGTACGTGGACAAGCTGTACTATCAGGAAGATTCGCGGCTCGACCGCAGCTTCGTATGTCGTGTCGCCGCCGCCATTTCTCGGATGCCCAATGTCTCGCGGCTTGAGATATGTAGTGGCAACTGGATGGACAACGTCGGGACTCTCTTTGATACCCTCAGACAGGATGAGATCCTGGAAAGGTCTCTACTCCTTCCTCTCACCTGGGAAGAGGGCGCAATGCATGCCAACACAGTTGAACCTCTCGAGATGCTTCACGAGCTACCGCGAGCCATCTACGCTGCCAGTGGCCAGCCACGATGTCTCGCCTTTAGGGTGCCCATCACGTCTGACTGGCGCCACCTAGCCCAGACTGCAGAGCAGACACGCGGGCTCGCGGCAGCATCTCAGGGCCTGGAGATTCTTGATTTCTCCCTGAAGGCCGTAGACCGCCGGGCCTGGATGCCGCAGCCACGCAATATAGAAGAGATTGAGGACCTTGTGGTCTTTTCCGATGCGCTACTCGACACACGGAGCCTTCGCTGCCTGAGGCTGGACTTTCGGCATCTCTGGCTCGCATTTGGCATTACCAATGAGGTAGCCCCAATATTTAGTCTCGGCCCTTTGATCTCGAACAGGAGCTGGCCCCGGCTGGAGGAGATCACCCTTGGCCATTTGTCTATCGACCTGAAAGAGCTGAAAAGTTTTGCTCGCAACCTGCCAGACAGTGTCGCCTTGTGGATGCGATCCCCGCACCTGCTATCGGGGAAGTGGGAATGGGCCCTCGACCTGCTACGCGAGCACTTCGAAGGCTACCTCACGTTGGAGAAGCCCTCCGGGGCAGAGTGCGATACCCTGCCGTGGCTCGAGAAGGACTCCATATTTGAGAGACGAGTACGCAAACCGCAGTCACTCACCGGGAACGTGCAGCAGAGCTTGGCAGAGATGTACGTCTCGGGGGCGATCAACGATAACCCCCTGAGACCCCCCGGGCAGGAAAACGCTGATGGGTAATGGGAGTTTGGTTCAGTTTTCATCTTGAGTGTCCACATTAGTGTAGAGAAGGGACGTTGAAGTCTGCCATGGAAATGATAGTTGCCTATAGAATACAGAGTCTTGGTTTCGATCATACGGCGATCTTTTCGGAAGACAGAGCTTGATGGTTATGCGTACACATATGATCTAGTTTCAATCGCTGTAGTCAAGTCTCCTTCCTCGACGGATTCATCATTTCCTTTCTGCAATTCTTTCAAATACCCCTCGAAGCCGTCGCCATACTTACCAACAAGGTAGCGCATTGTTTCCTTGCACCTGTAAATCGTGTCAGTTTCATGAATCATGGATTGTAAATCGTTGAATAGCATATCATACCCCTGTCGGAACTTTAAGTTGCCGGGGTACAACGAAGATGAAAGTAGATCAAAACGACTAATGTTGTGGTCAGCTCAACTTGAATGCATACGGGTGGATCTGTATACATACAGGAAATACAACAGGGTACGGTCTTCGAAATCATCCACTGGCTCTGAGGCTCGGAAGTGTTTCGTGTACTCCTTCACGTACTCACTCGTCATCTCATGGCGAGCCGCTTTCCACGGGGCGAGTTCAACTATCTCATATCAAGTTAGCTCAGGTTGTCTCTTCACTCAGTGGCATGAGATAGCATCCAGGGCTCGTAGTTGGCTCCATACACTCATTGTGGGCATAAAGACACAGCGGATCGAAGATAACCGGTCTTCCATTACTCTTGTCAACTGACGCATTGCCGTCCCACAGGTCTCCATGCACTAGCCGCGGTGTGATATTCAAGGGACGCAAAAGTCTCGGGATGACCTTTTCCACAATTGCCATTTCCAGCTCCGTCATCTCGGCGTCAACGCCGTGCATAGCTTCATCCTTGGCCATGTTGAATTTGATCATTTCGGTAAAGCACTCTTCCCAAGTGTCGCAAGAGGGTGTTGGGAGAGGATTCATGCCGCCGTGCAGCAGGTGCGGGAATCCAAACTTGCCATCAGGAGAGATTCCTTTCTTGTGCAACTCGGCCACCCGCGCTGGGAAATTGGAAACGGTTGGTATGTCGCCCGTCATCTCAATAAAGCGACTGAGCAGAAAGTGTGTGTCGGGGGTCTCTTGGTATGTGCCCCAGCCGATCAATTCTGGCACCATGTCGGGAATCACGTCTCGAAGTGTGCCGATGCCTAGATACTCGCCGGACACAATTCGCTTACCAACATCGCCTTGATGAACCTATACATTATGGTGAGCAACTCGTACTGTGGCGTTGGTACTGGTCTCTTTCTGACGTTCGTACCTTCAAGAAGAACGACTCTCTTTCGCCATGGGCATTAGTTGTATCTATTCGGCCAAGTCTAGCCCAATAGGAGCCTTCAATCGCGCATATACCCAATACCGCGGCTCCCTTGGGCAGCACTTTCAATCATTAATATTCACCTGTGAGCTATAAACGGAGTACTCGAACAGTTCCGTTATACTTACGTGCTCGGACAGCTTGGTCTACGTACTCAACCACACCTACAGGAGTTTCGATCTCCTTATCCCAGATAGACTTGTCAAGACCCATGATGAGATGATTGTTCTGCAAGATTAGATGAGTATTGAAGGAGAAAAGGACATGGACTCAACCTCGGCTTAAGGGACGTGCATAGAAATCCTGGCGCGGCAGCATCAGGTAACCAACCAACGGACCGAAGATCCCTGTCCCAACCTCCATTGGATCCGACCCGCACTCCAGCATCCCGATGCATGACTGGTTCATCACGTCCGAGCACAAGCAAACTGCATGCCAACTCCGCAAAGTTGGATTGCAACTTCCTTGCTCTTCGAAGGTACTCACTTTGAAAGGCCTCAGCAAGCCCTGGGCTCGCCGCTTTAGCCATTCGGTCTCTACTGGTGCCGTGAAATGTCTTCAACCGAGCTTGGAATTCCTTGAATGTCTTTTTTCTGGTTGTTAGCTTGCAAATCAAGGTTTGATGCACCAACTCGTTATGGCAACATGCGCCGTAGCCGGCGAGCTGGAACGTGTGGGACTTAAACGCCGACTTTTCCAATTGTACCATCTGCTTCTACTTGAATATCAGGAGGGCCACGGCCGATACTATCCAATATGCACTGCAGCGCGGTGATCCAACCATCCTCAAGCATCGCCGAGGCGAGCTTCACACCCGACCTGATGATTGCTGTCGACAATATGACGAGCCCCAATGACGTTGAGACCGTTCATAATGCTGAATCACCCGTAGAATCGGCGCCGTACAGTGTTCTGAGCCCGAACCGGAAGCGTGGCTTGGTCTACCTCTTGGCATATCTCAGTTTGGCCTCGTCTCTGACTGCAACCATCTACTTTCCGCTTATCGACATGTTGGCCGAGTTATACCAAACATCAATTCAGAACGTCAATCTTACGATCACTGTTTACTTAGTGGTTCAAGGAATATCACCGTCATTCTGGGCTCCATTGGCCGAGACACTGGGTCGCCGTCCTGTATTTCTTCTGACATTCTTGCTCTACACTTTGGCGAGCCTTGGACTAGCCCTGTCAGCCCCATCTCGCAGCTATCTTGCTTTGATCATACTACGGGGCGTGCAGAGCGCTGGTGGATCGGTTGTGCTTGCTCTGGCGTATGCTGTTGTCGCAGATGTCGTTGTCCATGCCGAAAGAGGAAAATACCTTGGACCGATGCTGGCAGCCGCCAATCTAGGACCTTGCTTTGGGCCAATCATAGGAGGTGCAGCTATTCTCTCAACTTGCAATCCAGCGTGGTGTTTCTGGGTTCTCTTCATATTTGGACTTTCCGCATTTTCTCTCGTCGGCTTCTTCCTGCCCGAGACGTTGCGGAGTATTGCGGGCAATGGCTCGATCCACACGCACAGTATCTGGAACACATGGGCGGTGGGTTTGGATGGGGTCTTTACAAAGTTTCGCAATCGACGCGGCGGCCACACGCAGCAAATCTGCAAATGCTCCTCCGAAGCGGGACCTCTTGGTTTTCAGGACGGTAAATGGTCTCTACCAAACCCTGTCTCTTCCATTCGATGCATTTTACATTGGGACACCTTCATTATCTTGTGGCTGGCGGCCTCTCCCTATGCATTATGGTACGCTATGCAGTCATCAATTCCCCTGATCTATGGTACCCAATACGGCTTCAACCATCTCACCGTCGGGTTTAGCTATCTTGCCGGTGGAGGAGGTGTCATCATGGGTGCGCTTAGTGCTGGTCGCCTGATGGACTGGAACTATAGGCATGTCGCTAAATCTCACGGACTCGCCATTGACAACATGGTGGCTGGAGATCTCGCGGCTTTCCCCATTATGTTGGCAAGATCGCGAGGCTCAGTCCTCATCTTATCAATTTCTTGTATTGTTGTGGTTGGCTGGGCGTGGTCTTTTGAACTCCAGGTGCATCCATCGGTTCCACTCATCCTACAAGCTTATGTCGGATGGAAGGTAACAGTCTTACACCAATTCTTTAGTGCACTTATTGTAGACCTGTACCCCCTCGAGACGGCACCTGCAGCAGCTGCCAATAATATCACACGCTGCACACTCTCAGCGATTGCCGTGGCGACCTTGGAGCCGCTGGCTGTTTCACTTGGGCGTGCATGGTCCTTCACAATATTTGGTCTAATAGATGGCCTTGGGTGCATAGTATTGGTTGTGGCACTGAGACGTTGGGGCACAGGTTGGAGAGACAGAAGGGAAGCGTCAAGTCATTGAGACAGATGAATCTGCCGTAAGTAGGCGTGTAACTCAAGCCGTACGTATGATAGATTTGGAAATTGTTCAAATAAACAATTTATATCGAGAGTAGCGGAAAAAGACTCCTCCATGTTCTTGTCGTACACCTAGTCGTTATCACAGTAGATACCATGCGCCGGAACCTACTTAGTTCTATTACCGAGCCTAAGCTTGAGACAAGACAATGTGGCCAATTGTTGAATTCGAGGCTAACATGGTGCTGGGTTTGAGCATCCTGAGCGTATTGCCAGCCTACGGGGAAGGGCAATACTTCGTTGCGGCTGTGGACCATTGCCTCTTCTTGCAGCGAAGCTTCCACCATTCTCCATGATTTCCAAGCCCCTTTTGATCACTGCGAGTTCACCTTGCCTAATGACAGAAATTTCGCCACCAGGCCCCATGCCCATGGTCATCTTATAGGCGCCGTTGTTCCAATCGTTTGGTATAAAAAAGTGTCGTACCAATGAAGCAGCATGGCTAATCTCTTTCATCGGGGTCGATGTAGGCTGCAGATCCATGGAACATATCCAATATTCAGCACTGCATAGTATAATTCGATGACCGATAATTCCAACAACGGCTTCAATTTTATCCACAAGGCGGCCAAGATCGAGTATAGGTGACAACTTTGTTGTGTCTTCAGTAATCTGCTGAGTATCCCATACTTGGTAAATTGGTGGATCGGTCCGAGACCCTGAAGCCTGGGTAGCTGTGACAAAATACTGAGGTACCCTGGGGTTGTACACGGGGATAACGCGGTCGACGAGCGGTCTATCTAACCCTATTTCGAGGCTAATCGATCTGATGCATTCAAGGTCATGCCACTTATGTATTCGGAGTTGTCGTTCGTCCAGAAAATATAGGTGTCTTTCGTCTCGGAAATTCTGGAGCCAGCGTGGGTCAATGCTGCCTGGAAGTCTAGCTAAAGAACATGAATTTTCAGAAGACGGCAACTGCCAAAGGGTGTTCGACTGTTCCGTAGAAATTATCATCCTGGATAATTTCCCAGAGGTCAAGATCTGTCTGGTCGTTTCCTCGAATCGCCGGTTGATCAGGGGCGAGGAAACTTCCCAGTGGGAGTTTGGACCGAGACGCTCCCTGCTTATTTGTCTTCCTGTTACACGGCCCGAAATATCGGCACAGGAAATAATCCCGAATTCGCTGTCAAAGTGAATGAGCTGAATGAGGCATCCGGGATTCTGCACGAATAACTTGTGGCTCACAGGCTCCGGCCCTCTAGTGTCGAAAACGTGGACTGAGCCGTCCTGTTTGCCATAAAAGACCAGATTTGCTGTATTTGCGCAAGCCAGGGCTGTGACATTCCTACCCTCCCGAGACTCATTGTCAACATTTCCAATCCCAACGGGTATTGAAACAGTATCGCTAATCTCATCCTCTCCGCGTTGTCTTGGAAGAACTGAAGGTTCCCACACTCGGCACTGATTCCCTCGTAGCTCGATTACCCGCATACTGTCGGGAGTGAAAGAAAGGGATTTGACCGTTAAGCTATTACTAGGGAGTTGTATGTGATATATGAATTTCAACGATGCGAAATCAAACAGCTTAATGTTTCCGCGGGAGTCTGCAGTTGCTAATGTTCGACCATCAGGAGATCCGATGAGTAGGAGGGCGTTGACATCCTCACGCAGGTGCACTTTGGAGCCATTTGAGGTATCGTAAAGAGCTAGGCCGCCATCATAATATGAGATTGCAAGCATGTTGAAATCGCGCTGCTCGCTGAAAGCCATTCCTTGGACCGTAGTCGTGCCATCGGCCAACTTTGTAGATGCATATCTTTTCGATCCAGTATCCCTTTCATAGATGTCGTAGAGGTCATGATCTAGGTAATCCCAGAGTATGAGGTCTTTCCCTCGATATGATATGCAAAGCAGGCCCGCTGTATATCCAATTTCTGCCAATTCAGGCGCACGAGACTGCAGATCTGAACCTTCTTCATCGAGGAGGTCTTGGGTCCAGTCAATTGGATTCTCAAACAACAAACCTGTGCTAACATCCCACTCATATAGTTGATTCTTCTTCGTGACGGCTCGCAAAACCGAGTTATGGTCCGTAAAGGCCAGTGCCAGACAGATTGAGTCAATAGATACTCTCAGAATTGGCGAACCCGATTCAGGATCCCATATTCTAATCGTTTTGTTCCCTGCTGAAGCAAGCAATGTTTTGGGGTCTGAACCGCGAATAGGCTGACTAAAGGCCAGACGCCACACATAGCCACCGTGGCTCAAAGTATGTATTTCTTGGCCCATCTCGCTTCCGTAGACAATAACTCTTCCATCCATCGTACCCAAAGCAAAGTAACCATCACCGCTACAAATAGTAGTGGGCTTCGTCCCTCGAGGGTACATGATAGTGGTAACGCACTCGTTCCACCCTGTTTCTGAGAGACCTTGGACGCTCAAGCCCTTGTATGGCGATGAGAACTGTTGTCGGATAATAGAACTTCGAGGGCAGAAAGGTGGAATGAGCTGGTGGATACATGAAGGAGTTGCTCCAAGCCATCGCGAAAACCTAGAAGGAAGGTGCTTAAGATCGTTTGCCCACCCCTCTAAGACCGCCATATCCTTCTGAGTGTTGGCCAGCAGCGTACTTGGCGGCGGGTGGCACTGTGATCGTCGGTTTAGAAGATTACTGAGTGTGTTTCCAGCGTGGAAAATTCCTGGCAGGTTTGATTTGGACGCTAGAAATTCGATCCACACTAGTATGCTTGGACTCCGCAAGAATTTAGACACTGCATCCAAAACATCATCATCTATAGGATCGACGTAATGAAGATGCTGGAATAGGCTGGTCGATGCATATTCTTGCAATACTCGTGGCATTTGTGCCTCCGATACCGAGCCATGCCGCGGAGCACGAGATATCGAGCGTTCTCGCTCCTTGTCTCCACCCATCAAGTATCTTAGACACGCCATGGCCATCCGGCGATGAGCGGACGTTCTATCCAAATTCAAGTCTGATGATAAATCGCTTCGCGTCAGGAACTCTCGCGCGGTAAGGTGTACAAGTTGCATCTTGCTGTGTCGATCAACATAGACAAGATTGCCGCAACAGTTCAAAATCGACCTTTCCACATCATCAATAGTGTCATGAATGTCCATTTCGATGCATACTCGCACTTCGTGAGTCGATAGGGGCCGGAAAGAGTAGGTGGCCCATATCAGCAGAGCCTCTGCCAGATGCCTTCCAAATCGCGCATTCGACATACCAGTCAAAATATTGGCGTACAGTGAGTCCATATTGCTTGGATTGGTCTCAAGTACCTTTCTTATCTCTGAAAATGTATGGACCTGTCGCAACTCAGTGAATATGAGGTGCGCCCAAAGAAAGCAGCCTTGCGCACTCTTAAGAATGTGATCCACGAAGTCCCCTGGTGTTTTCCAAATGTCAGATCGCGCCCACGGAAGCAAATGAATATTTGCCTCAAGAAATCGAGAAATATCCTGGTTACTATCCTCGTCTGAAATCACTTCTGTTCGAAGATCAGAGAAAGTTGGGGTTGCACTCCTCATATGAGACTCTGGCGGGTCTCGAGATGTGACAAACACGAACAATGGCCAGTGCTGCTGCGCTCGGGCGATAAACCCCATCAAATCCGCGCTGGCTTTGCATTCATCCATGGCGTCGATAATCCAGTAGAGAGGTCGGCTCAATTTGACCCTCAACAACCCTGAGCTGTACAGCCGACTCCATACCAAATTATGGTCAATCTTGTCGATGGGTGTCTCGCTCCAATTTGAAGACAGGTCGCTGACTTTCTCAAGAATATCCGTATTCAACGTAGCCAATTGCCAAGTTATAGAGCGAAGGAAGGAATTGACCGTAGATTTGGAATGATCACTCTCAGAAAAGAAGAAGAAGCAGCAGTCCATGCCAAGACTTCGTAACGTGTTGATAACATGGCCTGCTAAGAAACTCTTCCCAGTTCCCGGTCGGCCACGCAGCCACAGGAATCGTGTATCAACACCTTGGCGCCAGCTCATGAAAGAGTCTTTGCGCAATAGCCATTCGCAAGACCCTGCGACTCTTGCGGTGTCTTGTGCCATTATTTGATCCTCGGGCGCATCTTGAACACCTAGGTATCTGTCCAGCTGAATTTGGGTTTCCCGCTCCAAATCCTGCTTTGACGACTTGCTTGACTGTCTTTGACTTTGGACTACAGTGACAAGGGCGTTTCGAACAGAAATGTATGAAGGGTCATTCGGCGACGCGTACATCGCAGCATTTCGATGATTTGCATCCAGGGGCGTCTTTCTCTCATTCGGGGCATTCATAACGGCTGCATGCTTCTCGACAATGAGTCCTTTCCCCACCCCGTAGTTCATCGACTTTGTTTCGTAAAATGAGAATAACTTCAAATGGCTACTCACACGTGGAAACTCGTCATTGATGGACTGGAGGGCAGGGGATTCAGGGAACAAGTCGTTAACGAAAGGACGAGAACCTGGAGCCAAGGCCAGTAGCCTACTGAGAGTTCTCGCTATATCGGCGCCCTGGTGCGGTGTAGCAAGGAAAAAGACAGCAGAGGTGCGTGAAACAAGAGGCTGAAACTCTGGAATCTGAGTTCCCATAATGAATGCCTTTTTGATCACTAAGCCTCCCATACTATGGCCTATGAATATCAAGCGAGGCTAAAATATACGTTAATCTTTCCGTCTACAGAGCACCAGAACACTGACCTTACTTGCGGGCTCCTAGTCATGGTTGGTGCATCCTGAACGGCTGCAAGCAGGCTGCGCGCGAAGTCATAAATGTTGAGTACTGAATCTCGGCTTACGCCAGAAGAGTATCCGAATGTGTGTATTCGCACATCTCGAAAGCCGTCTCGCGGTAGGAACTCGCCAGGCCAAAAGAGACTCGCGTCCCCTCCCTTGCTCCATGTGCTCTTAGATCCGCCGTTGAGGCCATGGACGAAGACCAGATCAGCCACAGCATTAGCATCATCTGGCTCGTATACAGTAGTAAGGCCAAGAGGTCCCTTCGCATGAACATTAGACTCCTGGCTGTCCGACGTCTGTGTGTCTCGGCGGCTGAAGCTGCGCCTGAGTAATGCCTTTGCTGACGAAACAGACAAAGTTCCTGAAGTAATGCGCGGTCGTTTTGCTTGAAGCGGATCCATCACGTAACCCAGACCAGAGTGGGGAAGCCCACTGTGCCCAGACACGGCGCCGTATCATGAAACTTCTGTTCAGTTCTCCGATACAGATTCATGCGGGGGTCAAGTGAAGCTAAAGACGGGGTTCTAAGCTTATCACGATAGTCGACCATTATAGGAGGAAGGTTGGACGGTAAACGCCTCAACGCAAGTCGACAATTCACAACCTCTACGGCAAGGCTAAACTATGGCAGTCCCCAACTTAGGCACCCATCGGTCGGCCAATCAGCAGCTTACCTACTACACAAACCCCGCCCAATGGACCTTGTAAAGATGTGATCAAGGCTACCACAGTCTAGGTTGATGGTCATGGGAGATTGGCGCTCAAGCCCGATTGGCCAACTAACTTACACTTATTGACACGAAGCCCAAGATATAGTCCGATGCGACATGAGACGGGTGAGACGGGGTGCTGCTGATTGCTGCACATTTCCCCGAGGAAATGCTGTGTTTGCAGTTTAGGAGGCATACCAGCGACGAGCAGACTTGATGTTAGGAATCTGCTATTGATAGTTTAAAAGTCAGCTGAGCATGTTGTCAATGTCATCTCGCAGTGCGTTGGTCAAGCAGACAAAGGAGTCGCGAGCTCGCACAAGCGGAGCGCACCGAGAGCGACACGGCCATTTGAACTAATTACAATACCGGGGCACTCAAACAGGAAGTAGTGTGCCTCATTGAAAGCGTTTAATTTATTCGATTTTTTTACTTTCAGAGTCAAAATTGCGCCAGAAACGGGAAAACGCATAGCCATTCAGGCCAACATACAGAAAAGGACTGACAAACCTAATACTGGGCCTCTGGAAAGCTTATCAGAGATGCCCCTACTGCCTCCAATTTCTTTTGGGCTACTTGTTGCTCGCTGTTGTGACCAATCAAAGGGGGTAATTGGAAGACCATACAGATCTTGTAAGGGCTTGATGAATATTGCAGCAAAAGGCCACATGCTCAATATAACGAATGAAAATCATTGTACTTGAATAATATGGTCGACGGTTTGTCGATCAAAAATGGGAAAGTCCGACAAGGCCAGTGTCGTGAACGCGCATGTGATCAGAAGCTGAAGGCTGAAAAATATGTTCATGGTGAGAAAGCGGAGCCACAGACTTGACAATCTGAGGTATCCAATTTCAAAAGTAAAACATTGCGAAAGCCAGAAGGGATAGCCAAATGTGAAAACCAATAAAGTTTGGATGCCGTGGGATATCATCATCTGTTATAACCTTAATCAGGTGCCTCTCAGTCGTGGGGAATGTGAGAAAAAACATCCATCCAAGGACCTCATGTCACAAGTGAACGTAGCATTTGTGATGTTCATGGTTAGAAGGGATAGCCGGATCTGAAGCTCGGAATTGGAGGAGAGTAGTGGAATTCAGTGATGGCAATTAGGGAACACGGTCAGGTTCCTTGCTAGCATCTAATGGCAGCATCACTTTTCCCAAACGCACTCACGGGCCGGACGCCTGCAGCGTTGGGGTTGCATCGCATAGATATACCTAGGCACCGTGCCGATTGGTTCCACAGACCGGCCATCACTTGCAGTTGTTTGGTCACAGTGGTGCATCCATTCGTGCCTGGTTCTTGTGCATACTGTAAGCCAGGACGGAACGCAAGTCAATGATTGGAGAGATACTCTGCAATGCCAACTCTGCCCCTCTCAGCCTCAATTTCGGTGCGCCAACTGTTTCACACAGCATGGGAAATTCGTGAAGTGGGCACATCAGTGCGCGAGTGTTGGATGTGGCGAAGCTGCAAGTCAACAAGTGCTCCGAGAACACAGCTTCATGTCTGTATGTGGAGCTAGCAAAAGAACCCACGGAGGCCTCGATGATTAACGCCACACATAGACCCTTCATACAGTAATTCGTACCTTCTCCTAGATACCCGGGACACGGTAATCGCATCATTAACCCACATGTTTTAATCTAGCCTTCGAATGAGGAGTGCCCCAAGTATTTGACTGTTTGTTTGCGTTTGCCAAGATGTTTCTGACAACGTCCTTTAGCTTCGAAGTTTTTCAGATATCGATGTTTCAATGCCACGACGCTGGCGTCGGATAAATTGATTGATAATCACTGTACAGCCTAAGGTTCACGCACATAGCTGGTTCATATGGCAATTATGTCTTCGGAGAAACTCTTGTTCCCATCCAACCTTATTCAGCCTCGGAAATAGGTCTTATATGATCACTTCCAGTGCAGTCTTGCTTCTGTAAAACAGAGAACCCCATCAAGTTTTCGGGGCACCTCTACCGCCGCTTCTCATCAATGAAAGACTACTGTCGCTTCTCTTGGCCGAGCTCTATCCCAGTGTTGCTTTGGCATCACAAAGACCCCAAATCTTCGCGCATGCCTGTCTGATCTGTTGATACCTAGGCTAAAAACATGACGCAAAGGCTTCAAACGCTCAGACTGCCCTTCCAGGAGTTCCACCTCGACCACCTTTACCAGTTCTATTCCGTCACGAAGAAGCCAGCTCAACGTGGACCTCCGCAAAAAGCTCGGGACGCACGCTTCGAAGCCCCTCCTGGGGCTATGATATGTATTCCCTACTATATCTTCATAGTGTAGTCGTACGTTGTCATAGGTAACCGTAGTTCTGCGACGTCTTTTGTGGCTAGCAGTGAGCTTGATCGAAGGGGAATTCCAGTCCATGTCCTGTTCATGATCGGGGAGCTCTGGGTGAATATCCTCAGTTGAATTGGAGTCCTCGCTAGGATCAGAGGAGTTGTAGACGGAGAGTTTTATGACCTCGGAAACAATCTTGACGGTGGATGTCGATTTGCATACACTGAGGCATGCTAGCCACTGTGAACATCGATTCCACAGGTGGGGCGATTCCAGACTTCTTCTCAAGAAAAATCCACCCAGTTCCTGGTCTGCGACATATCCACCTGGGAAGACGAAGTCGCCGTCTGCATCAAGCTTGCTTTGTACTTTGCTATTGACAGGATAAATACCGTTCATTGGAAACACCATGCGCCAGCCCGCCCAACTCCAGCTCGGGAAGCCGTCTCTGAGCGCATCAGATTCGCCTGTAAAGAGCATGGCGTAGTGGAAATCCGTTGAAGGTAATCCCTGGAAGAACTTTATCTTTTTGGACGTCTCAAGCACATTCAGACAGCCTTGGATGGCATCTAACCTGTCAGAATCATAGGTTAGTACTCTCCGAGCGTATGCAACAACAATATCGTTGTAGTCTTCGAAGTCCCACTGGGAGGAATTGAGCCACCGGTATGCTGAATGGGTGTGAACTCCCCGGGAACGCAAGTCGACACCCGGCATTCTGGCTTCGTGGCCATATATACCGGAGTGCTTTGAGTCATTCCATTCACCCGAGTAACATTTGAATGAAAGCCCGCCGGGTCCAAATTGCGCTATTCTTCTAGCAAGCTGCCCTTCTTGGTATGTCCAACCTCTTTGGGACCATGGTAAATTCTCGATCACTGGGTCGAAAGTAGAGATATACTGGCGGCCTGAAATAGTTTCTACTCTTTGATTCTGTGCATCACCATCTCCGTGTTCTGGGGATGAGTAAGGTAGAAGAGCTGGCTCGGTATCTGTCGATAGGACTTTTCCTGATGCGACCACGGTAATGTAGGCTAGGTGGTATATCATTCCCATGGCGGCGATCATCGATGCCTTATTCTCTGGGTATTCTTGGTCGATGCAGTACACATCTACCCATAAATATGGGATAAGAAGTGCTTTGCAGACCCTGATTGCGTCTTCAACAAGCTTCGGGACACCTCGTGCTGGGAGATATAGAGTTCCCTTTCTGCCATCATCGACTTCGGCAGCCACGAGATTATCTCTAAGCATAGAGACTGCAGTGTCAAACCTCCCCCAAACCCAACTGAGGGTTGCATATTTGGCATCTGTCAGACGAACCTCCACGAGCGCTCGTGTGGATACATCTATTACTTGGATAATAGACACAGAAGTATTGACATCCTTCAGAACTGTGAAATTTTGGCAGGTATCGGCATGGTACTCATCACAAGTTTTGACCCATTTTGCGAGTAGAGTGAGACTTGTTTGCAAGTTGGTGACTTGGTAGCCGTTCCGTAATGGTCGGACAGGATAGACAGAGCCAGGAGAGAGCAACTGAATTCCGCTCTCGGACATACTGGGTAGGAGATTACATCTCATCGTCTCTTCTTGTGAGGAGTCTATTGTGCTGCAAAGACGCACCTGAAGTTTTGTTGCAACCAAGTTTCGCGTGGTACGGTCCAGATACTTCATGTCTTGGCCATCATCTGCGCGATAAGGCAACAAAATGCAGCGGACTTTCGTTGGATCGAAGTCGTTCTCTGATTCCCATGATGGGTCGTTCAGTCGACTTCGGTGAATAACATGCTTCACCAGACGGCATAGTGGGCATCGCACGTTAGAACTGATGTCGTTAACAGTGCCTATTCCCCCATCCCCGGAGCCTTCAAAAGATTCTCCATCACAATGCCGTGGCCCAGTGAACAGTGAGTACAGATCAATCCGTTGACACGCCTGACAAAGTTGGTCCGTGTCGGCCATTCTTGTCACATACAACAAGTATGATTCGGGAACCGGGGTAAATGGGAAGCCAAAAGAGTCGCTGAGTGACGACTTATGTTTGGGGCGAGGAGTGAGGGGTTCGGCTGGGACAAACAAAGAGAAGGACCGGGAAGTTCCCGTGCGTCGTGAAACGAATCGATGAAGTACGTGGACAGTGTGGATGCTGCCCAAACTTCATTTCTCTACCCCCATTTACATCCATAGTGGCCATCGTTACCATTGCAGTTTACATGCCCTCCCGCCTTTCTATGAGGGTTCTCTGAAGTCCTGCGATCACTATGTATTGGCTATGTGAGCCCCTTGGATGATTATACTCTGATACCGCAGCTATTGTTGAAAGTCCATTGCTTATTGCACCCCAGAGCGTCATTTACTTGTAGAAGAACACTTTGCAACGCTGACATCAACTGTTGGCAGCCTTGTAAATCATGTGTGCAGATCTCAAGTGATACATCTAAATGCCACTGCCGTTTGAAACTACTGAAGCGCCGAAGTATCCAGGGCTTGTTTGCTTCAGCCCGTGCTCTCCTGCCAAGTTCTTTGGCTGAAGGAAGAAAGAGAATATGGGAAAGGGATACAGTAACTAATGGTCCCAATTAGTGGAGTGCAACGTAAGATGCTTCAAGATACCATTATCGGGCTCTATTTTCTCATACGTAAATCCCATCACCGGACTAACTATGATAGCTTACTCCCTTGATCACCAATGCCCCATCGTCCTATCTATAAACCACCCGTTCCCCACGTCGCGGGTCGGGGGGCTCATCGAAGGAATGGCCCCTGCGCCCCGCGGATTCGTAATCCACATACCGATGGGGCGGTGCCCGCGAAGGATCGTAGGCCCTCCTGTCATCCACCCACCTCTCCCGCTCCTCGACGTAGGACCTCCGGTCGCCGCCGCCGCCCCACTGCGTGCGGTTGTCCTCCACATACTGCGCCCTCCTGGCGTCGCCCCCTCTGCTGCCGCTGGCGATGCTCATGGTGGTGAGCCCGTCGGGGAGGCCCCGGTTAACGCTAGCGGGCCGGACCCGGAACTCGGCGTTCTCGATCTCGAGCCTCTCGCCGCGCCTCAGGTGCACGTCGTCCAGTTCCAGCCGGCCGCGGCTGCTGCGAGGGCGGTCATGGTCCCTCATCCGCCGCCCGTCGTCGACCCGCAGTCTGTCGTCTCCACGTCGCGACGGGCCGCCGCCGGAATTGTGTGGGATCTCCCCCCTGGCTATCTTCTTGGCCTTCTTGATGTGGTTCTCCTCCTCCCATTCCTCCTTCTCACCGTAGGTGATGCCCTTGGGCCAATATTTGTGAGCTGCGTACGTCGCCGCTGCTACCGAGCCTAAGAAGACCAGCGATGTCTTCATCCCACTAGTGGTATCTGTCTTGTCCTTGAACTTGTCCTTCATCTCCCTCAACTCGGCCCGCTTGCCACCTCGGCGTGAGGTGGGCGAGCGGCTGGAGGATCTGGAGGACCCAGAAGAGCTGCGTCGGCTCCTGGCCCGGGGTGAGCGAGGCCGGGAGCGGGCGGGAGACGGTGAGAATGAGGGGCGGCGCCGGGCTCCAGATCGGGACCGTGAACGTGCGTACACCGGTGAAGGCGATCGCGAGTCTGCTGAATAGAGGGAGGAGGCGGGAGAGCCTCGCTGCGAATGCCGACCTCTAGGCATCATGAAAACTTCTGATTGAGCGTGAAAATGGAAATTGGATTGGCAAGAGAGAGCGCAGGCAGGACGTAAGATCAGAATGCCAGTCGCCCAATTGACCGGCTACTGCAGTATGGCGACAAGTGGAGTGCAGTAACGTAGTTCCCAGACCCACAGGAGATCTTTCGATCTCTATATCGGGAAAGAGGCCAGGCAGTAGAACAGGCGCAGTTTCTAGTTCGACTGGGCAAGACCGAGTCTGATTGCGATACTGCTGTGGACTGCGGGGCGGGAGTGGATGGGTTTCTTAGGATGATTCAATAGAAACAAGTTTAAAAGGAACTCCCTAAGTTTAACGGCGATTCATCGCAAGTTCGCCATGCGCGAATAGAGGTCATATCAAAGAGAGGTCACAAGCTACGGTACATGGCCAAGACGAGGCGAGAAGGGAAAATGGAAATAGGCCCAGGCGATCCACGGACAAGCTTTATGTACGACTTGGCGCTCTACTAAGGTGACAGGGCGTTGGGTAGGACCCTCTGGCTTGGCTGGCGGCCTGCATCTCGATAGCCACTGACGAAACAGGAGATCCGCAAGGGGAAAGGGTTCTGGGAGGCCCCACGAGGGGAGGCAGCATTGACTTCAGGTACATGCACGATGGCATACCGCGCGCGCCGATGTGCTGCACCCCACCCCTGGCATATTGCGAATCACTCCCACACGACTGGGAGCTGCCCAGGTGGTCTCTAATATAGCAACAGTCCAAGAAGAGATAAGGGGCCCGGGCGGCTCGGAGCGCATGGGAGTTAATCCATTTGCGTATTTTTACTAAGACAATGAGGCTTTTTTGACTTTGGAGGATCAGGACTCGCGACAGGCTGCTTGTAAAAGAAAGAAAAAAAATCGTTGGCAGAGTAACTCGTGTGTGTGGAGGAGCGGGAGGCTGATCTGGGCGTGGGCGAACGACACCCCGGGAGCGTTTCATGGAGTGATGAGTCTATCTTTGGGGTTTGGTAAGACGGCAATCTATCCCTTGGTCTCGCGTTGCGTGGCAGGCGTGGGATCACCGGCCGGCTGCGTCGCCCAATTATTTCGCCGAGTAGGAAAAGGATCTGACACGCTGGCCAGACCTCTGTGCCTCGCTATGATGAGCAGTGTCGGTAGCCAACACCATTGTGCCTCCAAGCAGGTTGCGAGCCAACCAGACCCCAAACGCGCGGTCTAACGATCCGACAGCGAGCTTTTGAGGGTGGCATGATGTCAGTCTCGGGACGTGGTCTGTCAATCTTGCGAGAGAGAAACGTTGCCCAAAGTAGAAGCAAAGCTAGCGCGGCCTGTGCAGCACTAGAATAGATAATGTGCGACTTCGAACTTAGACCCTGGCCAATGATATTAACATGATCGCTCCCAGGACGAAGCGGGATCCGAACTCATGAAAGGAGAGCATCTCGATCGTCGGGTGAATGATGTGCAATTTTTAATAGCGATGAACTCCTCGCACACGCTACCAAATGATTCGTCTGTTTTCAGATGCACTGACGGCATTGTCCTACGGGATGCCAGCTGCAGGTGGTGAGTTGGTGATACTGGTGTTACGTGCAGTTACAGAAAGGAATCCCCGTCTTCGGCTCTCAAATTCTTGTGGTGCCTTGGCTTTTGACGTCTTGAAAACCACGCGGGTTTCAAGTGACCAGACATGGTTCTGGAATCACTATACTGTTTGCAAGCATCAGGTTCGAAAGTCAATTGAGTCGAACGGCCTATACGTTGATTAGAGGCGTCGCGGGCTTAACTATGTCTTGGCGCTGCCCGCGCGCTGGAAAACTCGCCGCCCGCCCTCTGGCGCCCTTGTGGTTTAATGGGCATTCCAGTGGTTACGTCACGCGATTGGTGGTTGCTAGGGTGCCCACAGCTCGTCAGCATCAGAGCCCCAGCCCCCGCGCGCCCGGGTCCGTCCAGTCCATAGGTACCTAGGTAGCTTGTAGCTTGCCAAAGGTTTCGGACCCGCTTTGTCCAGACGCGCTTCTGGAGTCTGGCGGTCTCGACGCGCCGCCACCACAACCAAATCTTTGTACACAGCTACCTGCAAGGCTCCGATGGACTGACCCATCTCGCGGACTGCACGCCTAGCCCCCAGAGCCTCGGAGATGCCTCAGTACCGAGCACATGCCCAATAACCAGACATGACAATGCAGTCCCCTCCGGCTTCCTCAGGCGACGCCGAGCACCCCTTCGATGCCTCCAAGCCCTTTGCCGGCGTGGTCGTGTGCTGCACGAGCATCCCAGCCGACCAGAGAGTAAGCCCGCCATGCATGTTGACTGCTGTGGATGCCTCACGATCATGACTGACCCAGACTGCCCCGTCCGCAGACCGAGATCGCGAACCGAGTTCAGGAATGGGGCGGCATACACAAGTACGACTTGACGCCTGACGTAACCCACCTGGTCGTGGGCGACTACGACACCCCCAAGTACCGCCATGTCGCCCGCGAGCGGCCTGACATCAAGGCCATGGCTGCCGGGTGGATCGACGCTGTGCGCGCCCTGTGGACGACCGACCAAGAGATCAACTTTGCCGAGCTCGAGGCCGAGCACCAGCTGAAGACGTTCGAGAGCAGCGGCGGGTTCCCCTCGAGCACGAATCCACAGGAGCGGGAGCGTGGCAGGCTCCTGGTCTGCCTGACCGGCTTCGAGGAGCACGACCGCCATTACATCGAGGAGACCGTCAAGGCCAACGGCGGCAGCTACGTGGGCGACCTCTCTAGAAGAGTAACGCATCTGATCGTCTGCAAGCCCGAGGGGAAGAAGTACCAGGCTGCCAAGAACTGGAACATCATCACCGTCTCCATCGAGTGGCTTAACGACAGCGTCACGCGCGGCATGATTCTGGACGAGGCACGCTACGATCCCCTGTTGCCCAAGGAGCAGATCGGGAGGGGCGCCATCATCAAGAAGGAGATGAAGCGCGCGCCCACGGTCAAGAGACCCCGCGAAGGAGCAAATCCGGAACCAGACAACGGCCGGAGGAAGCTTAGGAAGAGCGCGAGCATGAGACTGAGCAGCCAGAGCCTCGATCTGTGGAACGACATCTTGGGCAGCAAGCAACCATCCGTAGATGCATCCAAGTCCATGATAGAGCGGTCCATGAGCGAGTCCAACGCTGCTGCCCTGGTCTCCAAACCCGCACCAATGACGAATGTCGCACCCCAGTCGTTTCCACTTCCACAGCCCAGTGCCGAGCCGACGCAGCCAGCCGAAGGTATATTCGCGTCCTGCCGCTTTTACATCCACGGCTTCTCAACCATCAGGCATGCTGTTGCCCGTGACGCTCTAACTTCGCACGGAGGTCAGGTCTCCAAGACTCTTGAGGATGTCGCTTCTGGAGAGCACACAGAGCCTACCGATCAGAGGTTCCTGGTGGTTCCTCAAACCTCACAACCAGATACCCACCCGCGACTGCCTGAAGGAGTGCACATCGTGACCGAATTTTATATTGAGCGTTGCATCTACGGCAAACAGCTACTTCATCCGAACGAACACGTCCTCGGGCGCCCTTTTCCCCGCTTCCCCATTGATGGCTTCCAGGAGTTGACGATATGCACTGCGGGTTTGCGGGATGAGCAGCTGTACCAGGTTGTCAGGAGTATTACACAACTGGGCGCGACGTATTCGGAGAAGCTCAATAAGACGTGCTCCGTCTTGGTTTGCCCCTCTGTTGCAGATGTGAGGCCGGAAAAGATCGATTGTGCTCTAGCTCACAAGGTGCCTATCGTTCATGCCGACTGGCTGTGGCAATGCATATCAACTGGCTTCCGCGTGCCCTGGGATGGCTTTACTTTCCCAGAATTGCAGCACAGGCTCTCTATCGACATCGACCCCGATCTACAAAAGGGAAGACAGAAACTACAACGATCACGATCAGAACCCGCCAGGAGAAGGGAGGCAAAAGCAGATTTTCGTGCCCCGGCAATGGGGTCCAAGGTTGATACCAGCGCGTTCGCCAAGGACCAAATGCCAGTTCCCGCTCACCGTCATCCTAGCCCTGAAGGCCCCAAGGCCGATGTTGCGCGGACACACGGTCAAGAGGATTCTTCTCTAGGTGTTTCAAACTATGACACCGCACTCACCCATCAAAACCAAAGTGTGGACGGTGGCCCCTTGTCCGAGCTTCATCACAATGCCTTGAACCAGTCACCACCCTCGAAAAGTCATCCACCTCGCAAATCCCTCCGTCGCTATCCCACCGAGGGCACTATCGGCGATTCGGAGGGCGGTGATGACTCGGATGCTGCCACCGTCCGCGGTGGCAGTGTTGCGCCCGAGAAGGGGGAGCCCTCAGCCTCACAGGCCGAAAAGGTCCGTAAGCGTGTGGCAGACGAAGAGAGCCGCAAGGCATTGGCATCTCGTCTAACAAGCCTGATGGATAAGCCCACCATGCCTGCACCTGTCGACAGCCCTAACCCCAACCCGGACCCTGCGGTAAAGCCTCAGCGTCGCAAGCGTGAAATTTTTGGCCGCGCCATCAGCAATGTCTCCGCTGCCTCATCCGCCAGCGTCGAGTCGACGGGGCCGTCCAACCTCGGTAGCAAGCCCATGCACATGGATCGCGTGAAGAGCGCGCCCGGGTCGCTGGGCCTGCTCGACATGATGGGCAACAATGCGCAGAACGCAGAGGAAGGCGAAGGCGACGACGCGAACCCGCCGCCCGCCACGCAGATTGGCTACGACGACCCCAAGGCCCGGCAGCATAGGCGGGCCGTCATGGACCGCATCGAAGGCAACGGCGGGGCCACCGCGAGGGGTACCTCCACAGCTCAGAGCCAGAGCCAGGAACGGATTACGATGGAGAGTCTGCGGACGGAGACGGCGGAGGGCATCCAGGGGACCGCGGCGTCGAGGCGGCCGAGGAGACGCTGAGGATGTGGCTCAGGTTGGATTGCGAAACAAGCCACCCTTCCTACGACGACATGTTATGTTTTACGATAAAAATGGCTCTTTACTTGGCGAAAGACGGGATGGTGCATATACGCATTTTTTGCATGAGAACTGTGGTTGATTTCCCAGCCGTGTTTGGTCCTTGTCTTATCTGGTCTGGTCTGGTCTGGTCGGCATTTCCCGTTTAGGGTGTTATAGGACCCTTTGGATTCACTTTCACGAAACCCGATACGACGCCTCAGACACACATATATACACACTCATGATGCCCGAAGCAGACGAATGGAGGGGGGAAAGGAAGCGTAGCGTAGCGACTGGTTGGATTATACATATACCCCCTACACACCTAAATAGCTAGGTAGTCTGAATATGGATAACATGCACTCCCATGACCCCTAACTGCCGAAGCAGCAGAGTTGGGCCCATGATGCGCTGCCCACCGCGTCTTTTGGTGATGATTTGTCTGCAACATTTGTGCGTTGTCGCGGTAAATGCGGTCGGGTGTCGTGGCCCATCCTGCCATGCCATGCCTTGCTTGGTCCACTGGTCCCCGCCGGCCCGCGACGCGCGCAATGCGATGGGGCTATGTTACAGTGCTACGTGCAGGCGTGCATGCGCTGCATATAGAATACCAAGGTATCAGGTATACAAGTCCCCTACTCATGCGCGCGGTGCCCCATCTGGAAGAAACATGCCAGGCTGGACCTGCTCGAACCCGGAAGTCCTCATGGGCTGGGAATAGGAAACCACACACTTTTTGGAACCGGGGTGGCGCCGCGATCGTCGAGACACGACAGCGCGCCATGCGTCGCCCGCTGCTCGGCAACCCGGCTTTTCCTACATATAGTTGCATCCGTCGTCCATATGCGGCCATGGTGGCGACACGGAAATCCAGCTGAGCCAACCCATTGTACGTGCGTGCCATGCACATGCAGCAGCCCTGCCCTGGAAAAGAGAGTTGTCAGTCGTTATTTTGTCTGCATAGTCGCTGATCAGGATATTATTGAACCCTTTTAATTTTGTTATTTCCCTCTCTTCCCTCGCCCCCGGGATGCGCGGTAGAGCGGGTTGGGTTTTGTGGAACCCGCAGACTGAAGGAAACAGCGGTACGGTCAGTCACAGCGAGACGAGGCAGGTAGTTATGTTGTCACAATGCGCAATATCAGAAGAGGTAATCCAAGTAGTGAAAGACAGGTATAAGCGGGTCTTGAATTGAACTTGTCCCAAAATCGTAGTTCCTCGCTCCTCCATGCGTCTTCCCGACCCAAAGCCATCTGGACCATCAAGAAAAGGGGGTATCATCTCAATCTTCCGCTTTGTACTGTTATGCCCTCGACCAAAAAGAAAGCCAAGCCAGGCAACAAAAGGACGTCGTTGCTTGTGTATGAAACAGAAAAGAAAATAATCCACAGGTAGAAGAAGACAAGGGCCAGTGCCAGATCGTACAATGTATCTTGGGAGCGATTGTAAATGAAGAAGCAGAAAGGGCGCCGCCCAGAAAAAAAAGTGCTTCGTATACATCGTGGGCGATTCGTCCTGTTTATCCAAACCCTACAACATGATTTTCTCATTCCCCTCCCCAAACGTAACAAGAGTGCTGCTGTAGCCCCGCCCAGCAGCCTGTAGATGAATGCATGATCGATCTTACAAACTTCAACTCCACATGGGGTATCATACATTCTCATATCGCTCGCGGATTACAATCCGGCAGCGGCTTCGGTAAGGACGCTGAGGAGACTAGCCGCAGCGCCCCCGATGCCGACAGCACGAAGTGTCTCGCCGCGAACCTTCTTCTTGGTAGTGCGATCGTCGCTGCGGTCGCTGTCGTCTCTGTAACGATCCCGGTCACGGTAAGAGTCTCCCCGTGGCCTTCTCCGGGAGTATTCTTCACGGTCCCGATCTCTTCGTCGACTGCTATCGTGATGGTGATGATGGCGACGATGGGCATCATCTCGATCACGATCACGATCCCGGTCGCGATCCCTATAGTCCCGGTCATCGTAGTTTCGGGTAGCACGATGGTCGCGATCTGAGCGGTCACGATGCCTCCTATCATCCCTAGACCGCTCTGCATGTCGCGGTACGGAACGAGGCGAACCAGTGTCGAGGACCTTCGGCTCTGGATCAAACCGGACGTGGGGATCGTCGTTCTTATTCTTCAAGATAGGTTTGGGTTTTACCGTAGCCGAAGGACTAGCACCATTCTCCTTCTCCTTCTCTGGTGGGGGCACGATGAATGGGTAGATCTTTGTGCCTTTCTCGTCTTCGGTAGATTCCTTATCATCCGAATGATAATAATGAGTCTTACGCGGCTGGTACGACGGTAATTCATCCTCGGACTCCTCATCAGAAGAATCAACAAGATCTGCCGAGGACGAAGAAAATTCGCTGTTGGCGCGATACCGACTATTGCCGTTGGCATCTCTTTTGCTGTGAGACTCAACATCCCAGTTTTTATACTTATCCGGATGATATCGGTCTTTCTCGTTTCGTGGCTCTTTTCTCCGCAGCTGGCCACGTCTCCTGCGCACCTCGAGACTTTGACGGGCAAATTCTGCGATTTGGTCTTTTGTGAAGACACCAAGCACAGCTACGAAGTCGGGTCGTGCTTCATATCTTACACCAGCCTGGTTGAGCACCTCGGTCGAAATCAGAGACCGTTTGATGCGTGTCCATTTGGCCTCGAGTGGAATCTCCCTGCCCTGCGAATCAGGTGCAAGGCGCGCGCACCTCTGCGCTTGGCTCTGAAGCCCCACAGGGGCTGTACCCGGAATTACCGGGGCCGATATAGAGTTGGAGTGCAATGTGGGTGGTGGTGAACTGCCATACGGAGGAGGAGGTATGGAAGGAATCAGACGCGGGGAGAGACCATATTCATCGACAGGTGGAAGGTTGGGAGAGGTAAGTAGCCCAGCATTTGACGGGGGTGGCAGATAACGAGCTTGTGGGGATGAAGAGAAGTTCGAGTCGTTGAGATAATTGGACCCGTACGGAAGGCTGTGAGCCTGCATGTGCATGTTACCCATGGCTATCGCGAGGTCGGCCTCTTTCTTATCGAGAGCCATGAGCTCGCGTGTTGAGATGACAAGTGCCATTGAGTTGTCTGACACGCCACCATCGCCATCTTCGGACGAATGAGGTTCGTAAGACATGTCGGTGCTCTGCGTTTGAAGGCTTGACGGATACGCAGGATGCTGATCGGGGTGCAGACGCTCCATCTTCATGGCGGGAAAGAACTTCTCGTTTTCAATGGACGGATGATACATCTCTTTGGGGCTGACGTCGTCGTCCTCTTGCGCGGGATCGACCGGATACGGGATGACATGAAGTGCATCACCACTGGGCTGGTAGTTCTCTAGAAAGCCTCGGACGGTAGGAGTCTTGCCTCCGGACAACATGCTTTGCTCATCAAGCTGACGAATGTAGGCGCGAAGTACGTCCTGTAATTGTAAGCAACAATGGAAGAATTATCAGGCGCCAGAGTGACGTCTACGTACCTGGTTCTTCCTCAGAACATCCCTAGAGAAACCTTCCTTTTCTAGTTCGTCCCTGAACTGTAACCAGAGCTCGTCTTCACCCTCAGTCATGCCCGAGTCTTCTCGCTGGGTTATCCTGGCCGCGATGGCGTCAACCTTGTCCTTAATGGACTCCAGGTCGACATGGTTGGTGTCGACAACGCGGTGTGACTTGGACGGGTTGTGCAACTGGACTGTGTCGAGAAACATGTCGATGTTGAGTTTCTGGTTGGCGAGCTTTGTGCGAATCAGAGCGATCATGTCCCTCTCGCGGCTCTCTAGTGGCCGCTGATAGTCCGCGGCGCCGTTGCGTCCTTCCTCGTCACTACCGCTAGCACTCCCGCCGTACTTCTCCAGAATGGTATCAAGCTGTTTAAGCGTGAACTCGCAGTCCTCGACGATGGGCGTTAGCTGTCTGGCGTAGACCGAGCAGCGATCCGAGTTCAGCAGGGAGCCCGCGTCCTCGGCCTCGACCTTCAGATGCTTGAGGACTGTGTGCAGCCCTCGCACGACCATGGCGACATCTGAAAAATCGGGACCGGCGGCCCGCGACCTTCGATACAGCCGCTTTGCGAAGGCGTCAACACCGTCAATGTCGACAGCCGCGGCGCGGGTAGCTGCCGGGAGCCCGTTGTTAGTCGTCATGGCGGATCGGACGGGGACCGCGTCCCGGGTCACGAGGGTGGGAGTCAGCAGTTCGTGTGCTTTAGTGTAGACGCAGAGTTTCACAGTATGGCTATGGGATGTCGAGTGTCGAGTTGGGGCGAGAGTGAGTGAAGGAAAAGTCGAGCTGAGTTCAGGTCGGCTATGAGACTTATGTGGTGATGGGTGGGGTCGAGTAGTGATGTACACACACCCACGCGCTCGCAGTCAGCCGTATCCAGGGAGCAAATGTAACCTGTGTGACCCTTGACAGCGAGCCAAACCACTTCAAGGCGACTGTGACGAAGCGACCTGGCGAACTAGTCGGGCATGCAGCTACTGCTACCGAGTACGCGAACTGTGGGTTGCAGTGCGTGAACGGCGCAGAAACAAGAATCTGGTGAAACGAAGGCAAGAAAGATGTCAGGTGTCCCTGGGGGGTTCGCGCGAGGACTAGCGGCCGGAAGAAGGACAGCTGAGTCCACCAACAGGGTGCGTGGGACTGCAACAACAATACCGCAGGCAGGCTGGGGAGTGGCATGAATTGAGGGAACGATAGACTTCCAGCAATGCCGGCTTGGGTGCTTTCAGTAAAACAAAGGCCTGGCGCAGGTCGTCATCGCCTCTGTGAAAGGGTCTAATCTGGGGAACGCTGATCGTCCTCCCAATCCGCCATCCACAATCCTCTTGGACAGGGAATGCGTTTCGAGTCAAGAGCATGGCATTACTGTGTATATTTGGTGCGCTAGGCCATGGGCCTTGGGCCTTGGGCCCTGAGGACACCAGAGGATACTCGGCGAGGAAGCGACGGTACGGGCTTCACATGCCGCAGGCCTCGTCTCCAGCCCTGGGCGCCCGTGGCATCGAGGAAGTCCGCAGGTATAGGCCTGGTAGACCCCAGGTATCGAGTAACTCGTCGAGGGCCCGGTCAGATGGGATGTGGCTCTTTTTGCCCGGGTGACGTCTTCTGGCTGTCCGGCTCTAGCAACGGAAGCGTGTGCATGTCATCATACCTGGCCCATAGCGGGCAGGGCTGGCCAATGAGACACCCCTGTCCGTCCCCAGCCTGAACATTTTTAGCGATGCCATCCCTGGAACCTTGGCCTTCCTGGCCTGCTAAAATGGAACTGGTCCCAAACTCGCAAAAAAGCCTTCGCAGACCATCAGGACCATCTGGAGCCCCAGGAGCATCGGAACCGGGATCCCTCCATTGGACGTGGGATCATGATGATTGCCCAGGTTGCTGACCCTTTTTGACGACAGCAAAGCCCCCGACACTTGACCCAGAGAGCCAACAGGCTGGCTTTGCTGATGTGATGAGCCCCTGGGCTGCCTGGACTGGACCGACCCGCGGCCATGGTTCTCCGCTGAGCAGCAGCGTACCGCAGTGTTGCTCATCCACTCACTCCCCTGGCTTGCCTGGCTTCCATGCCTCTCCCACCAGCCCACCAAGCCCCCCTTACCCCCCGACGACTCCCCAATCATCGGCACACATGTGCGCTCCAACTCGTGGTCTTTGTGTGGGACCTCGTCTCTCCATCTTTTCCATCGGAGCTGCGCCACCGATCTAGCCTCTTCTCTGCATTGTTCTAACGCTCGTAGGGTTCAGTCTGGAGGGTCGAGAGGGTCCAAGCAGCCAAGCAAGCCCGCAAGCAACAACGCCCTGGCCATGACATCCTGCAGCCTCCTTCTGGATCATTCGCCAATGCGAGGCAATGCCCACCACCTGGGTAGAGTTTCCAGACACGGACTATCCAAAAACTGGGGACACATGGCAACATGTGCTCGGAAGCGCCCGAACTGCTACTTTGGGCCCGTTCAACTCTGAGCTTGTGCCTGCGCTAACGCCGAACACGAGACTTTCTCGTGCTTCCCCGTCACGAACCTCAGAATACTCTACACGGCCAGGCCTCAGGTCGTTCGGGAGCACAGAGTGCAGAGTGCAGAATCTGCGTTGGCCACCACACAAACACGAGCACTCCATGACGACTGATGACAGCTCGCAGCTCACAGCCTGGTCTGGTTGGTTCTGGGGTGCCTCCACGGCGACTGAGCGATTATCACAGATGAGGCTGTGGTCTGCAGAACTTGGCCCAATCCAGAGCCTGCATGGCGCCAATCGTGTGGCTAACATGTGCGTGACCACTCAGAGTGTACTATCCACGGATGACTCTCAACGAGCCGTCACAGTCCATTTGCAAAAGTCAAAAACGTAAATGCATTCGCCCCTCGGCTTTGACTCTCTCCATATGCACGGCGCCGGCCGTAGCTATGCACTGCTGCCAGACGGGTAGACGAACCATAAGCTGCTGCCTTAGTTCTCAGACTCATCGCGACCTCTGGCGGCCGTGGTTCCGCGCCGAGCTGAAGAGCCAGCGCATTTTCGCATGCTATCAAACTGCATCCATCAGCCGAATCATTCAAAAGAAACTAAACTATCTGCCGTGACCGAGGCTGCTGCTGTAACTCGGGCTAATGCCGTCTATTGCCAGGCAACAACAGCGCCTCCTGAGCTAGTGAATCTTCTCGACGAAACATCGTGGCCGATCGCCAATCAAGCTTCCAACGTCCTAAGGTTCACTAGGCGCAGTGGTGAGCTGTCGCTGCTTGTGCGACGCTCTGAAGCTCTCCAGCGGCTGCGCGCATGTCGCCGGCAACAAGCATCGTAGTAGCGCGCGCCATGTGTATCACTATAGAGCAATAATTGTCCCCGTAGCTTGTTTCACAGGCATCAACCCGATAGATCAGCCCGCTCTTCCCGCCTCATGTTAAAAAAGACCGCATCCGACGAGCAGAATCGGGAATGCGTCGACGTAGCCACGTGCAAGAAAATTGAGCAATCCATACCCGTTGAAATGTGATTCAGTGACTCAGTGCAGCTGTGCTGTCCATCTTATCTCTTGCAGTACAACGGCATTGGTGCCAGCGAAGACCGTGATAGTGACATCGCCGGCAACTTGGCGCCCTATAACTTGCGGCTCTCGGCCGACATCCCTTCAGCTAGATGCTGTGTAACGTCACGAGAAGGGATGCATTCGCCATGTTCTAGTCAACGATTCAGGCCACGGTCATAACCTTGATACTCTATTGAAAATATCCCGCCATCAATCATAATCCATAGATACAAAGTCTGCCATTGGAGCATATGACAGCATGTAAGCGACGAATGGCTTCCCGTGTTAGGTCACGACGCAGTTCTGGGGCGTGTGGTGTAGGTTGGTCGGTATATCTGCCCTGTGTCTCTATCATGTCGGTATGTCCAAGTTCGGCTATGGTCAGATGCCCGCGGTTGTTCAAACGTAAGCTCGGCCTCGAGGCGTAATGGTCACAACATAGCCAATACTTTGCCCGACTGTGCCGCCTCTTGATGCGTCAGCAACTGTGATTATCGCCATGGAAGCCTTAACTCTAGTATTTTCAGGGTCAGATCGGAGCTTCGCTGTGACAAGACCAAGTCAAGGGGCGACGAACGGCTAGCGACATCATCATGAGATGTGCATAGCCAGCCACAGTCCTTGTACATCCACCTTGTCAAACATTGCCACGTGAGTTCGGTAAGGACATCTTCCATGCAAACAGTTTCAGACTGGGAGCCTCATGCCGACAACTATGCTTATCAACATCTGCGAGTAACAGGAGAATGAGATTCAACATCCCACTGAGGTTGCATGCGAATCGCCCCCTGGCTGGTCAAACCCGCTGAATATCGAAGGCGCAGTAGGTCGTCCAAGCATACAGGCGGCATCTACCAAGTGAAGACGATATCTCCAGTTTTGATGCTACAGTGAATGTAACCGATGCCGAATTGCAACTGGTAAGATGATAGCACTATGATAAATCAGCATCAAGTAGTACACAGCTGATTCTGACTGCGAATATCACCTACGTCAATGCCCTCTAGCTTAGGGGCTGCAGACGAACAATAAATCTATACTACTTAGCAACATTGAGATGGTATCTAGTTCCAAATATTTGCAAGTAGCATACTTGGATATATCTGGCGCTTCTCCCATCGGCTCAAACTCCGACGCACTCGTCGCGGACCATCTTGTAGATGCTACGATCGATATCTAACACTACTTCAACTGCCACGACACACACCCATACCACGATCTAGCTGTACAGGGCATTAAGGTAAGAAAGCCAGAAACCTATTGTCGCCTCGCCCAGACATACGTCCACGTAGACCAGGGCGATCGCTTCGAATCCCAAGTTCTGCCTCTCACACATCGTCTGGCATTGCTTGCCACCGCCAGGGGATTTCTCGCTCCCTTCCTATCTGCCTCTCTTCATCAACCCAACCTCCGCTTTCCTAGAGCCAAAAGTCCCCATGCCGCCCGCATAGCCATGGCGCGTTGCGACTGGCCGCTGCAATACTTCAAGTCCCTATAGCCCGCCGCCGCTCGTCGCTTCGATATGCGTGACTCCGCCGCTCGCCCGGCTTGCGTAGGGTGAATGCGTCCGCGATCGGTATTCAGCCTATCAGGATGGAGCAGTGGCGTGGCCTGCCGAATCTACAACGGCCAGATCGGGAGCGGCGCGCAGGAAACTGGACGGCGGTGCAGAGCCTCATCTACACTTGGGCCGTGGTCAATCTCCGGCTGATGAGTCCGGTGCATGAGGAGAAGGCATGGTTAGTGCTGCTTTTCACGGGGGTCACTTGGTCTGTACATGAGGATACATGGCTCGCGCTTCGTGCGGGAACAATTGGATAAACATCTGCATGATCACTACGCTTGGCTGTTCGAGAAGGAAAACGGGGGCCCAAGTCCGCCGTTCCGGGAGCTGAAAATGCACGAAGCTCGGTGGCTGCATTGGTCACCGCGGTGCGGCTCAAAACGTCCAGAAACCATCATTTTCATTGGTCGGGAATCCTACTGCCTATCCCGTCGCAACCACCTCAAGCCTGTAATCTCTGCACGAGGCACTCAACCCACCCAGGACCTTTCCCCCCAATTGACACACGGATGGATCGGCAGTCTATATGGCAATTCTCTCCAACGAGTAAGGACCCACCTGCTGACTGCGGAGATGGCCCTTTTCTCTCGTCGACCGCTGCACGATCTCTCCGCCTGACACCACCTTGGTCTTCTCAATCTTGCCCTTGATCTTCAAGCCCAGCGGCAGCGCCTCGGAGCCTAGCTCCTTGACTTGCAGGGAAATCGGCTTCGCCAGATCGAATCTCTGCTTGATTTCAGCCTTCTGGGCGGCCTCGCAATATCTCACGGCCTCGCTGACGACGCCCTTGAGGTAGACGGCTTCCTCCAAGCCCTCCAGCGCGGCACTCACTTCAAGCTTGAGTGACGCAATGAAGTCGCCCGAGTCGTCGCCGGCCAGAAGTGCATCGTTGAGCAACCAGCCGCCAGGACCTATCGAGTCTACACAGCGGCTCAAAAGGTCTGCAAGGAGCTTGATGATGCCATCCGGGGGTGCGTCAAGTTCGGCATCCTCCTCAAAGTCCGTAGTGTCCAAGTATCGCGACGTCCAAGCTCCCTTCACCAGTTCGACACGTAGAAGATAGACCAGAGAAAGTATCTCCTCGGGCTTGAGTGTTGTGCGTAGCGCCTTGATCATTGACGTTGCTGGGCAGTTGCCGAGTTTGGCGAAAGCAACACTCAGGCCACTGCCGCGGACGCCCATGTTGCCATTCAGGATAGACTCGGCCTTGAACACCTCCTCCTCCAGGTGATCTAATTCCATGCCAATATCGCCATTCTCTGTTCCTTCCGCAGCCGTGCTGGTGAGCATCTTTGGAGGCGGCTGGGTCGGATCTTGGACCAATTCCAGGCTGCGCATAATTGTACGCACTGCAGTGACCAGCTCGACAGAACCCAGCGTGGTTCCCGAAATGTAGCAAGTCAGAAGCTCCAAAGTAGGGTCAAGCTCAGCAAGTCGAGTGATGAGCTCGTCAGCTACGACATAGTCAACATTATCAACACCGCTAAGCTGCTCTCGCAGAGCGGACTTGACGTTTGAGACTGTCAAATGTCCTGCGTCTGCCAAATATGATACAACATTGGTAAAAGGAAGCGAGCACACCAGACGAGGGATGGTGCTATCCCCAGCGTTGTCAGTGTTCCACTGGAATGCTCTGCTGATACTGTATATAATCCATCGCCTGTCCACGCGAGGATAAGCGGACCTGTCCTCGGGCCATTCCCATTCAGGCAGCGATAGAGGCTGGTCGGCAGTCTTCTCAGTATGCTTGACTCCATTTGTAAGTTTTGCAGCCCGAACTGAGAGTCCAAACTTCTCAGCAAGGAGTGCTTCAAACTTTTCAATGGAATCGGATTCGAGTAGAGTATCAGCCCGTTGGACATCCTCGGTCCAGGCCTCCAAGTAGTCACCAAGCATGGACCCAGGCAGATAGGTCGAGAATGTCGAGAATGCTGCGGCACGTTTCTTTGACTCAGTTGCTGCACGCTTGGTCTCGGGGATACCGCGGCCTATGGAGTCGATGAGCAACCCTTCAGCTCGGCGTTTGTTGGTTCGGGACTTTGGTGCCTCGAGTTGAATAGCTAGCAGACTAGATTCAGATATGCCAATGGCCAGTTGCAGTCGTGAAAAGTATCCAACGAGAGCACATCCAGGAGACTTGGGACTGTCTGTCTCGGTCTGGCTATCGGGGTCAATGGTGACCGAGCTCTGCATGGATCGGAATTGAGGATTGTAGACATTCAGGAGGCTCGGGGTTGATGTGAGCACGGAGCTCTTAGACAGGCGCACGAACGAGGTAGCATCGTCAACTTGTATTTGAGAAAGCACCTTCGGGATGTTTGCAGTCAGGTCGTAGACAGTAAGAGTGCCGTTGGACAACTCGGAGAGAGTACCGGAACGAACATCGACGCGGTACTGCGACTTGGAATCGGGTGACACGCTGGAAGCCACAATCGGTACAACGTGTAGCTGGATGAGTCCTCGTGACGAGTGCGCCAGGGTCTGCGAGTGTGGGATTGGGCCGAGCAGATGCAGGTGACGAAGCCTCTGGCCGTCCGAGGGCATGCTGGAGACAGCCAGCAGCAGCTCAGGATCGGCATTGTCTCGCAGTTCACTAGCAATAGAACTGAGCGCATCGCGGTTGCCCTTGAAAATTCCATCGATGACCTCCGAGGCCCGTGCGGATATGCAAGCCTCAAGTTTGAACTCGGCCTTTGCTTCGTAGGCAAGATCTTGGTGCAGAATGGCGGGTGATGTCTTCCACTTCTGCTGCAGGGATTCACTGTCGAGGCCAAGTATCTCTCCGCTCTCACGCACGACCAAGAGATCGCCGCCGCCAGTGGGAGACAGGGCATCTCCTTTCGGGGTTGGGGCCAAGCGAGTGGCCAGGTAGACGACAGGCGAGGTTGCAGGCAAGGACGTTGTCTTGGTTGAAGAGGTGGTCTTCCCGGACGACTCAACAATATCCTTGAACAGGGTCAAGGTCAAGGCCGGGTCCTTGGTCGCGATGTAGGTGTAGCGTGCAACGTCTTTACTCCCTAGTATCCTACGGCGGAGAGAGGTGGGCGGGCAAGTAAAGGACGACTGGGGCGGGATTGGGTACGACGTGACAAGTCTGGCGGAAGATACCTGCTGCGTGTCAGTAACTTGGGCTGGGACCAGCGGCAAGACAGGGGCCAATGTCTCATACATCGTAGATATTAACCGCTTCGCCATCAACGCCGACCGTCACTTCAGAGCGCTTCCGCTTGCGAGAACCCTCGGTGGTCCCGTAGACTTCGCCGACGACGTAGCGGCCGGTGGACGGGTCCAAGGGTCTCGGCAACGTCGTCAGCACATAGGGCTTCTGCACATGGAAGTTGGAAGCCATGGCGCGAGGGAGGAGAGGGGTGAGGTTGAGGTTGCGACGGTTGCGTGAGGGAGTTGGCCACCACTTCACGATGTCTCGCCGTTTCAACGGGCCCTGGGACTTTTTTTTCTGCCCGGAGAGCTACTCGCCCAGAAAAAAAATATCGTCGGTCAATCCACAGCGCCGGTCAGTGGGGTCTGCAGTTCGCTGATTGGCCCGAAGAGCCCCGTCGCCGGTGCTCTGATGGCGGCTTATCGATTAACTCGTTTGGGGTTAGTGGCCCGAACCGTGACTTCACTATGCAACTCAGCGTACCAGCGTACCTAGAGCTGTTAAGTGGGCAGGCGCGGGTCAGTCGCGTCTTACAGCTGCCAGTCGCGACTGCCCGGAGCCACTCCAGCAGCCGGTGCTCGTCCTCGTCTCCATGCTGCTCTTACTCCGTGATCCCTCTATTGACACAATTGATGTTCACATCGTTATATATAAGACATCTCGCAATCTGAAATTACTTGCACGTACATCTTGCCGCCCAGGTAAAGCTGCTTCTGCCCGCTTGCATCTCATGGCGCCACCCTTTTAGAATTGTTCCCTCCACCACCTCGCGAACACACCTCTGCCGTCCAACGCCGCACACCATGATGGGGGGCGAAGGCGACGGCGTCGCCGGTGCTGAGCCCGAGCTTGAGTCAAAGAAGGTACACCCCTTCTTCTCGGCACCCAAGAAGCCAGCATCCTCCAAGGACCACTTGGCGAATGCCGCCCGGCCCGTCACCCCAGAATCATGCGCGAGCCCCGGCTCCGAACAGCTCGACCCGACAACATCAGCCCCAGCCGCCCTCGACGATAACGAAGCTGCGCAAGGCAGGCAAAAACGCCGAAAGACCGACTCGATGGCGGATGTGAAGCAGTCAAGCAAGCCCGTCCCGCAGAAGAAACCCAAGGCTCGAGTGTCTACGGGTAGCAACATCGTCCAGCTCTTCGCGCAGAAAGATAAAGATGGCACATCAGGGAGCAGTGCGGACGACCCAGCAGGTACGAACGGGGCAACTGAGCCCGTTGAAGGCCCTGGACCCTCGACGAATGACTCTTTGCCGCCTCTTGCCCAGGCCCCGGCGCTGTCCCTCAGTGCTACTGCCGTTGCTCCTGTTGTTGTTGCTGCTGCTGCCGCCCCGGCCCAAGAAGACTCAACGAAGCCCAAAAAGATACTCAAGTTCAACCCAAAGACCGGTACTATAGGTTCTCCTCCGAAACCAAAGGTGCCGACCGTCGCTCAGGCTGACCACGTGGACTCGAAACCATCCGGCAGGCCAAGGCGGACCAAGAAGATTGCGTACGCAGCACCTTTTGTTGTTCACATTCGGTACGGCACTCTAGACGATGATGCGCGCGTCAGTATTGGGGAGAAGATCGAAGAAATATTTAGCGGCGTGCCCTTTATCCATCCCAAGGGCATTGCCAACATGTCTTCCAACTCGCAGCCAGCAGGCCAAGGCCTCACTCCACCTTCGTCCAGTCTGGAAACACCAAAGAGTCGCACGCCGAATAAGCGTGGCAGGCCTCGGAAAGCCACATCGACGCATCCCCTATTCAGCGGCAAATCAAGCGCCGTAACACCTGCTCAAGCTGAGGAGAAGCCCAAGTCGCCTGTCAAAAGAAATTCGATCTTCACCTCGACTCCCTGCTCGCCCAAGCGCACCCGCCAGCCGCTGGGGAACTTCAGCTTTCCCCAGTTTGGCATGAAAGCTGGCGGCTTCAAGTTCCCCGGCGCCCAACAGGCAGCCTGGCCATGGAAGGGCATGGTGCATATCCGAGGTGATGATCGCGATATGACTTCGCCTCATCACGAGATGCCCCATCGGGTTGAATCGAGAAACAGGAAATCCAAAGGCCGCCAGATTGATTTTCCAGCAGACGAGTCCGTCCTGTATCGTGCTGCATCTCGCCTCCGGATACATGAGCTCGTCCAAGAGCTTCTGGCTGTCAATACTGACGAGTTTCTACCTGCTCCTGCCACTTTGAGAATCCCAGGGCGCCATTTCGAGAGTGGGAGGAGACTTCAAGACCGCGTAAGGCCGGAGCTGCGTACTCTTGCGTTGGGATCATCAGACAGGACTCACCCTGCCATTGCCCACGCTTACAACTTGTTGGCCACATCCTTGTCCGCATTCGACCAGTCGACATGCGAGGGCTTATCGTGGACGCAGAAGTACAGCCCTACAACATCTGACCGTGTGCTTCAAGGAGGACGAGAGGCTGAAATGTTGAGAGATTGGCTCAGGACTTTGAAAGTGCAGGCTGTCGACACGGGTGCGTCAGATGGCAACGGTACCAAGGCGAAAACTGCCCCTCCGAAGAAGAAAAAACGCAAGAAGCTTGATGATTTCGTGATTTCCAGTGACGAGGAGAATGCCGAAATGGACGAGATCTCCGAAACCGAAGCTGACTGGATGCCCACTGGAGGTCAGGGAGGTCTCAGGACGGTTGTGCGCCCCAGGCCTTCGAAGGACTCCCGCCTGACCAATGCAGTCCTACTGAGTGGCCCTCATGGGTGTGGCAAAACTGCGACTGCCTATGCCATCGCCAAGGAACTGGATTTCGAAGTCTTCGAAATCAGTGCAGGCTCGCGGAGGAGTGGAAAGGATATCCTCGAAAAGATCGGGGACATGACTAGGAACCATCTCGTCCAACATAAACAGGAGGTTGCAAAGCCAGAAGAGGAGATCAACGATGAGGATGTGGCCCGTGATATCAAGTCGGGCAAGCAGGGGATGATGACGGCTTTCTTTAAGCCAAAAGCAGACGCGAAACCAAAGCCAGATGCGAAACGAAAGGCTGAGAACATAAAACCCGTCGAGAAAGTCGCAAAGCTTGCCGTGGATAAACCCATCCAAAAGAACTCGGGCCAATCCCAGAAGCAGTCGCTGATCTTACTAGAAGAAGTTGACATTCTTTACGAAGAGGACAAGCAGTTTTGGGCCACCGTCATCAGCCTCATGGCACAATCGAAGCGTCCTTTCATCATGACGTGTAGTGATGAGGCACTTGTCCCTATCCAGAGTCTCAATCTGCATGGCATCTTCAGATTCAATCCTGTGCCAAGGGACCTTGCTACTGATCTACTGCTCTTGATCGCAGCAAACGAAGGACATGCATTGAAACGCAGCGCCGTCGAAGCTCTGTACGAATCACGAAAACAGGATCTTCGTGCCTCCATACATGAGCTCAACTATTGGTGTCAAATTGGTGTGGGGGATCCCAAGGGCGGCCTCGGCTGGTTTTACCGCAGGTGGCCAGAAGGGTCGGACCTTGACGAGCATGGCAATAGGATACGCGTTATCAGCTGTGGCACATACCAACATGGTATGGGCTGGCTTGGTAGAGATGCAATCGCTTCCCCGTCGTCGGGCTGTACCACAGAAGAAGAACTCATCTACCAAGCATGGCAGAACTGGTCGCTTGATATGAGCGACTGTGAGTCTACCGCGGTTCATCAAGGCTGGCCCGACTTATCAGGGCTCCCACGCGAAGACAGGATGGCCCTTCTAGAGACCACTGACTCTTTCTATGACTCTCTGAGTGCTGCAGACGTTTCTTCCTACGGCTCATTGTCATCCCTCAACCAAGTTGTGCTAGATTCGACACTACCAGCTATACCGGCAAAGGCTAAGAACGATTTTATAATTGGTCTTCAGGCCCTGGAGTCGCCGATCCTGAACCACTATAACTCCACTGCGTTCGAGATATCGGCCAGCATCAGGTGTCTCGCACAGACCAGGATCTTAACAACAGATCTTGCAATCATGGCAAATCACTATCCCCTGGACGAATCCAAGACGACGCAGAAAATCCAAGATAGCTTTGGCGCCCCATCTCCAAGCTCTGCTGCAATCAGTAGATATGATTACAGCATCGCCTTCGACCCCATTGCTGTCTCCGAGTCAGCAAACCAATCTTCGGGCTATCTTGACCCCTCTGTCTTCGACCGGACCATGCGGATGATCACACTAGATGTGGCACCGTATGTACGAAGCATCACAGCTTACGACCAGCGACTGCAGGCCGAACGACTTCTGCGCAGCAATTTGCTCAGTGAAGGCGGGAAACCCAAGAAGCGCGTGCGTACAACCCGGGCTGCGTGGTCGGCTTTGGAGGGCGGCTCCAGGGCTAGCACACGGCGTGAAAAGTACTTCTCTGCGGAAATCAACCCGCATCTGGTCATGCGGACTGGAGGCAAAGGTTGGGAAATTCTGACCCAGGATGTACAGGACGAGCTGGTAGAGTCAAGGAGCTCGCCGGCTGAGCAAGAGAGCAGTGACGACATGGACACGACTATGGAATGACGACAAGGATCCCCATCAGTGTTCGGGTATGACTGATCTGCTTCGCTAGACTAGGCACATAGGATGCATATCACGACAGGAGTTGCAGGTTGTCCAACTTAGAGGCGTCAAAAGGTTGCCTGGCATGAATTTATATAGTGGTTTCCCATCGATATAACGCGCGGATGAAATACTACTTGCCATCAGGCTCGGCTTTTCGCAATCACATCGGTGTGACAACTTTTCAGATGTTATATGTGTTTTTTCCATGCTACATAAGTATTCGAACCTACCGTTTCTTCGGCACTTCCCTACCTGCCTTGTCCTTCCGGAGGCGCAGTCTTCCAGGCCGGTCAGCCGGGCTGTGAGTTCTCCGAGCGATCTTCGGCCGCTCCGGCTCAGCCAGAGACGGCGCGCTCCGCTTCCGGCGCACAGGCGGCGGCGCGTCGTCCGAGTCCAGTACCATGCCCGGCGAACCCCCCTCGTCGGGTGGAGGGGTGGACGGCGCAGATACCTGCGTCGGCACCGGGAGGCTTTGTCGAATGTCGATGGTCGTCGACAGGGAGGACCCAGGATTACTCCAGTCCAGGCTGTCCGAGCCCGGGGAGACAGTCTGCACGGGCCCCGAGGTCTGGTATTTGTAACGGTACCGGAGCCTGCCGTCTTTGGTGCGTTCGCGTCCGGAAAGGGTCTCCTGGACGTGGACCCGGCCGGCCGGCGGAGACGGCAGTGGCGCCCCGTCGATGGCGTGGAGCAGCATCAGGTTGTGGTGGGCGAACAGAACGTACGCGGGCCGCGGCTCGGCTGTCGGGTTCTCGGCCCCCGGGAGTAAGAAGTAGAGAGGGGGGTCTTGTTCTTGAGTCTGGTCTGCCATGGTGAATGATATTTTGGGATCGTCAATACAGTGTAGTTCTGTTCGCCGATCCAGAGAGGTCACTCGGTCGGTGTCGAATCAATCCTCTTCATCTCGCTTCGAATGGTCTTTTTATACAGAGTCGTGCAACAAAGCCGTGGCTTCGTAGACTGCGTTTTATGAAGAGTCATTTGCACACGTTGACGTGACATTTATCCCAGTGCTCGTTGTTAATATGTGAGTTGTTCAGCTGCGGGTCATCTGCTGGCAACTCAAGAGGGCCGTGGATGCTTGCCACAGTAGGATGCCAGCGCGTATTCATACATAAGCTAGCTTGAAACACAGCGCAAGACTGCAATGGAGTTTATTGCTGAGAATTGCAAAAGGATCACAGAGCAGAGTCTCTGATCAAGAGAATGCGAGGGGTAGTGACACGCCACCTCTGCTGTGTCAACTGATGAGGGGCTGCGATGAGCTGGCAGTGAGACTTGACTGGTCTGTTCACAGTGCTATATAACCTAGCCTTGACTTTGCCTTCTGAGACGACTTCAAGTATTTCTACTTGATTTGGCTTGGATAAGTGATAGGCCATGGACCTGGCGCAATTTGTATAGTTTCTCCTTCAGAGCCGTCCTTCAAAGATTGTCGAGAGCGACCTGGCCGATCTGGGGTTTATAGGACTATGGGCCGTGATTTATTCCATTGTTATACATCCATGATGCCAAGTGACACTTGCTTGATGGCTTATTCAGTCAGTCCGTATAGCATGTACAGAAAATCTCTCAATCATTGCGCGCATATTACTACAATAGGTACAGGTTAGTTGTCCGCAGTAATCATCGTCTTCGCCTCCCGCCTGGGCCTATAGGAACTATTTCCACATCCATCTTGCCTAGGCCTTCGATCGTGCCCGCAATTCTGAATCCAGAATCTCCAAGCAGCCCTCCTAGAATCCCACACGGAGAGCGAGATGTTGCCTGGGCTGTCTTACTTCTGCGTGTTTGGCGGGCCCTGGTAACTTCAGAGTCTACTGACGACTCATCGTCACCATCCGCATCCTCATCGTCCTCCACCATCTCCGTGTCATCGGCGTCACCATCGCCGTCGTCGTCGCTGTCCGCCTTCGCCTCCGCTGCCGCGCCCGACAGCGCCGGCTGCCAGACGGACGGCATGTCGTGCCAGGCGCTCAGCTGCGCGAGGGCCTGGTCGGGGGTGCGCGGGCAGACGACGAAGACGGCGGGCGGCTCGGCGTTGCCGACGACGGGGAAGTGCACCATGAGCTCGGCTGTGATGTCGAGGCGCTGGCCGCGCGCGACGGCGCGCGTCTCGCCGTTGCACGACACGTGGAAGGGTGCCGCCGATGTGTTGGTGAGGTACGCCGCCGACAGGACGAGCGGATACGAGATGGAGAACTCGGGCAAGGCGAGGGCGCCCGAGGCGGCGGTGGCATCGCGGCCCAGGACTATGTCGCTACGGGTGCGGTCCGCGTTGATGGTCACTGGTGTCCCGCGGAACAGCCTGAACAGCGCGATGTTGGCGCTGAGTCTCTCGACACGACGAATGGCCGAGCTGGTCTGGATACAACTCAAGGGTGTATTGCTTGTGAGCAAGATCTGGACAGAGTGGTCATCGGCTGTGGCCATGTCAACGCTACCCTCCAAACCAATATCTTTAGCATGTATTACAAGGAGTGAGAGGTTCGTCCTTTTTATTATCCCTATTTCAAAAATAGCCTTGTCCAACATCTGCAACAATGACATACCCCTTCCGTCCTCAAAGATCGACGAAACATAGAGCGAACAGAGAACGACACTGATTGAATATATGATCACTTTGTCTGGCAAATGGATTCCCTCCACGTTTGATTCAGTGTTTCCAAGATCACATGTAGCTGCGTAGGTAAACAAGACAATCAGATAATGGTGGTTGTATTAATTATTTTAAACATTATGTCATACTTCATGAAGAGGCAAACGCCTCGTATCGTTTGCCAACGACTGTGCCGTTGCCGACAGATGAGTCGGTATACAAAGACATCACATCAGTGCTGTTGTCGTAGTCGACACCACACTTCTCAGAGAAGCCACTGAACAGGTTGACTCGCTCTTGAACGTAGCTCTCGAAACCACTTCGGGAGCAGGTTGTGCCGGGACCATCCGTGCAAGCAGAGAGAGGTTGCGGTGCACTGTTGACAAGCACGCGGTAGTACTCTCCGTCGTCGTAACCGTAGCTGCCAGTGCAGTTGAAGCGCTCGATGGCAAGGTTGCTGAGGAACGGGAGAACGTGCGAGCTCTTCCAAGCCCGTCGGTAGTTGATGCGGTCCAGCGGCATGGTGTCGTTGATCTCTGCCTCAGTTCCGCCAAATTCAGAGTTGTTGAATAGACCCATGGCGACGAAGACCATTGGTGGCAGTTCACGATGCGTGAAGCTGACGTAGAGATCCTCAGCATCGGCGTCCTCGCTCATCAGAAGGTTTGCTGTCGCATTGAACCAGGGCAAGCCCACTGCGCCAGATACCTCGTTGCCGTAGCCGACGTTGTAGTGGTATCTCACATCCTCGGTGTATTCCCAGGCAAGCCAGTCGTCGGGGGAGAACAAGTCCAAGTCGCAGAAGGGCGAGCTGCCCCTGATGACGCTTTCGTAACCGCAGAGCTCCATCATGCCGTAGACATCATCGGTAGTGAAGTTGAATCCGGGGGCCAGATCGTTGAAGCGGGCAGTGAGCGGCTTTGTGAACTTTTTCTTGTACACGGACGACTCATCGCTACCGGCCGAGGATGAGTAAGCCGGGCAACCCTTGTAAGGCGTCAAGCTGTCGGCGCCACTCTCCTTCGATTCGTATATGCTGACGACATTCATTGTGTTGTCGTCCGTCTCATACCCACGGACAAAAGCTTGGGCCGACTTATAAGTGCGCTCAGCGGACGAGGTCCAGACGCGCTTGGGTAATCTCAGGTTGGGGTACCGGAAAGACATGTCAACACCCAGCTGGGTTGCTTCCAGCCTGCCCACTCGGGTCAGGAGCTCCTGTTCGGCCTCTGATATGGGCGCTGACCAATCGGCCAGGAAGTTGAGAGAGGGGATCTTGGACCAGTCGATGGAAGACTTGTTCTGCCACTTCTCGATGAAGGGCTCGATGTACTCCTCGAAGTCGAAATCATTGGCATAGATGGCGGCATGGCGAGACAAGTAAGCAGCACGGCTGGCTGTGCATCCTTGAGGAGCGTCAGGGGAAGCCGGAGGGTCTTGAGGTTCGAAGTAGGGAGCAATTCCGCCCAGATGCTCGAGTGGGTTGAAGTTATAGGTTGAATACAGGGCCGATGCCGAAGACTGCAGGGCAAAAGGCAAAACAGCAAGCCCGAGCTTGGAGCTCAGCGAGCGGTGTTGAGCGGCCATGGCGGGACGGAGACTGAAGCGATAGTGACAGAAGGATGTTGCTCCTTGACAAGAGAGACAGATGGGAGACAGAGAGACAGGGAGAGAGAGATGTAGAGACCTACTGCACCTATATGGTAATCAAGATATCATCCTGCACTTGCGAGAAAAGATTCGTGCCGTTCGACCCGTCAGCCGCCAGACGGGACTAAGCTTTACGTAGTGGTAATGGCACGGCGGCCAATGCTTAAATGAGCCGGCCTTGCTGTGGTGGTGATCGGTATTCCATAAATCTGATGCTCGGCGTCATCGGCCCAAGCGTCGAGCCTCTGGGCCCAGTTGCCAAGGTACGCGCCCCCGGCTCCCCACAGTTTAGTCACAGTTTAGTGCCCGTTCCTGGCGATGCAGACGTCATTCTGCGCCTAGGAGGACCCCAGCCTGCCCAGCGAACCAGCACACGGTCGACACGGTCTCATTGTCAACAATCGCCCGCCCGTCTTGATTGGGACGGACATTTCAACCCGCCCGCCCCTGCTTTCCTGCCCCTGTCCCGGTGGATACCGTTGACAGCGCAGTACGGGTAGGAGCTGATGAGTGCTGCAACTTGTCGATGCAGACGGCGTCGGCCTTTCAGTGAGCCCATCCGTACGAGCGCAATGGGATGAATAATGCGGTACAGTAGTCAAGTCAGGCTGCGTTCTCGAGGCAATTCTGGCACGTTGATCAATGAATGCTGCTTAGGTTTCGTTACTAATCGCAGGCATGCAGAATACACTTTAATGGAGGTCCGTCATCTTAGGTACAAGCAGAGTCGTCCTGATCTATTGACAGTATTCATTGCTGAGATTGTTCTTTCACGTGGCTCATATATGGAACTGCAGCGATCAACAAGCTGCCCTTTCACGACATGTTTCACTTGCGGACAACAGTCGATCAATCCTTTAAAAGGTGACAGTAGAACATTTTGGCTGCAGATAATGGCCGGGTCCATTCGCAGAAGAACACAATAGGCGGTCCGGGCCGATTGGCACTTGGGTGGGTCCCCACAAAAGCCGATTGCCAACTAACATCTACCTTCCTTGCCACCTACACACCGAGGACATCATCTTGTTTTCGTAAAGTCATAAGCTACTTTTGTAAAGAACATACCCTAGCAAAAGCGAACAATATAGAAGGTATATATACTCTGTCTTATGCTCTGTCTCCCGGTTGTTAGCTCTTGGCAAATCAGTCGGTCGTCTCGAGACTCAAATGCAGACTTGAGACTTAGTTGCTCGTCCATTAAAGGGGCGCGCAAACAATAACCCTGAGTTTCAATGTTATATAGAAGATAAACATTGCACTTAAATCCCTGAATTTTTTAAAAATAATAAGGAGCGGTTCGATTTTTCATGCAGCTTTGCTGTGGGAAATCAGCAGCGGTGACATGTGTGGAGATGGACGCAATGTTCGCCCGTCTTACTTTCTAGCGCACCAGCGTAAATCCTACCCATCAACTTCACAGGCTGTGCTACATGTCTCGGCCGTTCGTATTCTGCTCTGGACAACACTGAACACGGTCCAGTAGCTTAAGGGCTTCGAAACCATTGGAGTTTGTAAAGCTACTATATCTCGTGCATACACGACGTGCCTGCCAAATATTGTTGGCGTTTGCCATACGTTGGGAGTGAGGAAATCCGCCGTTCGCCATACTGGAGTAAGCATCTTTCAGCGGCACAGCGGTGCGGAAGCACAACGTGACTCAGCTGAGTAGGATGCGACCTGGTCATGTGTTCTTGGCTGGCGATTTTTCCCGGTCAAATCGTGCTTCAGACGCAGACGCAGACACCGTCGGCGTGTTCGGTCTTCCTTCGTTAAACCCTCACCACTAGCTACATTCATTTTAATATGGCTTAGTGCCACCTTTCCTTGTCTATCATTCCTGAAAATTTCTCCAGTCTGTTATTCTAGCACGGACATAAGCAGGCATTTTGAAATTGGTCCACTAGGCAACTCCGAAGGGCTATCACTTCATCTTTGCCAGGAAAGTGCGTCAACAACATGGCCTACCAGAGCGTTTCCCGTGCCATTCACAGCCGCTCGTTGGCGGTCGGCTATCGACCGCATTTCTTGGGACAAAAACAGCTCCCGCTTGGTGTCATGCAATCGAACGACTTCCTCCGTGCGTTTTCGTCAAGCCTGCGTCTACACAATGATCCCAATCGCAAGAGCAATCAACGTCCCAACCAGAAATCAAATGATTCAGACAATCCCGAAATTCCAGCATTCAGCCTCGAGTCACTGGGCATGAGCAAGAACATGAGGATTGGCGTCCTTGCAATCATAAGTGTCTTTGCTACTATCGAGACATGGTTCTGGTGTCAGTGGATCTGGCGTTGGTGGAAGGGCAGAGGCAACGAGACCGACAGCGACAATTAAGAGGAGGGTGCCTTTGCAGCCGAATATAACGCAATTCAAAACACTCGAAGGGCTCAAAATAATACACCTCTGGAAGGCACGGCGTATGAATCAGTTGCCTAGATGTGATCATCTAGCTTTGCACGGAAATAACCCAGAGTTAAGCTACACAAGCTCAACTTTATCAGGAGATACAAGTAGAATCAGGAATCCAAATGACCTCTCAACCGACCCCTTAACTTCACCAGCAAGTTTTCTCCGCCGGGATTACGAGCAGACAAATGGAACTGGATGGTCATTACAGATAGATGTAGGAGTATAACATGGACTGTTGCCTCTCCTCTCCACAAATATTCTATATAGTAAGACAACGCATCTCGCGCGACCGACTCTGTAGATAATTCTTGAGCCACTGAAAAGCAGTGTGCGAAACACGCGAGATGCAACCGAGTTGCTGTGCCATTGAGGCTTCTCGCATTATGGATTATCCAGTGATACGTAGGTTTAGTCGAGCCAATTACACAAAACAAGTCTGTCCTGAGACCAATTCATATTGGCCTGTCGCCACCTTCGTTTCAGCCGTTTCTTTGACAAAGCCCTTCTGTCATGTTAGGGTTCTCAGGGGATTTTTCGGCATAGGATAAAATTTGTGTACAACCCTAACTATGATACTGTAAAAGCTTCCTTCTATATCTTCTTACTACAAGATCCCATCTCTGATAGTGGACACCTTCTCATCGCAGTCAAATACTTAGCGACGCCTCTCGTGCAAACATCTCATTCGATCTCCTGTTGGAAAATCTCGTGTAACTAAGATTGAGGGCCCAGGAAGAAGGAATAAGCTGTTCCGTACTTGATGAAACAAGGACTCTCGCGGTGTGATCTCATTTTGAAGACAGCCACGAAGATAGCACCAATATGGAGCATACGATACAATAAGACCCTCATTTGCTTACTGGCTTGGAATCCAACGATATCTACCCGTATAGGACTGTGGAAAGTCCTTTTGATGTATTTGGAAAAGGTGAATACGACAGCAACGTGGATGGTATGCAGTTTGCAGGATCTTCCAAAGACGAATTGTACTGGCAGAATTACAGCAATATACTCAGCTGTACAGAGTGCGGTGGTACTAAACTCATTCAGGACGACCACAACGCGACGATCGTCTGTGAGAGCTGCGGGCTCGTACTGATGGAGCGCCTGGCCTATGAAGACCCTCCTCCTGAAGTGCTACAAGGAGATGGGTCCCTAGAGGCATACTGGACCTATGGCAGTGCTTTGAGCCCTGAACTTCCGCAACAACCTATTGGTTTAACTGAAGCGTCTAACGAAGTTCAACTTAGTGGGCAGCTCACTCCTCCTGCGCAGCAAATGAGCAAGAAGGTGCCCGAGGATCTGAAGGCCCCTTACCGTGTGATCCAACGACTTTGCGATTCGTGGCCAGCGCCCGAAGCTGCAGTCAATCTGGCGAAGAAGTACTTCCAACAAATTTCCAAGAAGGGTGTGTTGAAGAACAACAGATCTGTACGGGCTACGGAGACGGCTGTTTGCGCTTTCCTGGCCTGCCGCGGGTCTTCGCAAGCTCGGACTTGTCAGGAACTCAAAAGCCTCCCCAGCATCGCCCCGAATAGAATGGGCAAGCTCATATACAAGCTTGAGGGCCTCATTAAGAAAAAAAATGATGGCATCCAATCAGCCTGGATCACCTGCAACATCGTTGACAGATGTGGCCAAAGCGTATTGTGCTCGTTTCGGGGCAGAATTGCACTTCTGTGCCGCCCTACGAGTGGAAGAAACAGCAAAACTCTTGATTGATAGAGCCTGGCCACTGATAGGACACTTGCACACAAATACTGTTTCTGCTATTTGCTTGTACATGGCTTGCCACGTTCTGGGTGAGCCTAGAAACTTCAAGGAGGTGGGAGAAGAATCCAAAGTAACTCCTCAAACATTGCAGAAAGCCTACACGCAGCTTTTCCCGCAGATAGACGAGCTATTTGACCCAACGTGGGAAAATGTAGATGTTTCCCTATTGCCGAACCCAAGAGGGCGCCGGGGCCTAGGCAAGTAGCAACGGACATCTTCACAATCAGAACCGCCACTTAGCCAGAAACGGAGAATCGCACTGGTCCCTCCATGTCTCAGAGACCCCAGCAATGCGTCAAAAAGTAGTCTGACTTTCTGGGCAAATGAGTCCGTACTAAGTATAAGTAGTATGCCGGCGCATCATCAGGGAACAAATCTTGCGTCGACGTCAGCATATAGCACATTTCACTGGGTTCAAACATGCCTCGATTGGTATCAATATTACGTATTACTCAATTGACAACTGTTTTAATGACCTCTGGTCTTGAGCTCGTACAATCTAAGCCTTCTCCTGCTTCTTTGACGGTTTCATGTGCGACTTGAACAAGAAAGCGACACAAACGACAATTCCGAGACCCGCGATGCCCATACCCATATAGTATGCACCGCGGTACCCCTTCAGCTTATCCTCAAGCGTGTGGCCACCATTGTTGACCCGGTACTCGACAGTGCCGGCGAAACCCAGTCCTAGGGCAATACTGTAGTTGACCACAGTGTTGACAAGGCTGGCCGCAATACCTTGATGCCGCCTTGACACAGCGTTGGACAAAATCAAGGTTCCGGCCGGGAAACTCATATCCATGCCCCATGGCTGAATGATCATAGAGACGAAAGTCTGCGCCCAATACGTCTGTTCGACCGGAACCGTCGCCATCAGCGTTGTGCCCACAAAAAAAGCGCAGAGAGAGGCGGTCATCACGGCCGCTGGTCCGAGACGGTGGATCAAAAGGCCAGTGAATGCCGCAGCACAGAGTCCCGAAATCGCGACGGGACAGAGCCAGGCGGTGGACAAGAGGGGGCTTGCGCCTCGGATCTCTTCAAAGAATTGCCAAGTGTACCAGAACCAGATTCCAAAGCAAGCCCAGCCACAGGCCACGGCCCCAAGTACGAAGGAAACATCTGCCGACAAGGCATGGAACGGGAGGAGAGGCGTCTCGGTGAACTTGATCTCGATGATGAAGAAGACCACCACAAACAGAATGCCGATGATCATTGTCACGTAGACGTAAGGGGTAGGCCAGCCAACAATAGGTGCTTGGTTCCAGGCAAAGTTAAACAGAATGAGGCCCGTGATCCCGGTAAAGGCACCTGGGAGATCGAGGCACTTCAATTTCCCCTTCCAAGTTGGGGGAACTTCCCCGTGGTGCGAGGACGGGCATGGCGGGATAGCGTAGTACCCGACGACAGCAGTGGCAGCTAGAACGATAGAGAAACACCAGAATGCCCAGGGCCACCACTCCAGGGCGAACAAGCTGGCAAAGCATGAGCCCAGTACGGATCCTCCTGGCGCTGTGGCGGCGAAGGCTGAAAACACCAACGACTTGCGTCTACCGGGCGCGTAGGTGGCGCCGAGGATCGCCAGTCCATTTGGCAGACACATGGCAGGTCCAATGCCCTGGAGGACACGCCCAAAAATGAATAGGACATGGTTCGAGTAAACCGCCAAGCCACATACCATGCTCCAGACAGAAAACCATGACATACCCACGAGGAACATCGTCTTGTAGCCAAAGGTATCACCGAGCCTGCCGGCGAAAAGGATAAAAGTGCCAACAGTCAAACTGTAGCCGGCAATGAACCATGACAGATCACCCGCATCTCGGTTTCCATAGTTGTCTCCAATTACATGAAGAATCGGAATCGCCTGCCCGAGGCCGGCCTCTAGGAGACTTGTCAGCTCAACCCTCAGTGCACTAGTTTCGTCTCAAGGGAAAATAACTCACGCGTGAAAAGTTGGGCCAGACATATGACCGTGACGAACATGATCTCCCGGTACAGTGGTAGGGTCTCTGCAATCGAGACAGTCGAATTCATTCGCGTGGCCGTAGGTCCCAAGTCATCGTCCTCCATTTCCTCGTCCTCCGGATGCTCCGGGTGTGAGCCATCGTGGTCGAAGCCATTCTCTTCCTTGGACCTTACGCGGTCGATGGGATATGCGACTGAAGTATCGGCATTACTTGACGGCGCTGTGCTCATAACTGTATGGTCTTGTGTGTTGGGCGTATCGATCCCATTGCTAGAAGGGGGCGAGCTAGACCAATGGTCACCTGACCTCACGGCGTTGGGTCCATCGGACGCCATGATGTAAGCTGACGAGAACTTGGTAAGTTCGAGGGGATCTCTCTCTCTCTTTTCCGAAGTATGCTTAAACCTGACTAGACCGCCGCCAGGGTGCTTCGCAAAAAAGCCGTACGTAGGAGCACGTCTATTATAGGAAGGCGCCCAAAGGGATGGCGTCCCGAACGCGCAAGTGGGCAACAATCTCTAGCTATACGGTGAAGTTCCGCTGCGTCAACATGGCTAGCGAGCTATCACTCAGCAACAGCTTCCTTATGAACCAGCTAGCATTGCCACTTTCTGCCTTCGCCCTTCGCGCTCTCAAAGTCTGACTGAAATTTCCCGGCTCCATAGCCGGGTAGGGCTGAGAGCAAAGTTACTTATCTCTCAATGTGGGTCTTTTATCCACGACCGGGCGATTTATGGCCCTAGCTGGGATGAAGTTCGTTCGTCCATGATGTGGTCTCCATTGAGAGGAATGGCCAAATCCGTTACCAGAGCCGTTGGAAATGAGACTTGTGGAGCTCAGGGTGCTGTCGAGCCATGCTGGTGAACTTAATCGTAGTGGCATTCGGAGACCGAGATTCGCCCAAGCTAAGCCGTTCATTATTCCTCGGGATACGCTCTGATATGGTTCAGGCTAGTGGATAGTGCAGTTTAAACACATTATTAGAGCTGGAAGTTTATCAATTATCATTCCCAAGCGGAGATTTTGGATGACGCGTGTAATTAAGGGTCTGCCCCTGATGATTCCGTAGTCGCTAAGCATTTGTAAGATAGATCAATTGATTGATAACATCGACAACGCCGCTGTTCGTCATGCTGAATTGCTTCACATTGCTCATCCTAGAGTTGACCCAGACTCTGCAAGGTCTCAAAATCGGGCATCCACACTGGCGAGCCTTCTTCTTGGTCGATCCAGTTGGCCAGTTCTGCGACAACCCGCCATGCTTCCTGATCACCACCCGGGGAAGGCTTCGCACCGTCATCGGCTGGTGCCCAAGCTTGATTCGTATTTGCGTGAACCTGCGCCGCTGCAGTCTCGGCCAGCCGACCGTCACCGCTCTGCAGCTTCTCCATGGTGGCATTGACCAGAAGCTCGAATGCGTCCCTATACTTCCTGACCCACGGGGCTCGCTCACCCATCACGAACAAAACTAGAGAACAAGCCCGGATGTCATTGGCCAGTGAGACCGACCATACTGCGTGCAACTGGGTCCAGAGGCCGTACAGAAGAGTGATACCAGAGACAAACACAGTTTGCACTGCGATAAACGAATGGCCGTAGTCTAGGGTTTGGTGTAATCGCTTGTGAGCTTGGCAGACGTCGCCTGAGGCGCGCATGCATAGAGTATAAAAGGGGTCCGTCGGTGGTAAGAGTGCCAAGAAGGGCTGGACTAGCAACCGGACTGCTCGGTGGTAATGTAACATTGGGTAATGCACGTCTGCCCCAGTAAGTCTCGTCTCCAATTCCAGCTTCCAGGCCTCAAGGTCCTGATAAAATCGGGCCATCTTTGGCGTTAGAGACGCCAAAGGTTTGTCTGCTCTGTATATTGAATGTTGTATTCTCGACTCGATCCGTCGCAATTTGCAGAGTAAGATGGCGCAAATCATTGCATTTTTCTTGATAGGGGGATCACCGGGCGAGAGTGGTGTGCTGTCCACTGGCTCCTCATTTGGCAACTCAACGTCAATCACGCGGTCGGGGATGCTGAATGGTCGCCCCATGGAGATCGCAATTGTCCTTTCTAGCGAGTACACGCTCCAGAAAAGCCGACGTCTCATCTGGACCGTCTCAGGGTCAAAATGCGCCTCCGACTGTTTCCTGTGAAGACCGAGATCGATACTAGTTCTCATGGCCAGGCCAATCATGTACCATATCCCAAAACTTGAGAGGGACCGCAAGTGATAGATCACGAGCAAAGTCATTGCCTCGATATTTTGCGTGGTTCGAGACTCCCGAGCAGCAAAAATATGTTGCAAGGCTGTCATATAATAGCTCTACATGATGTCAGGTTCTGAGGTCGCCAACTCCAATGCTGCTCATGAGATGACATACCTCTGGGGGCGAAGTGGTGTGCTTCTCTGTTAACTGAAGGAGCATTGCACCTATAGCATATATCATATACAGCTTGAAGATACCGAAACGCTGTGCTTTGTTGAGGTTTGTAGAAGGCGTCGAAGCTAGAGACAGCCGATCTCTATGCAGCGCCCACACCTCCACCGGATCGACGAATGGGTAACGCGGATGAATCTGGTTGAAGTAGGCAGCCAAGATATTATAGCCAAGTTCATCGCTAGGAGGCTCGGCGCTATGTGATAACAACTCCTGCATTGTGATCACATGTGATCCATTCTGCTCGCCAGGCCTGCCTCCCAGACTGGTCTCACTCTCTCTTCGGCTCCCCCTTCGCGATGGGAGGGCCTTGTTCCAGACAGTTGCTTGAACCATCTCACCAAGGTTGAGCGCCAAGTTTAAGCCCGACGACGAGCCTATGTATGCTGGCGCTTCGAAGTTTCCCATGGAAAGAAGCTCGACGACCTCGCCCAATGCGTCATGCTGCGCCGTCAGTGCTGGGCGCTTGGCTGGTGGCGGCTCGTCAGCGGACTGGCCATTGCCGACTTCATTCAGAGCGGTTTCGAGAAACGCAACCCTCTCTTCCAGCGCGCGCGTATACCTAGCCTTCAATTCAGTCAAGGGTCCAGTGGTAGACTCCGTATTAAGTGAAAGCATACGCTGCGGGCGGCTCATCTTCAGTGACAGCGGTCTTATCACACGGCGTCCCCGCCTTCCTGCAGTTTGAGCAGATCGGCCATTGGTCATCACACTGTGTCAGGCAGGATGTATCAGTACCAGGCGTTGAAAGGTGGTGTGTGCCTCCTGTACCTTTTGTTTACGGGTCTTGCATCTGCGAAGACATGTCAGTAAGAGGATAGAAAAGAATGTTGAACTGCTACAATCGTCTACCGGGGCTTCGGCCAATCCAATGCCCTCGATAGTACTGCACGTACCTTGTGCACGCCGTCCGACCTCTCTTTCTCGGGTTGGGAGCAGGTGCTTCCGTCATTGTCGGCGATAGCATCGGGGGTTGCCGCATAGCGGACATCATCTTTTCAATCTCACGGCCTTGCCGTCTGAATCCTCCAGCTGCTCAGGAGGGACGGACGCCTCGACCCAAGGCGGATGTCCGACCATTGTATATCACTACTCGGCTCCATGCTTGGCAACTCGGACCCCAACTCAGTTGTCCTTGATTTTAGTCATTCCACGGATCATGGAGAACGAAGTCGGCCCCAGCCCGCCCAGTATCGGGGTCTGCGGGGGTGGAATCACTGCTATCGGAGCCAGTTACCCGCTAGCGCATGATTGCCGATGCGACAACCGTAAAGAGGGTGAGGGGCCCAACTACTTCATTTGATTCAAGACTACCCCGAGGCAAGGCATTGTGACGTCTGCTGCAGACAGGAATGGGGGAGCGAGGACAGGTATCAACTCGAACTCAGAGCGGCATTTATAATCAGAATTCTTGGCATTATTTTCCCAAACGCAGTTGGTCCTTGTATGGGTCAGTGTTGGAGTACGGAGTAGATAGGGTATGTACCTGGAAGGGCTGCGGGTCAGAATACCGGTACGCTATCTATCCTATCTCCACCCAAGTTAGTTAACTATTACCGGTATTGGGGTAAGTATTGTAACGTATCACCGGGCTGGTGATCGCCTCCAGATGATAAGTTGCCTTGCTCCATCCTTCGATAAAAGCTGTAAATTTCGGGTCATATTTTAGGCCCGACCGATGCTTGTTACGAAACTCGGCGAACCTGGAACAATGAAGTTGATGAGGAGTTTAACATGATTGGCCTCAAACATTACATTCACGTCCTGGCGGCTCCATAGTTATCATACACGACTTAGTCATTTTCCCTCAACCCAGGCACCATTAGGCTTGTACGGAAAGTTCTCGTGCATGTGCTTCGCAATCTCCCGTCGGGTCGTAACCCACACTCCCTCCTTTTCTGAAACGTACTTCATGAACTTACGAAGCGCCTCGGACCGGCCAGGCTTGCCGATAATGCGCGTGTGAAGGGGTATGTTCATGAGCTTCCCTCCCTCTCTGTAAAGACAGTCGAAAGTGTTCTTGAGGTACTGCTCGTACGTTTCTGCCACCGAGCTACCAAAGCCGGGCGACATGTGGAACTTTCCATCATTACAGTCGTAGTTGTAAGGGATCAGGAGCATTCCCTTCTTCTCATTGTCGGGCAGCGACTTCTCCTGCGGCAGGTCGAGCCAGTATGGTACATCGTCATTGTAGCACTCGGATGACCACAAGAACTCGGCTCCCACGCTCTTCCAGACTTCAGGGAATAGCATATGCCTGGAACAACGTCAGTATCACTCTGCTCGTTTAAGACTCTCATTTGGTCGGCGTCGACTCACGTTTGCGGCGTGCCTCGACCAAAGTACGCTCCCACAGGAAACTCTCCAGTCACCTCCTTAATAAGCAAAATGGCCTTCTTGATGTACTCCTTATCCTCCTCCAATGAGTAATCCCACGTGTCAATCCATCGAAGACCATGGGCAGCCACCTCGTGGCCGTCACGAATCAAGGCCTTGGCAAATTTGGGGTTCTTCTGGAGTGCCATCGCAACTGCGTAGGTGGTGAAGTTCCAGCCAAACTCTTTGAAGAGCCGCATGATCCTCCACGAGGCCGACCTGCTTCCATATTCAAAGTCGTGCTCGGCATTCAGGTACCGGGCATTTTCCTTGTGACCACCGGAGGCACCCTTCTCCCACAAATAGGGTTCTGAGATCTTGTCGCCCTCGAGGACTGAGCGCTCTCCGCCTTCCCTGGAGTCACTCGTAAGCTGATTGAGCCCCTCGCACCAAGGGGATTTCAACGCACTCGTAGTTCAATACGAAAGATACTGCTATCCTCGCGCCATTGGGCCACTTTGGATCAAAGCCTTCCTCGCCGAAACCTATTCAGAATCAATAACATGCATCACTACGGGGCGTCTTTATAAGATAGTACCTTCAAAATCACGAGGCACCTGTAGACTCTCCTCGATGTGAACCATGTTGGCAGAAATGAGTAGCAACTAGCAGACGAGTTTATCCTTCAACACAACGAATAGCAGGTTCTTGCGACGATGGTAGCTAGAGAGTGCAGAATCTCAAATTTCTAGCGGATAAACAGGCCCTTCGTGAAGAGATAGAGAAGATATCTCAACTCCATTTATTCCAAACACCTATGTCCTCGTTAGCCTCCGGTTCAGGTCACCATCTGCGGAGTAGCTCATTGGAATAGGAAACCCGAAGTCCCGTCGACGCGTCTACCCCGATCGAATGATATGCCCAGGCTCTCCTTTAGTCATTGACTGTATGTCATACCCGCTTGCCGCATGGGTCAGCACTGCCCGCTAAATAAGAGTTGCTAGTTCGCCCTATAGGCGGGGTATCGGAGGTTCCGACGCAGTTTGGCTACCCCCTGAAGCGCCGATGGACATCCGATACCACCGACTTTAGACAATGACGACCGATTTTTTCTCTCATGTTACCAAAATCGCAGCAAAGACTATACTCAGGCCTAGCCGCAATTTAAACCCTCTAGATTTTGCCATAGGAGCTGATTCGGAAATATAATTGCATCACTGACTTTCGCGTGAATGAAGAAGCACTAAGACAAGCTGGATACGAACTGTCTCGAAAGCAATGGCCTGCATCTATGAGTATAATCAATTAGGTGGTCTATATTATTCTAGCATTCCTGTCTAGTCTATTGCATATTACCTCTATCTAAATGTTGCCGGCAACGAGTTATGGTCATTAAAGACTTGGGGTCTAGGCGGGACGCTCTTTCGGCTCGGCCTCGGCCCCAATCTCAGTCCCAGCTTCCTCAAATTGCGGCTGCATTATCGAACTTTCGACCGAGGAATCATTGGCTTTCTCGCCAGGTTCCTCAGGCGGTTGCAGCCCACGATCTCTCACAAACACGCAGCCCAGGAAACAAGCCCCGATCAGGGGTACTTGTAGAATAAAGACGGCCCTGCTCGCCGCCATGTACGCATCGAGGACGCCATCAAACCCAGGGCCCTCTAGTTTGGGAAGTGAGTATGTATCCTCCGCCAGGTAACTGTACTCTTGCGGAAGATTGGCTCGTAATGCGGCTTGCAGCACCGCGGCTGAGATGGCAAGACCACAAGCGCCTCCAGCGCATCGGAAGAAATTCCGATTGGACACGATGACTGCTCTTTTGGACTTCGGCACGTGGGACTGGAATGCGACCAGTGTGGGCTGGAAGATGAAGCCTACGCCAATGCCAACGATGATCAAGGGGACGATGATCAAACCGGGTTGGGTATCTCTGTCGTAGTACAGCATAAGCCCGGAGCCAAGAGTCCACAGTCCAAAGCCAGCCCAGATGACCTCGCCGTACCGTTTCCGCCTGGAAATGTACTGCCCAGACAGAATGGAAAAGCCTGCCTGAAATGATACAAGACAGGCTGTGAAGGCAGCCGAGACGACAACCGAGTACTGCTTCACATTCTGGAAGTAGAGGGGTAGGTAGTACAGATACGACTGATACACAGCGCCAAAGAGAAAACTCTGACAAAGCATGACCGCCACTACGGGGTTCTTGAAAATCGTCACTATTACAGGAATTGTTTAGTTTTCATAACGTTTCAAGTATTTGCCGCTAAAGTCAAACTTACAAGGCATCATTGGCAGCTTTGCTATCCTCCATTCGAACATTACGAAAAGCACGAAAGCCATGGAGCCAATCACCAGCATAGATATCACCATGGGAGACTCCCAGGGGAAGTAAGAGCCACCACCGCTGATCGGTATGAGGATGAATATTACCCCAACTGACGAGGTTAGGACGCCCCCATAGTCAATCTTCTTGACGCTCTCCTTGAAGCCGGCTGTCGGGGTCTTCGAGGGCAGCAACCACCATGCCACACCTCCAACCAATGCAGCTAGTGGTGAGATCAACCAGAAGAACGCTCGCCAAGTCGTTCGAGAGATGAAGGCTGCAGCCAGGAATGGACCAGCCACATTGCCCAACCCGACAAAAGCACCAATGATTCCCTGGTACTTTCCCCTTTGTTCCAGGGTGACGATGTCGGACAGGATAATCATCGAGAGGTTCGTGATACCACCACCGCCTATCCCAGCAATAGCACGAAAGACATAGAACATGGCCGCATTCTGGGAGAGGCCGCACAGCAGTGCAGCGATAGACAACAAGCCCACGGCGCCGAGGTAGACCACTTTCCTGCCAAAGATATCAGATAGCCGGCCGTAGAGCATCTGGAACGTCGTGTTGGCGATCAGGGACGACGTGCCGGCCCACGAGATGGTGTTCGCCGCATTGAGCTCCTGGGCAATCGTAGGTAGTGTAACACTAATGCCATTTTGGTCGATGAAGGTGATCAGCAGCGTCAACGAGAGGGTTGCGGTAACAATTAGCAACTTCGCCTTGGGCAGGATCTCGGTCTGGTCGTGCAAAGCCTTCTCGGCTGCCCGTTGACGGCTTGACATGCTCGGTTCCGCATCAAACCCTGCACAGTTGGGTTGATAAACAGGCTTTTTCGCCCCAATCTGTTGAGGACTCAGGAGAATCTATAAACAGAGCGAGATCTGCTTTTCTTTTCCTCCCATTGCCAGAGCAGAAGAAGTAAAGAAGTTACGGTAAGGGACTTCGAGCCCGCCTACTCGGCCAAATTCCGATCGCATCTCGAATTTTGCCATGTCTCGTAATTCCGAGCGGTTTAGCAAGTTTGGTTTCACTGAAGGACCGGCCGCTATCCACAATTCTTTGTGTGCAGTGGAGTCGATAGAGTGGAAACTCTGCGATGCTTGGCCCTCTCAGGGGCTAGGACCTCTGCTTAGACGCTGTCGGTGCGCCGACGGCTTTTCGGGGGCTATCGGATGCTGCGCTACGTCCATCGGCGCCATCCCGATATCACTTACTCCGGATGCGGATTGCCTACACCCCGGGATCGTGGCGACTGGGCATTATGACTAAAGTATCACCCTCCTTCTCCGCATGGAGGATCAGCCTTGCTTATCAGTGATTCGAGCCCGCATCTGGACGACATGAATACCACAATGGAAATGTCGCCCGCCCTAGTCACCGGCTATCTGCCCCTTCGGCGCGTTCCAGCCGCCTGGAACCTCACTTGCCATTCTTTAGCCTGAGGCTCGGTCGATAGCGCCAGCCGATATATAGACTTGGTCACAACGGCCCGCGATGCAGATGGAAGCAAGGTAGATCATCACGGATTCCAATTGACTCGGTGATCTCGCATTTGTCAGTCTTCTGATTGGACCGCACCGGTCAAGTGGTCGGCAACTATGGCAACCACCGTGCGCAAGGTTAAGACGGCCTTGTCCTCGCCAAAGGCATTCAAGGACGCCATCAGAGCCCCTGACGCCCCGGCCGAGGGCCATGCGTATTTCAACGAGGACTTGCTACCCACGCCGCCGGAGGCAAGGACGTGGACCGCACTGCACTTCTTCAGTTACTACCTGACACAGACTTTCTCGTCCGGTTCCTATAATCTGGGCGCGACTCTGATTTCTATTGGTCTTCAGTGGTGGCATGGAATCATCGCCGCCGTTATTGGCTCGGCGATTCTGAGTGTCGTGGTCATCCTGAACTCCAGGGGTGCGACCCGGTACCATGTAGGGTTCCCAGTGTATGTGCGAGCGGCGGGAGGTATCGGCGGCTCGAAGCTGTTCGTTGCGGTTCGTGCTTCGGTAGCGGTCATCTACTTTGCAACTCAGAGTTACTATGGTAAGGCTTCTGTACCCCTTGTTTCTGTGCTCCCCTGAAGAACAACTCTGACCGGTATCAATAGGGGGCATGATCACAGCCGTCTGCCTCCGAGCCATCTTCGGCTCGGCGTGGGAGAACATCCCCAATACTCTGCCTGCGAGCGCGGGGATCTCGTCCAAGAACCTCCTGGCCTTTTTCATCTACTGGATCATCCAGTTCCCCGTCATGTTCCTGCACCCGACGATCCTGCGCCATCTGTTCGTCGTCAAGGCCGTGTACACGACGGCCGCGCTCTTCGGCCTGATGGGTTGGGCGATCCAGAAGAACGGCGGCAGCATCGGCAGCTTTAGTTTCGCGGGCCAGGTCACCCTGAGCGGCGCCGCGCTCGTCTGGCCCATGATCCAGGCCATCAACTCGGTCATGGGAGCCCTGTGCCCCATCCTGATCAACCAGCCCGACGTGGCACGCTACGCGACGAAACCCGAGCAGGCGACCTGGTCTCAGGGCACCGGCATCTTGATCTCCAAGGTGATTGTCATGTTCGTGAGCTGCGCGACCACGAGTGCCAGCACGGGCTTCCTTGGCAAGAGCTATTGGAATGTCTGGGACCTGTACGATGCCATCCTAACACAGTACTGGTCACCCGCGGCCCGTGCCGGCATCTTCTTCGTTGCCTTGGGCATGGTGCTTGCTACGATTGCCACCAACGCCGGCAGCAACTCATTGCCGGTGGGTGCCGATACCAGCGGACTGTGGCCGCGCTGGGTCACCATTGTCCGAGGCCAGGTTGTCTGCGCCCTACTCGCGCCGCTCTGCGTGCCATGGAAAATCATCGCCAGCGCCACTTCCTTCCTGACCTTCCTAGGCTCGTACACGGTCTTCCTTATGCCCATCTGCGGCGTCATGATTGTCGACTACTGGGTCCTGCGGCGCGGCAACTTCCACGTCCCGAGCCTGTATACCAAGGCCAAGGGAACACCATATGCCTACACAAACGGGTGGAACCTGCGGGCGGTCGTTGCGTGGGTTGCTGGCGTGGCGTTCACGGTCCATGGAATCGCCGGCTCGCTGGACCCCACCGCGGTGAATCAGGCGAGCAAGAACATGTACAAGTTGGGCTTTCTGCTCTCCCTTGCTATGGGATCTTTCGTGTTCTACATCCTAAACCTAATCTGGCCCGTCCCGGTATACCCGGACGAGCGCGTGGGCGAGGGTCTCAAAACCTTCGAGTTTATGGCTGATTCCGAGGGCTTCTTTGCCGGCGAGAGTATCGATGGTATTCGTGGTGTCTTGACGGGAGACGGCGGGATTGAAGTCGGTGATACCGACAGCAAGGCTAGGTATGGAAAGGCGTACGTGGACGAGAAAACGGGGCCTGTCTCTGTCTAATAGGTAATTCGGATCTAAAAGTCGATTGATGTTGAGGTTCATTTACCTCGGGAGGAAAACAATGAAATATGAGCAATGTCACGTAAAATCCTAATAATAGTGTGCTAAAATTTTCATCAACATCCTGGATGTGCTCCGCGGTCCAGAGAATATCTCCCAAATATTCAGTCAGTATTAGAGTTGTTGTAGCGAGCCAGGTAGAGATCAGGCTGATCGTTAGAAATCACATCGTCCCGAAATTTTGCTGGCTGCGATGGAGTTTTGCATTCCTTGTCACAGAAGCCCAAAATCGATTGGCTGTGATGACCCTACAGTAATCCGCCCACTTTCAAGTCCAGAGCATTTGGCAGAGTAAGGAGATCACGCATCGTATCTTCTAGACGAGGGTTCTTACGTGGGTTATATTTCGTCGGGGTATCATTCCAGCTAGCAAATCCCAAACCGTGGGTGAACTAACTAACTCATCTGTGTTACAAAACAAGCCATCTGTCGGCGATATCCCTCATGGCCTCGATGTCCCCGCCAATCAAGCAGCACTGCTGCAGGTTGTACGCAGCCTCGCGCGCGAGGTCTTCTTCGCCTATCTCGTCGCCCTCGATCTCCAGGAAGACGCGTCGGTAATATTCGGCCGCCAGATGCGTCAGTCCGACGGCGTGGTAGCTGCGGGCCAGGTTGTAGTGGGCCTCCTGTCTCTGCTCAGCGGTCATGGCGGTGGCGAGCTTGGCGTCGTAGTAGCGATGCAGGAAGGTGAAGCCTTGGGAGATAGCTTGCTGCCTATTCTCCGACTGACGTTTGAGCGCATAGTGCAGGTACGCTTGGCCAATGCTGATGTTGATCATCAGATTGTCTGGGTCTAACGCGTACGCACGTATGAAATAGTTGAGCGCAAACGTAAAGCTGTTTGAGATGAAGAGTATGTGACCGTAGAGCATGAGCAGTTGCACGTCCATCTCCTTGCCGGGGTACACCTTGGGGTCGAATCCATCCAATGTACCCTTCACTCGGTCGTCGGCTGGAATCAATGCAGAGTCCATCATCTTGATCTGTCGCAAGGTGAACTTCTGTACTCGAGAATCTGCGTACCAGGTTGCTGTTGTGTCGCACAGTCTGCTGAGGGCAGCATACATGCGAAAAGCATCAGACGAGAATGCATAAGTGGCCATAAAACCACGTGCCACTTCTACGCATCGCTCTTCGTCCATACCACGAACAGCGCAAGCTGCCATTGTGATGTTGATCAGGAACTTGTCTTCCGGGTTCTCAAAGAAGACATTAGCTCCCATGGCAGCCTCGCATATATTGTACGCATCCTTGAAATGACCAGTATGCGCAAGGCTTAGCGCATACTCCAGGAACAGATGCAGCCACTCTGAGAAATCAACATTTCTATAGCTCACAGTAGTCTCGAGCAGTTTGCGGGAGTTGATCGACGACTGTTGTGCATCCACTTCGTCTCTCAATCGTTGAGCCATTTTCAAAAGATGCGGGTTCGCCGTGGCGGACTCAGACTCGTCCTTCTTCAATCCCATCTGGGTAAGGTACCGATCCCACGGGTAGAACGCCTTGAATGAACGGAAGTCATCAATCAACGCCTTCGCAGCCTCCATCCAAGCCTCGCTGGGCCCATCTTCAGCATCATCTTGGGCCTCGCGGATGAAGCTCCACTGCTCAGCCAGATATGCGGACTTGCGTTCTTCTTCGAGACGCCGATCCTCATCCAATGCGAACAGCAAGGGTCTTTGGCGATATATCTTTTCCCTTGGTTTCTTATTGGGATCACGGGGCTTCCGAGGGCCTGTCGATTTTCTCTCCTTCGGTTCTCGGGGCTTCTTGTCGAGCTTCGGTTTTGGCGCGATCTTCCGAATGATACGTGGTTTGCCTGGCCGCCGGTCGTCCCCATTCTGCTGGCCGCTCGTACCTGCAACCTCTTCGTCGCGTTCCTTTTCGATACCCATGGCTTCTTCAAGCAACTCTAAGGCCTCTTGATTCTTCCTGGCAGCTTCGTACATTTTCGCCAGTTCATAACGCGCATTGACGCGAGTATCGGTGGGTGTCTCTTCAAAGTCCAAAGCCGCAGTGAAGCACTCCTCGGCTTGTCTTTTGTCTCCGACCTCTAGGTAGCATTTACCTGCTCGGTAGAGGTTCGTAGCATCAAGGAAGTCATCCTGCCGTCTGAGCGGTTCGAAGAAGGGCAACGCCTTCGTAAGCCGCTTCGTTTCGTATAGAGCTGAAGCAACTTCCAAGAACAACTCGGATTGCTCCGCTCCATCTTCCGTCTCCGATACTTCCGCAGGATCAAGGAACTCAAGGTGTTGCTATTCAAGGTCAGCGTCGTCCAATCCAGCACTAATAGGAACAAGATACGAACCATAGCCTCATCATCTTGAGCACGATCTAAACGAAGACGGCATATCGCCAAATTAACCCTCAAGCGAAGAGGAAGCCCCTGACCGTAACAAGCTGCCGGATGCTCGTCAGCCTTATACTCGGGAATCTCTTTCCGCCGCTCATCCCCAATATCCCATTCACGGTCGTCCGATAAGTTGTCCCAGAAATCTTCTTTCTGGCGGCCCAAAAGCCATCTTGACAGGGATCGTGCCTGCTTGAGGGCGTCTTCAAACTGCTCGAGGTGTAGGAGTAGAGCAATATAGGTACAAGCATCATCCCAGGTGAAAGGATTAGGAATGTCAGTAAGAGAAGCGCCGGTAGGATACTCCGCCTGGACATGCTCAATGCAAAGAAGATACGCGTCCCTTGCTATTTCTCGTTGTCCTTTGGCAACTCTCCTCTGGTTCTCATATAACTGCACCGAGGCGTCGGCCAGACCTCTCAGGGCAACCACGTTGTCTGGTGAGCGCTCCACTATCCATTTGTATTCGCTGGTTGCCAGCTTAAAGCTCTCTCGGGTTAAGTAAAGCGCAGCACGGAGTTGACGAACACCGATATTGTCAGGTTGGATCTTGATGGCTTGGGAGAGGGTCATGATCGCAATCTTCAGCGTATCCTCTGAATCCTCCGGTTCTTCCTCAAGAAGGTCCAAAGCGAATCGACCGCAGTTCAGCCAGACTTCAAATATCTTGGGTTGTAAGTGAGCTGAGCACACCGAGGCCAATAGACTCGGCTTGTTCTCCCCACGCTCTCGGAGAATTTCGGCCAACAGGTCCCAAGAACGGTGGATTTCGCCATTGAGCCTAATGGCGTCGTTTACCTGACGTAGGGCTTCGTCCAGATCACCACTCATGAATGCGCTTGTTGCAGCACTCAAACGCATCTTGACGTCCGCAGTCGGTTCTGCAGGCTTTCTAGGTCCCCTTTTGATGATTTTTCTCTGGCTTGGCTGCTTGTCACTAAATTCGGCAAACAAGTTCTTGTCGCTAGCTACGCCAGTCAAACTCTTAAGACTTTGCATGGATCCTTTCAGGGTAGAGGCACTATTTTGCATGGTCAAAAGCAAGTCGTCACCCAGGTCATCGGCATCATCTTCCATGAGCTGGTCTTCATCTTGCATGCCACCATTGTCCGCAAAACTCTGAGCCTGGTGCATCCCTTGGGATGTTTGCTGAATTGCTTGACCAGGCTGAACTCCTTGTGGTCCTGTGGTAGCAACAGGTCGTGGAGCACCTTGTGACTGTGGCTCACCGAACTGCGTCGGTCCATTTTGTTGGTGCAAGCCCGAATATGTTGTGTATGGCTGCTGTGCCCCAATAGATGTTGTGGGGTAGCTAGCTTGGTTCACTTGCTGGAAGGCAGGCGACTGAGGTGCCATGTTTGGGCCTGTACCACTTGGGTAAGGCTGAGCAGAGTGCTGTTGGCTCGTGACGAACGATTCGTGGTTCGATGCATGAAATGGTGCTGCGCCGATATTTTGCGCAATGAGCTGTCCAGAAGCGGTAGCATTGCTATTTGCAAACTGCCCAGGAGCTGCCCCATGAGGCATTCCACTTCTAGACTGCTGGTAGGCCTGTGTGTGTACGTTATTTGGCGCTTGCACTTGTTGGAATGAATACGGCGTATGGTGAGATGATTGATCATTCCCTGACGGTAGAGTGTGAGACTGAACCTCGTGTGACGGTGCAGGAGCAATGGCTTGTACAGGTCTTCCGTTGCGGGCTGGCGTGGGTGCGATGGGTCTTTGAGAGGTAGCACTTGATGATAGACTGCCTCGGCCGCGGTCCCTCGAGCTCACTGACGAGCGGTCCCCTCTTGCAGGCTGCGCTCCGGCGCCTACCATAGGTTGTCCAGCCGAGGGGGTGTATGGCGATGTATAGTATCCTTGCGGTACATCTGGAGGCTCAGGATACCGGCTTGCATTTGGTTGAGTCTCCTCTGGCTTGGGTGTCACCAACACCTCTGGTCGCGAAGGAAACGGTGCAGGTGAGTGCTCCGGCGGTGGCCCTTGGGGAGGCAAGATTGAAGGATTAAGCGGCTGATGCACCGGCATATCTTGTGTAGCAATGGATTTTCCTGCACCATCTTGGCGTGAAGACATGCCGTCAGATGGAGGCTGTGGTGGGGAGGAGGCAGAACGGCGTGACGACTGGGCCATGATCTGCCTAGCCACATAGGCAGGGTCCAGTGAGGGTTTCATCTCTCAATCCAGGCTTCTGGTCACTGGAAAGACAACTTGAGCGAATCTTTTCGTCGGCAATATGCAATGCTGATGGCCTCCCAGTAGCTGCTGGTTGGGTGTACTGGCGTCGCAATACCTCGAGTTGCGAATCAAGGTAGACGGCCCCACAGCAAAACTACGTCCACCAACTCATGGGCGAACACGGCTATCAATGATGGTCTGTAAGAGCGTTATTACATTGGCTTTCCTCATCGGGAACGCGAACGAGGTAACTCACCAGGGAGGGCATCGGTGCTGATGGTGAACCAGCTGTATCGGGATGCTTGGTAGTTCCTGGCTTCCAGGCGGACAGCCGGTGTCACTAGCATGCGACATTCGCCCAGTCAGTCCATTCTTATCAAATTCCGCACGATTTCGCACATGTAGCTCTTCGTAACGTCACAGAGATGGCCTCGTAGAAAAATGTCACAATTTCCGCCATGGAGATCCCAAGCTTGACGATGGTTGAAACTAACGAGCAACATCAAAGTCTGGCTGGTTGTCTCGAAAGAGCTGGCAGTTGGCAGCCTACCGCCACAGCTGCCAAGAGCTGTCTTTGACAACCACCGAACTTTGAAGATGCACACACAGCTACATCCACGACCAGCACGCATGCATTGGTTTTCCTTTATCAAAATCAATTTCTTAATCGGCAGGTGCATGTCTCAAGCATATTGGCGGCATGTATTCAGCACACCGGGTTATCAGTCTAGCGAAGAAACGGTGCGGACTACAACGTCTCACATCAACAGGACTACTCGTCGGCCCCTTATGTAAGACGCACGCGTTGTGATATGCTTGTTCCGTCTCATAGCACATGCTACCCGAAGAAGCCTGGGGCTCTAGCCATGATTGTACGAGTAATTTTGCGCTCTCTCCACTACCCATAGTGATGTTGGTTCATCTGTATACAATATACCGTACAGGAAATTCATCCGCTATGCCTTCATTTTATCGCGTCTCCTATACTTCTTTCCAATTCGTACCACCGTTTCCAGGATCGAGATGTCAGGTAAACTGACGCGGCCGTCCCGCGAATGCACCCAAAGACTTCCCGAGTCACTCCAGTCCCGCCATGGGGTGTTTCGTTGTGGCCGCTTCAGGAACGGAGTTCCCAGTATTAGATTGATAATAAGTTGACTGCCACGTTCCGGCCCTGGCAAATAGACGCTTCGAAAACGATCGATCCTCGAATGATAGGCAACGGTTAGGCCAACTTGCCCTCAACCTTGGCTTCTACGCAATTGTTAGCCTCAGGGTAAAGCAATGAGAGAAGATTTTGGGATTTCGGTGCTTACTTACCTCTGACCTGCTCGAAGACCTTCAGCATCTTCCTGCGGGCGCCTAGCGCATTGACACCTCGCTTCTCGAGGGCCTCATCGTCGAGCTCCACCAGATCAGTCCACTTCATGTCCTTCAGATTATCCGTGTACTTGTGCAGCCTGAGCGACCTGAGCCAGGCTGGGATATCCTGAAGAAGAGTGGGGTCGGTCGGGTCCTCCGGGGGCTTAGAGCTACCACGACGACCACGGGGCGAACGCCCACGCTTCATGTCAGAGTCGGACAGATACAGGTCAGGTCCCAGTCCGAGTTGAGCCATGTTCAATTGGTTGTTCAAAAGTGCATTGTGTCCATCGTAAGCGCTCAGGAAACCATTGTTCTGTGGCGACGCGAAACTGCCCATACCCCCGAACCCAGCCTGCTGCATGGCAATGCCAGGAGAGCTTGGCCTCGATCGGTTTCCAAATCCGCCCATGGCTTGCTGGTTCTGCAGAGCAATCATCTGGTCGCGGTTGAGTACTTGGCCATGCTCATTGACCATGACCACGTTAGTCGCAGGTATGCCGGGGGAGAGGGGAGCGTCGTTGGACCTCGCACGGCGGTACTTGCGCACATCGTCGAGGGCGAAGCGGTTGTTGACGGTCGACAAGGCAGCAAGCTTCATGGCGGTCGCGTTCGCTACCATATCTGCCTGGTTGGGAGCACCTTGGTTGAAGTTCGGCACCATGGGAGTGTTGACCATGGATGCCCAGTTGCCGCTTGCTTGATAAGGGGAAAGCATAGGCATATCAGAGCCCGACTTGTCAGGGGCATTGATGGTCTGGCTCTGGATGTTCTGGTTTGATCCAAGCTGCGGTCTAGGTGACCGCAAGCCCGCCGAGGGTGGCGGCTGGACAAACTGACCCATGGGAGTCTGTCCCGATGAGGATTTGGGTCTTGACCCTTCGCCCCACTGACCGTTGGACTCCTCGGCGATGGTAGGAGCCAGGGAGCTTCTAGCATCGACGGCGGTACTGTTGCGGTTCGATGGGGGGTGATTGCCGGTCTGTTGGGTGAATTTGGCTTTCTCGGTAGCAATGGCGGCGGCGGCATCCGGGAACATGGCGTTGATGGTTGATGGGTCGAGACCCGAGAATCTCTTTGCAGCGGCTTGCGGCATCGAGTTTCTGGTGGAGTTTACGTTCAACTTGTTCATAGCATCGCTCAGGCGGTTCGTCATGGGGTCTAGTGGAGCAGGACATGTTAGAGACGGTGCTGCAGCTGTACAACGGGGAGCTCTTGTGAAAATGCCTACCTTTGTCGAAGTTGGCTGGCGACAGAACGCCCGACATCGGATGGTTCTTACCCATCTGTTGCAGGACCTGAATGAAGAACCGGATCTGAACCTGTGTGGTCTGCTGCAGCAGGGCGTAGAGAGCAGCAGTCCGCTCGGCCTCGGAGAGCACACGGAACCACTGCTCGATGGCGCTGAGCTCGTCCTTGAAGTCCTGGTCCAGCGTGGCCGCGGCCATCTCCTCCAAGGTGGTCTCGTACTGGTCAATGTCGGCAATCCACTGCTGGGTCATCTTGTCCTGAGGGTCCGAGTCGTTGCCCGCCTGGCCTTGGCCTTGCGACTGGCCGTAGAAGTCGGACGAGGGCCGGATGCGGCTCGCAGGCGTGTTGCCGGACAAGGCAGCCATGTCGGCCGAGGCTCGAAGGGACTGGCCGGATCCTATCGTCGTCCTGGCCTGCGGCGGGCGAAGCGACGAGGCGGCGCTGGCCTCGGGGGTGCTGTTCCGGTTCATGGCGACCTGGGGGAGCACGCACAGAGACCGACTTGAGGAGCTAGCACACACGGAATCACCTCGACACGCCTATAGCAAGCACCAAGAGACGGGTTGGGGCCTGGTGGCGATGACAAAGGATGTGTACTAGGGATGGTGAAAGAGCTGATGAAAGCAACTCTGGGTTGAGAGGTACAGTGGTTCAGTCAGAAGTTTCTGTGACGGTGTCGAATTCGAACAACCAAAGTCTCTGGTCAGGCAGCTCCTCGACGGACAGGGCACATGAAACGGCGCGAGACCCCTGCGAGCCGGAACGGGGGTAGATCGGTGGCCCGTGAGAAGAGACGAGCCAGACAAGCAAGAGGAGCAGGGATTTCCGAGCAATGCACACTGTTCCGGGACTTTGAAAACGCCTGGCTTTTTCCAGAAGGGCGCCTACTAGAGCCTGGTTCCCACAACGTGCCAACTTGCCGCGCCTCACGTAGCGAACTTGCAATGTACCCGACTTTACTCGGGTCGGCTCCTGGGCCTCTTTGCTGGGCGGTGGGAGCTGGAAACGCCGACAAGGAGGGCACGAAGAGCAAACACACACACACACACACACATACACACCCCAGAGCCCCTCGTATCGAATGGATGACTGCCCGCCCACGCCAGGCTCTGCCAGGAATCCTGTGCGGGTGAGCAATTCTTCAGCCCGTCCTGTCACCTGAGAGGCCTGCACCGAAGTGGGCTGAGCGATGGTGGGGGATTATTGGAGGGATCTTGGAGGGGGCCATCGAACCAGTCGGGACCCGGAAGAGCCTCCTACTGAGTTTCTTGGCCAGCTAGAACAGGCCCGGGCTAACGTTATTTGGCCGTTTTTCAAGGCTCTAGAGTTTCCTGTCCTACTCCTGCCCTGCAGTAGCCTGCCGTCCTTTGGAGATGCGGGAGTCATCAGAACCCGGCCTTCCAAGGCCAACGAGCAAACTCGAGTAAAGGGAGTCGTATGCGATGGCGATCTCTAACTGTTGGTCGGTGGCGGCGATCAACAGATGCCGGGCAGCACAGCTTGTCGCGCACGCTGAACCCCGGAGCCGCGCTCTCGTGGGGAATTTCGGACAGCGCAAATGAAGCCTGTATACGGAAGGACGGCCAGGGAGTTTCGACCCAGGGGCTGGATGCATCAGGGGGGCCGCAATATGGAGACTCTACTACGAAGTCGGCCAATCTAGTCCAGGCTTGACCACTTGGCTGATGCTACGTATTGGATAGATTGCCATGTTAGTACCTCTATGAAAGCCACTGAAGATTCTGCCGGTTGCAGTAATTGGATTTCTTTACGGGCCGCTCGTTGGGTTGACTGGTGGCTAACCTGAATCAAGGTCACGTTCCGCGTGTCATACTGTCCGCATCTCCAAGACAATGCTGACTTTGGGCCATTACCTCCCCGTTGAATTGTGCAGCCATTAGTCAAGAACGCGTGCTTTGAGAGGTACCCCAGAACCGCTAGGGGAGGAATGCTGTCGGTTCACAGGAGAGCAGTTATCTGGGTCAGCAGTTTTCTCGTGTCCGAAACAGCGTACGTGAGATCCGCCCTAGGCCATTCACCTGGAAGGATGACCCTCAAGGATTACGAATCCGTAACTCGAGTGCATGCATACTGCCGGATAAGGGGCCGTTTGTACAACAGGGCCGATTTGAGGAAAAGCAACAGATCAAAATCGGATCGACGAGCACAGCAGGGGGGTTGGAGTTTGTAATGTGAATTGCCTCGACCTATGCCTACGGGACCAGCCGAGCATCCTCTCGTGCTCAGGGTTCTAGGGTCATGGAGAGGCGGTTCAGGAATAGAAGGCTTGAAATGTGGAATGAGACAATTGAGGCGGAGTCTCGGGTAAGATAATTACTTGTTCCATCTGAGGTTTGATGGGCAGATTGGACCTCGTTTCTTTGGCTATTGTCGAGATCCTGTCAAACCCAATGGCGCTTATTGTTGAATAAACGCCCGATCAAACCGAGGGTTTTGGCACCCTGTACGCACATGTTGGATCTCAAGTTTCTTATTCTTGTTAAAGCTGTCAAGAAGTCATACCGGAGTTGTTTGGGCCATCGTGGGTAGCATAGCTTGCGCAGCCAGGCACTGTCATCAAGCTCAATCAACAAGGCTCATCCCTATCTCGCTTCATGACACTGGGATGGTCTGGGAAATTTGTAGTGACGGAACCAGCACTTCGAATCCTATTTTTGTGTTTGATAGCGGGCGAGAGCACATGAATTTATATCTAGCTAGAATATCCTTACCTGAAGCATGCTCGTACAGGAAAAGGAAATAACGTCCAACTAATCACTCCGTGCAATTGTAGCACCGAACCGATGTGACAGCAATGCTGTTAATACGACCAAGTGGCTACTTTCGAAGGCAGTCTTCGTATTGTACAGTCGATACCGCAATTCGAGGCTCCTCTTCTCCGGGCTGCATGGAGGAAGTGACATTGTAGCCATGGAACCGTCTCATATATGAACCCCTCACACACTGCAGGAATCTCCACGTGACACCGTCCATATGACACGATCACTTTTTATCAGTATGTAGTCCAAGTCTTCATGCACCTTTGCCTATGAATGAATACAGCACTGATGTTTGGTAATAGACGGACGGGGTCAATCTCGGCACGAGAAGAAATCCTTCAGCAGGAGAGCACGGGAGAAGCTCAGAGCTGTACACACTAATGCCGTTTTCCACGAGTGGAATGGCCGCCTGCATGTTGCAGCAGGCGGTAAAATGGGGGGAAGCAATATCACCTCTTGGTCACTGGGGATCCTCGATGCAAGAAGGGTCGGGTTGGTTGTCATCGTGGCTCGTTGGCCGATGGATTCATCTTCTCCAGTGAAGATAGTCCGTATGAAAAAGCCGAATGCAAGTCATAATTCCCCCAGGATCATGTCCGAAAAGCCCTGAACTCGCCATCGATGCACGCCGTACCTCATAGCCCTGCCCCGGAAATCGAAACACAATTATGCGGTCTCACGCTTGCCCTCGGCCTTCTCCTTCTGTAGGGAACGTCAGCATGTCTGGAGATTGATCGGGGAGTCGGGCGCGCTGGGGATGCGGGCGGGAGTCGTACCAGAGCCTTCATGGTGCCGTGCAGAGCGTGTCTGTGGTTTCTTCGGAACTTGGGGTCGGTTCCCTTCAGCGACGGGTAACGCATGGTCTTGGGCTTCTTGATACTGCAGTGCCCGAGTCAGCAAACGGATCCCCTCCAAAACAGCGAGGCTGCGACCGAAATGTCGTGGGAAGTCACGGCGTTCGTCGAGTCGCGGGTCATCGGTTCGATTGCACGTACCCATTGCGGTGAGCCTTCTTCGACTGGTTGTGCTGGGACGAGTTCTTTGACTCTGTGGGAGAAAATTAGTACATCGCTCTCGTTCCGTCGCGTCGCATTTGGTTGTCACATACTGGCCATCTCGACAGATTTCCGTTGGGTTGTCTTTGGTGAAGAAGCTTGGAGGTCGACCGGATTTGATTAGATGGATTTTTTGCTAGAGGCCTGGTTCACAGCGATGCGATATTCATTTGGTGGGAAGTGGATTGACCCTAAGCAGCAGCCCGAGAGCCACCAGCCAATCACAGAGGCGTGCTGGCCAGATCGCCCGCTCCAATATCCTGGCAGCTGGCACGAGCTGGCCGAGATGACTCCACAGCCCAGACATGGATGGATTGGCTGGAGGGTCCACTCCAACACAAATGCTTCTAACTCACTGGATGGTTCACAGTACATCTGCGTTGTCTCTCACATCACAATCAACTCTGTACTGCGCGTGCTGTATCTTGATTCGTAGCCATGATTGGTATTGTTCTGAGATATCGGGGGCCTCTATACTTCATCAATAAGTCGCAACTCCATATATACAATCCGCACCATTCGGCATCTCCTCCCACTCTACAATCATGAATCCTCCCCCAGCCGGTAATGCCTTGATCCCAACGTCTATTTCGCTATTATAGGCACAGCAACCTTGGCCTTGGACGCCAATTCCGCAGCCTTTGCCAGCTGTTTCGCCCGAAGCTGGCGCACGTAACGGAACAGCAAGATGAACATTAACTCCATACTACAGGCGACAATTGTTAGTCACGATGTATAGTTCGTCCACAGGGATCGACTTCACTTACCGTTCTTTTGTCATCATCAGGATTCCTTGTACCAACAGTCCCTTCAGGATCTGTGGCCCTATACCCTTGAAGAGCCCGGCGGTGCCCTCGTGCTTGATGATGAATTGCATCACCTCGATAAAGCCCTTGAACGGCTTTCCCTCCCTTATCGGAGGAGGCCTGGATTGCAGTCCGACCTTGGCAACAATCAAGGGCTGCGTAGCAATGGTTGCCAGAGACTTGGACATGGCACCGAGTACTTGTCTGCCGCATTAGTCTTGTGCCTTGCCTCTCTACATGCAACAGGGCTATACTCACAGAAAGCCTCTCCTGGTGTCAGGCGTGTTTTCCCCGGGAACATGCCCGACTTTAATCTTTCGTATGCACCGTATGTGATTGAAGGGTTGACCACGAGCACCAAGCTTGCCTTCAAGCCTCGCCAAAGCCCCGTAATTCCATCCTCGCTGTTAATGATGTCGCGACCCGTCTCGAAAAAGCCTTTTCTTTCGTGCTTCTTGGACGTCTGCTGTCGGGTCGTGATCACGGCAACGGGAATCGTGCACAGTTGTGCGAGAGCACCGGCAACGGCCCCGAGAGAAAGCTCAACCACAGTCGATGGCGCCGCAGGGACTTTTTGCGACTTGAGATAGAGCGTCCGCACCGTTGAGTACCAGTAGAAGTATGCAAAGTTCGTCGATGCTACACCGAGGAGCGAACCACTCATACCGGCATACAATCCTTGTAGTCCATCTTCGGCAACGATCTTGGTTATCGCATCCCACGTCGACGCGTAGTGCGGGTCGTCGCCCTCGACGTGGCCACCTTGCCGCTTAATCTGAACTTGTAGACGGGTCTTGACTCTGGAGGGAAGGGTCGAGTTAGTATAGGGTCGCCGAAAGCCATGGGCTCGCTTGCTTTCGAGGAAAGAAGTCTCACATGTCCAAAGGATAGACCAGGGCATTGGCCAGGACTGCACCAGTAGAGCCAGCAACAGCCAAACCCCAGGGCGGGAGCGGGGCTGCTTTCGATTGTACGGCCATTTCGTGCGGTTTGATAGTCACTCCCTTGGCCGTAACTTCGGCGACCAGATGTTGGATGCGGTTGAGAAGAGGTCTGTATACCACCGTCCAAAGAGCCTTAAGGCGCCGCCAATCAGGTGGACAGCCGTAGGGCGACCTCGGTATGAGATCACTGGCACGGGGCGCAAGCGGGCGAGCGGGCTAAGCACGAGTCAAACACTATCGCGACATATATGCGCGCCGGCTACAACAGAACAGAAGGCTCAGGCAAGCGGGCGGTCAACAGACAGGAAATTGCGTACAATCCTTCCACAGGCTGCACGGGTTCCAGGCTCACAGGACAGGTTCCGTGCGTGGAGGAACCGAGTTTAAAGAGAAAGCTTGGAAGGCGGTCCGAAGGCGGTCCCAAGACCCGTGCTGTCCGTCACGTCAGAAGTACCTCGGTCATTTTCCTTTATCTTATCGCGCTCTTCAGTAGCTCCAACCGCTCGGCAAGCCCCCTGCCTGGGGAACCGAACTGCCGGTGGCAGCCGCTAACTTTCTACCTGTGCCTACTAACTTGCTTTACCTACAGTACAGCCACTTGAAGCCTCTCTAAGCTCTAGGGTACTAGGTTGGTTGAGTTACATACTCTCTGGCTGTATGTAATACGGTGCTATCACGTAACCGACCAGTCCAGTGACTTGTCTATAACTCATCCCTTGAATGAGCTGCGATGTTCCTGCTTTGCAGATCATGCATCCTGTTATTTGGCATCGTGCCATGTCGGGAGTAGAAGCTGACTGTATCATTATTGCCGGTCCTTTTATAACCCCGACCAGACCAAGGCCCGTACACAGTGGTATCACTGCTTGTATCTCTACCTTTCATACCAGCCTTGTGCTTGAGCAGTGATATCTTGTCGAGGCACTGGCAGAAGTCGGAATATCCCACCGGTGGACATGAGCCATCGTGTCCTATTCGATTTGTTCTCCGTGCCTCACTCTAACCCCACAGAGTAGAAGTAACAGTAGGTCTCTCAGGTAGACGCTTTCACCCGTGGACCACAGCATGACGCAATCAGCGGTCGCAAGAGCTGGAGCCAAAAGCAACGCCTTTCTGCGCTTGAGTGCCGTTTATGTACACGGCATCAGAACAACCCCGAAGCCACGATGCGACTGCAGATATTCCATGGAGCTGTGAGCTGTTGTTGCATTGATCAGGCAGTCGAAACTTATTGAAACAATTCTGGAGCTAATCGGGAAAATGTCGGGGTCTCGCCGTTGGACCAGGTCCCAGCATCTATCCTCACGTCCTTCGTCCCTGTGCACCAGCGCAGTCGAGATGTTGGTGCAGTTGTCGTGCTGCAGGGCATCGTGAGACTGGCTCCAAGACGCTCCAACCTATGCCAAGCATCTCGCACCCATTTGTCCGCTCAGATGGCAATAGTCTAAGACTCAGCCACTCAGTCCCACTGCCCCTCACTCTTGATAGGCCCAACCTGCGTGTTGAGCTGATTACCAACAGTTGTTGCTGCTGAAGAACAAAGATAAAAAGTTGATCAAGAGGCTCGCACTCTGAATCATGTGCAGCATACTGTGAGAACTCATCTTTCTTATAGCTGATTGAAATGACAAGCTTTTGGGGCAACACATTATTGGGCTAAAGGAGCCAAGCCGGGGTTCGTGTCCCGTTAGTGGGCTGCAGATAACGCAACAACAGCAGAAGCGCCTCTCCCAGATATCTCATGATATAGGCTGCCACAATGGAGGCGAAAGCACGAGTCCGTCTCCGTTTGTTTTTTTTGCCTTACGTCCTGATAGCGAAGCTTACATTGTACAACAGGAACAGGAAGCCCTGCTGTCAAGGTCAACTGGCCAAGAAGCCCTGGATCAGGCCATAGCCGCGGCCGAGCTGTACATGAAGGCAGCGGCGGCAGCAAAAAGCCCTTCTGAGAAGACTCGGCTGAAGCAGAAAATCAACGACCTCATCTCGCAAGCCGAGCGGCTGAAGAAATCCATCAAGGCAGGGGACAGCGTTAGTAAGGTCGAGCAACGTCTGAAGCTTCCGCGTCGGGTACGGCAACTTCCCACAAGCGAGAAAAATATCCTTCTCCGTGGCTCCAAACTGCATGGCAATATCTTCCCACCATGGGAATCGGATCCGGACCCGGAGGACTTCACGGGAGCAGTGTTCGTGGACACGGCAGAATTCCCTCTGTCGGAAAGACAAGAACAAGTCTTTGCAGGCTGGAAGAGACCAACGGAACTGGATGTTTACAGCAATGCTGATACGAAAGATGAATGGGTCATGCAGAGCCTCATGAAGGCAGACGACGACTATGATCTTGTGCAGGACATAACGACAGACTGCTCCGTTGTCGCGAGTCTCTGCGCCAGCATCAAACACCTACAGCCAGGGCCCCTATCGATACTCTCGGCGCTCATGTTTCCGATAGACTCGGATCATGGACAGCCAAAAGTCTCAGCGAGTGGGAAGTATGTCTTTCGGATGTACTTCAACGGTTGCTTCAGGAAGGTCATCATCGACGACAGACTGCCGTCCTCATCAAATACCCGCACCTTGTACGTGGTAGATCGGCAGAATCCCCGGCTGATTTGGCCGGCGCTGATGGAGAAGGCATACCTCAAGGTCCGGGGCGGCTACGACTTTCCTGGAAGCAATTCAGGGACCGACCTTTGGGTTCTCACCGGTTGGATACCGCAGCAATTGTTTCTACAGAGTGATGATATTGACTTTAATCAAACATGGTCGAGGGTCAAGAAGGGCTACGACTACGGCGATGTAGTCGTTACGCTCGGAACCGGACGTTTGTCAGAGGTTGAAGAGGAGACCTTGGGATTAGCTGGAGAGCATGACTACGCCGTGCTTGACATCTCCGAGACCTCAGGCACCAGGAGGATGCTGGTCAAGAATCCATGGTGTGACGGTCTCGTGTGGAAAGGGGCAGGCGCAGCGAGTGCAAATGCGGCCACGGACGAGCATCCAACTAAACTCAAGCCTGGTTCCTTCTGGATCGACTTCGACGACGTGGCACAGCACTTCGAGTCCCTCTATCTCAATTGGAACCCGGCGCTCTTCACGGAACGTCAAGATCACCACTTCGTCTGGCAGCTCCCGTCTCCGACCATGTCCGAGTCGTTCGCCCACAACCCGCAATACTCCATGACGGCCAGCGGCAGTGGCAGCGTCTGGATCCTCCTCAGCCGGCACTTCCAAGACGATGAGCTGGCGATCGCCAAATCCCGCTCCTCTACGACCCTGGCAGACGTCTCGAACCGCCTCGGCTTCATGTCGCTCTACATTTTCGACAACAAGGGCCACCGCGTCCAGCTGGGCGACAAGTCGCTCTACCGCGGGCCCTTCGTTGACTCGCCCCAGACCCTGGCGCCCTTCGAGGCCAAGAAGGGCGTGCGGTACACCATCGCGGTCGCCCAGCACGGCATGCCGCTGCCCAAGTACTCCTTCACGCTGTCCTTCTTCTCGCGCAGCGCCCTCGACATCATCCAAGCCCCAGACCCCATGGCGCAGTACACCGAGGTGCACGGGGCGTGGACGCGGCGGACCGCGGGCGGCAACGCCGCTTCACCCTCGTACCTGCTGAACCCGCAGTTCGCCATCACGGTGCCGTCGCCGGGCCCGCTGTCGGTGCTGCTCTCGACCTCGAACCCGGACCTGCCCGTCCACGCGGATCTGGTGTGGGCAGGCGGCGCCCGCGTCACCGCCCTGACGGTCCGCGACCTCGTCGCCGGCTCCGGCGACTACCGCCGCGGCTGCGCCCTGCTGCAGGTCCCCAGCGTCGACGCCGGCACCTACACCGTCGTCTGCAGCACCTTCGAGCCCGGCCACCTGGCCGACTTCACCCTGCGCGTCGGCAGCAACGCACCGGCCGGCCCCGGCGCGGGCGCCGTGGTGGTGAGCCCCGTGCTCGGCGACGCCGCGGGCCGGCTGCGCACCGCGCTCGCGCCCCTCGTGTTGGATGCCGCTGGTGGTGGTGCCGGCGCGAAGCACCGGGCCCAGGTCACCGTCGCACGGCTGACGCGCGCCACCGTCGTCATCACGCCGCCGGACCTGGGCTTCGCGCGTTCGACAACCACCAACACGACGCTGCGCCTGCGGCTGCAGACGGGGCGCGGCCCCAACAAGCAGGTCGTGGCATCGACGGGGGGCGGCGAGTTCAAGGAGCTCGGCGCCGCGGGGCTGCGCACGCCCGAGTTCGACCTCGACCCGGCGGTCACGCGGCGCGGGCTCTGGGTCGTGGTCGAGACAATCGGTAGTGGTGGTGGAGGTGGAGGCGGCGGCGGCGGCGGCGGTGGTGGCGGTGGGTTCAAGGTCGAGGTGCTCAGTGAGGGGCCCGTTGGGATTGGGCCCTGGGAAGTTGTTGACGACTGATATCAAGGCGTGAAGATATCTGCAAATAGTCTTGTGTCAAGCGACAGCTACAGAGAATAGGAGGGAGACCTGTCAAGGATAGAGATGTGGAGGCAATGGGGCGGATATATGCCTTCCATAGACTCACGTAAGAGTTGATCTACTTTTATTCCAGCGAATCCCGTGGCTCGGAACTATCTCAGCAAAAAATTGCACATCACATCACTACCCCTTATATGACGGCAAGATATCAAACAATAATGACGGGAAAGCCCTGTTCAGGTATCACCACGTGCCATACATGAACATGCGAGTATATAGTCAGATGTATACCTGTTATGGACAGACCTAAATGTTTCAACAACGCCATCGACCCATGCTATTCCCATGAAATTCCGATCTCAACTACAACCCCAAAGCCCAGTAAACCAAAAGTTGTGACATGCCGAACCTAGTCAAGAAAACGCCAGACGGACAAGATACCAGGAGAATCAAATCGGCTTGCACCAAGAAGATCTAGTTGTGCTCAATGGGCTCCTCGGGCAGCAGCTCCTCAACCTCGGAATCATCGACCCGAAGGGACTTGAGCGGGGGCTGCACAATTCCGTTGAACAGGAAGGTAAAGTACACGAGAAGGGCGAATCCGAGCACCTGGAGCCATTTGAACGTCTCCCAGCCAAGCCCGAGCGACACGATCCAGATGAAGAGGGTCCGGCAGGTATCAATGGTGGAGCGCGAGGTTGCACTCACGCTTCGGGTAACCGACAGACCGAAGAAATTGAAGCCGCTATTAAAGCACTGTTAGCATGATCTGGGGCTGAAGACGTAACCGGGTTAGATGACAAAACATACCCAATGCTGATCATAATCAAGAAACTGGACACCAGTACTGCCTTGTACTCGGTCATCTGGCGGAAGCCCTCAACGAGGTCAAACATGCCGTAACGGCCCGCATCGGTCCTCCCGATGGCGAAATGCAAGACAAGCATGCCGATGAGCGTAACAGCAAGTCCAAATAGTCCCTCCCAGCCGACAACGGTAATGGGCTCGATGGTCGAGCGCTCCAGAATCCACTCCTCGAGCACGAACTGCGTCGCCGTGAAGATCTGTGCTCCAGCAATGAGAAGAACACCAATGACGGCCCGCAGGGCGTCCGGCATCCCGGGGTCTTCGGCCGTAGGCTCGCCTGTCAGGTGCGACTCGGCCTTGGCCTTGTGGTCTGGGCTGATGGCGCCGGCGAGACCGACGATGGCAACGCCTGTCACGACACCTACGAGCGACACCCACTGGAAGGCGTGAAGCTTACGGCGCAAGAAGGTGACGCTGAAGAGGCCGACAAACAGGACGAGGGCTCCACGCGTCATCTGGTAAATACTGGCGGCCACCATCAAAAGGCCGGCATTCATGAGCGTGGTGCCGCAGATGTCGCAGATGGCGGGCAGGGCCAGCAGCGTGATCCTGAAACCAGCAAGGGCATCCGAGCCACGACCCGGCTTTGGTGTTCGGTGGGCTTGCTGATTCGGGGCTGCGGCGTCGTCGTGGTCGGTCGTGTTGAGGGGGCGGTATCCGTTCTCGCCGGGGGACGGCTTGCTGACGTACTTGCGGTAGAGCGCCATCAGGCCGACGACGAGCCAGCATCCGGACTCACCGACAAACATCTGGGCCGTCTGCAGAACCGGCTGCTCGAAGTGCTTCGGATGCTTGGTGTCGCAATCGCGGACGCATTGCATGTCCTGGAGACAATGTCAGCCTGCATGGTTACGGGACTGGGGGCGTTCCGGGCAGGGCAACACACCTGGTACTTGGTGAGCAATGTGTTGCAGACTCCGGTCAACAACATCATCGCCACCAGAAACGGGATCATTGCCTTGATCGCCATGGTGATGGCTCAGGGAGCTCGAGATGAGCTCCGGGGACTTGTGGGCTGCCTGTCGACGGACAGTGGAGATGAGCGGATCGCGAGGAGACACGGATGATGAAAGGGTAGAGAGAGAGGTGAAGCGGTCGGCAGCGTGTCCCCCAGTGCTCGGCTTGCAAGCTGTGGAGTTGGAGATGGAACTGCGGAAGATGGAATGACGAGCTCCCGAGGTCGTCTGAGCTGCGGTATCGTGACTCGAGGTGACTTGTTCACAGGGCCAGTTCCCCACTGGGCCGCTGGGGGCAAGGCGTATCAGCCGACCAAAACGTAATGGTCCTGATAGGCCCCAGTCGATAAGGCGCTGATAGCGGCAGCTGGAAGCCCCCCTCCAGGGCTGTGGATCGCCGCGCTTTAGTGAGTCTGGGGTAGCGTCAGTCTGGCAGTCCCCGAATTCTGCAGCACCTTACACCGGAGGCTTCGAACCATTTCTCACTTGTCTCGGAGTGCTGCAAGCCTCAGGGTACGTGATTGCAGTGACGCAAACAGCACGGCATGTGGGTGCGACATATTAAAGTTACGACTCTATAATCCGCGTTTCTACGAATCTCTTCTGTCGCAACATGAAGGTGAGGAATAATGTCGGCACTCAACGCGCGCCTGTGTGTGGGTCTACAGACATTAAGTTACATGAAACGGCAGCATCTGATAGTTCTAAGGCCGTTGGCTCCAATCCATATCGGTGTTCTTTTCCACTGAGGTAGAATACATGATAACAAAGTCATAGAAGGGTACGCCGGCTTATTCAAGAGATGGAAGTAATCTTTAAACTCGTTTGGTTGACGCAGGCCTTGCCCATTGGCAAATTACTCCGTCAGAGTACGGTGGAAATATCGCTTGCTCACGTTCACGGGCGAAATGATTGCTCAATGTGTATGTATGAAATGAAAGTAAATGACCCTCAGTCCAAGATGACTGGATTGAGCAGGTCGTGGTATCAATCATGTATTAAAGACGGACCGTGGGTCCTCATACCAATTCCAATAATAAACCAATTCGCCTGCTGTTTCGGATGCCGTATGTATTCCTCATAGATCTAGTTTGCCTTCTCCTCATCCGAGGCAATCTTCTTGGCCTTTTTCTTATTCTTCTTCTCTTCGGGATCCTTGTCCCTGATGTTGTTCCAGTGCGGTATGCCCAACTCCTTGTCCTTGGCCAAACGCTCAAGATCCCTCTTGGTCAGCGGCACACCTTCAATGCTCTTGACGAACTTGCTGCCCATGCCCATCATAATGCCGGCAATGGCGGCAGCAATGCAGGCCAGACAGACGAACAGGCCGGTCGACCAACTTGGCCGGTCGTATCGATTCAGTGCCCACATGAAGGACGAAAGAACGACCTGAAGCAGAGTGTTGGAGAAGTTGAACCAGATGACAAAGTCCAGCTTCCACATCTTGGTCGCGGGTGCCCTGATCCCCGTTGGCGGCGCTTCAGGGATCGTCTCCAGGGGATATGGGACGCTTTCCTCGGGATAGTGTATGTCGGTCTCCTCAATGTTCTTGGGTCCCAGGTGGACGGGCAGAGCCTCCGATCCTGGCAACCTGAACCATCCGCGGTGAACACCAGCCACCTCACGCAAAGCCTTGACGTCTTTGCCGAAGCGGTACTTTAGGAGGAGGTAGAGGTCGCGAAAGCGCCATGGCGCAAGGCCGAAACCCGTCACGCAGAAGAGTCCGTTCAGGATCTGTGAGTCGGTCTCGATCCATACCCGCCTCGGTGAGTCGATGTCGTTGCAGTCGCCGTTCGGGGCACACATGGCCGGCGCGGCGTTGCATAGCAGAAGAAAGAGCATGCCACCCCAGGCGACGACATTCAGCGAGTATATCGTGAGGAAGAAGCCGAAGCCCGTGTTGTAGAAGGCCCAAAAGTCGACCAGGCCCTGCTCAATGGTCTCCTTCCACGAGTACTTGGGCGGGAAATGGTAGCCGTTCGCGTACTCTTGTCCCCTTTCGATGGGTCCGGCGACTCCTCCCGCAACCGTCGCGCCTATGCTCTCCTGTGCGCGGTGCTTGTTCGGGTCCGCTTCGTGACCGTGGAGGCCATTCTCGTTCTTCTCGTGCGAGGCTCCTGTCGATGTAGATGTACCCCCTAAAATCGGGCTAGAAGAGAGGGGCATCGTAGCGCATGCAGAGGGTATCAATGTTGTGTAAAACAGCAACAACGTTGGGCCTGGGGCAGAGAAGAGAAGAGAATAAGCGCCGCCAGGAGGGTTGGGCAAGTCAGAAAGTCAACAAGAACAGAGAGCAATGATGATGATGATTTCCCAGACTGCGGCTGGCTGCCAGGGCACCGCACCTTGGCTTTAATGAACCACGTCAAACTTCACCCTGGGCAAGCTTGGCGGTGGCACCTGCAGTGGCACGTACCTAGGTATTCACTGGCGCAAGTCCGCTAATCTAGCACCGTCCAGTGCCCGGGCTATGCTACGGGATCCCCGTCTGCACCCCAGCACCCCCTTGATCCCCTCGCAGCTGTGGACGTTCATTGTCTTTAGTGGTGGTATTATTAGTGGTCGGACGCTTCTAGACCTCGCCAGGCCCAATATTCATCGCGGGAATCAATTCTCCACCCAGATATTCGATCGCCGTGAACAGCAACCTCAAGAAGCCGACCCAACAGAGGGCTCTTGACGGACGCGCATTTGGACGCAGGATGACGCTTACGTGCTTGGGGGAAATGGCTGCCGTCGGGTTGTCCTGCAACCTTCTTTCCAATTGGAAGACACCATCTACGTCAGACCAGTAAACCCACGTGCGGGAGCCGTCGACTCCAAAAGCAGGTTCTCGCTAACAACCCCAACCTTGCATCGCACGCATCGATGACATGCCGTGTTCCGGCCGCTCTGGGAGTTTCGAATCGGCGTGGCAGATCTCCATCAAGCATTTGTCCTGACAGCCTGACCAGCCAGGCAAGCTTCTTGCCGTGTATGCAGTGACGTTCTGATGATCGCCGACAAGGAATTCCGGCCTACTCACCCGTGCAGCGACTCCCATAGCCGTAAAGCTGTCTTCCTGAGCAAGCCGTTTCTCTCCTCATAAGCAGCACTGCCTTCGCTCAGCCAATGGCCGCGCACTCAGTACGCGAATAGTACTTCTAGTCACTCTAGTCAGCAAGCGGGATCCACGACTCGTTCCCGCGCTCGGCTCGGGTATGCAGATTTAGGACGCGAGTTTTGCGAGGTCCACGGCGGCATCTCTATTTTGATGGAGAAGTTACAAGTCCGCTAGATCGAATGCTTTAGACTCAGCCCGGTACGCAGTCAAGTGTGACTTGCATAGATATACCATGTACAACTAGCGATACCTGCGGCTGATGGATCATTTTGGCGACGAGCAATACCGATAATGAGATTAGCAGTCCCCTTCGCCCTGATTTAGCTGGTGATACAGCACGTTGAGGCTGGAGAACATTCCCTGCAGCGTAGTCCCTGCAGTTAAAGCCTCCACAAAAAAAATTCCCCCAAGAAATAGCTTAGTAAATGGGCAGATCCAAGATTTTGAGCCGCACGGCCACCGCCTACTTGCACAAGGCTGCTCTATCAAAACATCCTCTTCATAAACAAAAAGCTCTCGTGGATTTTTGACAAGCCTTACAACCGAGACTGCCACTCTTTATTCTACTTCTTCAACAACCACTATATCATATTGGCTGCTGCTTGATCTCACGCACAAAATGGCACACCAAGACTACATCAGCGACCTCGTGGCGGTGGTCTTTGAGAACCTTGAGAACCAGCATGACTGGACTTCTCTGGAAACGCACACGCATTCATCAAGCGGCAAGATCTCTCACCCGCGACCCTTGATTTCGGGGTTCCCTCCCCGGCGCATCTACATTCACCCAGATGACCAGATCGAGATGATCAGAAACAACACCATGGGCGCTGCCGAGCAAAAGTCCGAGCTGGAGTGGGTGCTGCCCACGAATCTAAACGAGAACGTCACGCTCGATTTCTTATCCCAGGTTTTCGATTCAATGGAGCGGCCCGAGAGCCTGCCCGAAGGTCGTGCCAAACGGCTTGTGCTTGCTGTGGTACATGACGATTCTACGGTCGTATACTACTTTGTACATGATGGGATCGTCAAGCCCCGGCAGAATTGATCGCAGTTTTTTCCTTGGGTTCCTTGAGCATACGCCCTCTCAGCCATAGTCCACTGGCCAACAACCCCATTACGGCTTGAAGATCACCTTTTGCACTTTCATGTTGTTGAAAAGCTCGTATCCTTCCACCGCATCGTTCAGCGGCATGATCTTGTCAAACATGAACCTGTTCAAAGTCAATCACAGCAGTCATGAGATGGGTTGGTGTCTGCTTACCCAAAGACATCTTGCTTCTTTGCAAGGACCTTGAGTGCTTCGGGGAACACGGCACGAACCGGGCAGCGACCCATTTGGACTCGGACGTTCTTCCCGTACGCCTCATTGCCGTCCCAAGGAATCTTTGATCGGTCAGATGGTTCGATACCTCAAAGTAACACTTCTTTCACTCACCTCTGCATTGTGCACGCCGATGCTGCTGATGAATCCAAACGGTCTCAGGAGGTCAAAGGCTGTCCTCAACGCTGGGCTGAGCCCAACAACCTCGATGGCAATATCCGCCCCCCGCCCATCTGTCACTTCCTTGACTCTGGCGAACATGCCCTCCTTATCCTTCATGAAGTTGAGCGGCTCAGCGCCTAGGCTCTTGGCCAGCTCGAGGCGGCTATCTACGCTGTCAATGGCAAACAGGTGCTTTGGCTTGTACTCCAGCGCGGCGACGATGGCACAGAGTCCCACCGGTCCACAGCCCACAACCACCACCGTGGCCTCGGAGGGGTCCTGGGCCCCAAGAGCAGCAAACGCATTATTGGCACCGAAGAACCCAGTGGGAAAGATGTCGGCCATGAGGATCAGGGCGTTGTCGCTGATCTCCGGTGGTGCCTTGAATACAGTGCCATCCGCAAATGGGACGCGAACGTATTCCGCCTGAGCGCCATCCAGCAACTGCGAGCCAAGCAACAAGCTGTGCTTACAGCGACTTGTAGCGCCCACTTTGCAATAGAAGCACTCGCCACTGGGGGAACGCAACGTTAGCCGATAAACGAGACATAGGGGTTAGGGCCCGGGATAGTGGTGGGCGACCTACCAGGATACAGTGAAGGGCGACACAACTTTGTCCCCGACTTTGACCGAGCTCACCCCCTTACCGACCTCGGCCACGATTCCTGTAAACTCGTGGCCCATGGTGAAGCCGGTTGGCGAGGGTTGGTGGCCACGGAAGACATGGAGCTCTCTGCAGTTTGGCAAAACTCAAATCAGCGATACCGGCCTCATAGACTGAAAATGGTGGGAGTTAAGGGGGAACCGACGAGCCGCATAGAGCAGTGCTCTGGACCTTGACGATTATGTCGCGATCATCCTGGACTATAAGTGCGACGATCAGCATGGCGCATACCCTCGGACACTGTTGGCATTCGCTCACTTTTCGGCACCGGTATCTGCTGCAGGGATACTTTGCCAGGGCCGTCGAAGACGACGGCGTTCATGGTTGCCGGCAACGCCATTGGTGTGATATAGTGCTATAGGGGGAGGTTATAATCGCGAGCGTTTCGTGTTTCAAACTGTTTATACAATCAAAATCTCCGTCTTTATCCTCTCTCTTCGGACCTCTATCCGTAGTGCGGGGGAATTCGAGTGGGGCGGTGGAATGACTTCACTTCAAAGGAGTCACCATAAAGTTACGTAGCCAGAGTTGGTGATTCAGATGGCATTAAAAGACTCAGGTCAGATGAAGCCTGAATCTAATGAGGTGGTCAATACCGGGTACTATCTAGATCCTCCATCTTTATCTGTGAGTGCTTCATTAACTCTCGTCTCCTTGTCCCGAGGCTCGAGTATGTCAACTAGGCGTGTCTAGCTCCGAGACTGTGCGATGTCGGCAGTCCCTTTCCAGAGTTACCGACGTCTAACCAAACCACCTTAAATCAATATTGACAATATGGTCTCCAATGTGTGATGATACCGAACTGGACAGCACGCATAGCTGAGTAAGCGACAGAAAATAATATAGGAGTGCAAGATCGCGCAAGACCACCTCGCCATCTCGTGGCCCCCAAAGTTTTCGAGTATGATATGCAGCCAGGTCACCACTGCAGAGCCAACAACAACCATGCCGGGTAACCAGGGTCCCTTTGGCTGGCCCCCAAACCTCGAGGCAAGAATGAGGCTACTTGATGCTTGCTTTTCTACGTGAATGAGGCGACCAGTGGCTGGCCGGATGCCTTACCCAGCGGGCCGAGCGATACGCAGGTTCCCGAGGGGGTCCCCGTCCCTCAGCCGCGTCGTTGGTACAGGATGTCCCGTAGTCGAGACCCGCCCCTCAAGCTCTGGGCCGGAGGGGTGTGTATCGTCGCGTATTCAGTGCGACGGTAGCGAATCTTTGCAATTGTCTGTCCTTGGGAACCTAGTGCCTGACCGCAAGTAAGCCCGATGACGGAGGGCAGCAGCTCTGCGCCTGACCGCCCACAGCGTTGTGGCCGCCTGATCTGCAAGACGTTTGACTTTCCGTCACTCGAGAGCCGCAGTGTGCCGCGACGAGAGAGCACAGGGAGGCTCACCGTGGGAGGACCCACCGCCGTAGCCGAAGCGGCTGAACAATATCTGGGAAAGAGGGAAAGAGACAGACTTCCCAACTGTCTTGCATCAAATCAGCAGCTCGGGTTGCACCGCTTACGACGCCTCAGAGTGCCACCTTGAGCAACAACCAATGCACGAGCTTAACCTATGCGCGACTTCGTGGTAACATGGATGATGGGACGCAGGCGAGGCGACCTGTCTAGGACTTCTCGGATGCGACTACAGAAAGGGCGCAAGCAGACTAGTCACACGAACTGCTCGGATATCCGAGGAGAGTCCTTACGATGCGGTATGTCCCTCACTCGTCTTGCGAGGTATTTGGACAGAAGCAGCGTCGTCCTGATCTTGCTGATCTAGACCAAGACCAGCCACTCGCAGCGAGAGACACTTGCATCCATGATGGTGTGGTACGAAGCTGGGCTCACTTCGTTCTATTGGAACAACGCCCAAATCCGCACTTTTCTCCCCGAGGTCAACAAATGAGAAGCAATACGGTGAGTTGACCTGGCCACTGCTACTCCAGGCACCCTTTTGCCCGTGGCCCACGTCATATGATTCAAAATGCAAGGTCAGCGGCCGCCGCTGAAAAGAAAGGCGATTACGCGGCAATTGGAAGTGTAAGTCGGGATATACGGTCAACGCCGTACGGCGCAGACCGTCTCCTTCCAGCAGTATGGTCAGTAGAGTTTGCGAGATGCATTTGGATACGACCGAGTAAGCCGCGGCAAGTCTTCCCCGCCGCATAGGCTAATGCCTCACCAACGACTGTCAGAATGCAATGGGCGCCGCAAATCAGCGCCGGCATGATCGTTGCCGCGTCGTGCGGCGTGTTCACTGATGGGTTCCGGGCGGTTTCAAGTCGTGAGAGACCTCGACTGCCGGACCACTCAGAGCGCAGGCGGACTCGGTGTGAGTAGGATATGCTGAGCGACAGACGTGCACGACCCGTAAACGATTGGAGGAGGCTGAACGGCCCCCGTTTAAGCTCTGCATAATGAACGAGGCGAAGCTCTCCCCATTCGCCGATCATTGCTTCCTGAGCCACTAATTTTTGATGACTGTTTCTTGCAATGTTTCTATCGATTGTGCTTCCGTCGGTACCACTTCGTGCCATGCCGCTAGGATTCCCGGGATAGGTACAGCCAGATAGCAGCTCCCTAGGATCTGGGAAAGTTACTGGCGATGACCGACTGAGCCCGATGAGCAATGTTTGGAGGATTCGCTTGCTACAGCGGCAAGGACGGCAATATATTATGCCCTGTTCTCGGCCAACCGGCGATTGGCCCCAAGGGCCCTTTCGCGGGCAGAAAGGACCACATCACCGAGTGGTGTTGTGAAGTGATTGAGCCGCTTCGCCGCCTCTACAGATCTTCCGCATTGGATCCCACAGAATCCCTGCAATCCTTCAGGGATCCTTCCCCTCTTTCTCCTGCTGTCAAATTGATTCGGGGCCCGCCCTTCCAGGCGCCAGCAAATCGGCCACATGCCTCACACGTGTGAGTGGACGCCCGCCTTGGGTGCTTGGGCTGCCTCAGAGAGCTGGATGGCCGTTCTATGGTACTTTACAGTGGGCCTGTTGACCGGTGCTTCCCATTATCAAGGCCATCATGCCACTTCCAAGGATGTGCAAAGGGTTGGCAGTTTGGGGTCTATGCAAGGTTCCAGCAAATCCTGTGAGGCGATGAGGCTTTGACTGGACACCAGATTGTGGGGTTGCCTTGTCAATCTGTAGCAGGCGAGACAGCACCAGCCTTTGGAAGTTCTCATGGCCAAACTGCCGGACGGGACTCTCCTCAGTCTTGCTGTTTCTACCTCCCAACATGGTTTGAGAAGGTATTGAAACTTTCTGATAGTGGATGCCATACCCCCATGCTGAAACCCGCCAGCCCTGGTGGTAATTTGGACCGTCTCCAGGGCAGGAACTGGAGTGATAGACTACTCTTGGCATCGATCAACTCTAATTTCCAGAACGAAACACTGGATGTCACTCCATGTGCCGGCCACAGATAGGCAACTGGCTGTCATTGGGTTCGAAGGACTGCCAGCGTCATCGCCTTCCCAGGATTAGGCCATCTTGCGTCTCTGCTGAAGAGCCCGACGTGGGATTGGGGATTGGCAAAAGCAAGTCCAGCCATGGACACTCAAGGGGGCGTGCTCTATTGGTATCCTCCTCCCTCATGTAAGCGGCGGACTGCATACTGTACTGGCTTCACTGCGGGTCATCCCGTCTGGGAAGTTGAGATATCAGAATAAGATTCATGCAGGCTCTCGATGTCGCCCTCGTAATCACGCCGCATTACCGCGGTAGGGACGGGCCTGGCAAAATATACGGGCCAACGAATGCCACCGCGAAGAAAGCGCTCATTTCGTACCGGCAGGCATAAATGCGGCGGGTGTCGTAACGAATTGGCCGAGGATCTGTGATGAGGCCTAATAAGTTAAGCCTAAGCCCTGCGAAGAAAGTGGCTGCGCTGGTCCTTGGGGGAGTGAAAAGGAAGCAGCAAGCCGGGGAGAGTGACATCGCGAGCCAAGTTAGCCGTGGAGAGATTAGGTGGTCCAGTCCACGAGACCAGAGGTTGATACCCAAGATAGCACGCAGGAAATATCTCAATTTCCGCACCTTCCTCTTTACATGCACTGCACCGGTTCGCTATAGCTTCTCGAGTGTAACTCTGGGCCAGGCGTCAAGACATGACTTTGATTAGTGCTCGGATTTCTCGAGCTCGTGTGCTCATGCGCCCAGCAGAGTATTGCCCTCGCGCGGGTCTGATCTGCATTGTACATACAGTAGACTCGTACTCCAGGATCCAGTTCAGGAGTTTAACTTGTACGAGGGAAGACCCTGCCTTTCATCGTTCGGAACCGTCGGGTACGAAATACATGCTGCGGCTCCCAGCCCCAAGGGTGCCAAGCCAAGACCTGCGCGAGCGCGAACATCCCCCGCAAAAACCGCTGACCCCATCTCGCCATTCGGCGCATCTGACACACGTCGACCCCCCAAGTTATTGGGGCCAAGTAGGAGAGAAGGCCAGCTAACCAGCCAGCCAGCCAGCAAGCAAGCCAGCAAGCCCGCTCGCCCCCCAGCCCGCACACCCATTCAGGGTTCCATGTCGCGCTGGCGGGCAGATCCTCGTTAGGCTCGTCTGCTGCTGCCCTGGCTGTCTGGTTCGCTCACCTTATCTGTCTGGCAGTGTGTCTGCTGTCTCTGCTATGACTGCACCTTAGGGTACGAGGTAGCTTGGAACTAACTTGCACAGCAGGGAGCAGCATGAAGGAACAGCAGGCCGGCCCAGCCTTCCGGGGGGTGAAGAAACGACGACGTAACTTAGACCTGCGCCAGAGGGATTTGTCATTTCGAAATTGCTTCCTCACTAAAGGGAAATTTCGGGGCCTGGGCCAGGAACCTTGTCCGAGTTACGAGTTAGAGAACGAGCTAGGTAACCACGCAGATTTTGGGGCTGTTCCCAAGTGTGAACGTAATCCCCTTCCGCGTCGGCGTCTTGGGAAACACGTTGCCAGCCCAGAGCCGCTCCACTGGGCACCTTGGTGGGATCAGCCGCACTACTCCACAAGCAGATCTGCTGGATGCCGTAGGTATCCCCGTATCACACAGCCAGAGAGCCGGAAGACTTGCTGCCACTGGCTGGCTCATCATAGACCAGCCTCTGAGGCTCTGACCGCCGCCCACCGCCTGACTGAGGACACGGGAGAGACATTTCTTCGGACCCTGAGGACCGAATAGACTGCGGGTAAATCTCCCCCAACTTCCTGTCCCGCCAGAAACCAGCATTGTAGAACACACCGGGATACCAAGGCCATTACCCTGGTTGTCTGCAGACGACTATCATCAATTTGGAGCGAACCCGTACTATTGGGCAGAGGCCTTACAGCTGCGACTGTGCCGCATTGCGACTGACTTGCCGCGAGCCCTCCGGTAGTCTTGTGCCAAAAGAGAGGCACCCACAGACAAACACCTCTGGGGACGACAACGACAAGCACAACCACAACGACCCATCGAAGGAACCGGTCTCACTGTCTTGGAGATTGGTGCCTTCCCTTCTGTCCCCGGAGAGAAAGGGACCAGGTGACGCGCCAGAGTCACTCCGGACCGTGCTACTCAGTGCATTACAGCCCACTATCTGGCGCGGCGCATCGCATCGACGAGACGAACCCTGAGGCTACGGGGGCGCACAGCTTGGATCGTGTACCAAGTACAGTGCTACATGACGACCTCCTGGGCCTGTGCCAACGGACGGTCTCGCTTTGTGGTCGCAACAACCTCATAGCCGCATTATTGCCCCCTCTGGTGCACTCTATCATCCCTGGAAACCCGGCTTCTCAACTGGGCAATTCGATCAGTAGGCCCTTCGATCTTGGACCTCCGTGCCACCATCGTCCGCGTCCTGAATTGTCCCGCTTAGCGCAATCCTTGTCGGGTATTGTTTCTTCGTTGCGACCCTGCCACCTTTTGGTCTGCCCTTGATCGCCAGACGACGCTGGGCTCTGCCCTCACACCCCAAATCCGACCCAGTAAACCACCCGGGGCCATCCCAACCCTGACAACCTTGAGCCTACTATTACTGGCCTAGCGAGACCCAGGCCATCCCATATCCACAAAAAGAGGAGCACCCTGAGGCTCCGCGGTCCCCGCCTTACAATTTACGCCAGACCACTTACAAGCCCATCTCGACGGCATCTGAGGTACCTCCTACCAACCTTGGAGAGGGTCCGGACCAAGGTCGTGGTCACGGCTAGCAACCTTGAATCCCTTGACCATTTGCCGCACCTTTTCTTGGGTTTCCCTGAGGGGGGTCTCGCTCCGAGTGTTATCTTTTTCTGTATTTGTTTCTTTCCTCTCGCAAGCAAGCTGTACGTTCCTGCCGCGCATACTGCAGGAGGGCGTCCACTCGCTGTGCGTCCCTGTATCTTGCTGTCGGACAGCGTGTCTGAGTATAGGGCACCTTTGCGCGCGCCGCCCTACCTCGCGCTCCACGGGGACGACTGCACCAGACAGGCTATTTGCCTCTGTTTGGCGGGTTCACTACCTATCAATCGACGCCTGGTAGACGCTGCCACGACTCGCTTCCCGATTTTAGCGGGTTGCGCCGTCCGCCCATACGCGCATATCCAAGCTTGCGGCTCACTTACATACGAATCTTGTGTGGCTGGGTTCTCACTGCCTTAGTAGCTCTCCAACTTGCGACCGACCACGAGCAGCAACACCACAACCATCCGAGAACCCAACTTGACGAATGCTGCGTGGGCGCTTCATGGCGAGTCAGCAGTAGTTCACTTTTATTACCTGATGCGTGAGTAACGGCACCGTACATCGTATCGAAGAAACGCAAGAAATGACTGCGACGGCCGGCTCTACTTTTGCTCACGACCCTTGCGCCAGCGACGCCTACGTCTCCGATGCACCCCTATACTCCTCGAACAGCCCCCAGATGACAGCTCTCCGTCCAAACCTGCAGCCGTCGCCTTCTCCGCCACCCCCTGTACCGCTCCCCAGAGTCAGTCACAGTCCTCCTCCTAGTCCTGGCCGCAGGTCTTCTAACAGGAAGAAAAAGGTGTCACCAACCCAGGGAGATGCCGTGCTGATACATTATCTCGACGGAGGAAAACGGCCTGACATTGCTTTCAAGGCTGGAGAGGAGCCGCTGGCGGGGTGGGTGGACGACGACGACGACTGCGAGGAAGAAGAAGGCGAAGAGGACGACGACAGCGCACTTAGCTCCAAGTCGGGGTATGTAGGCAGCGACAAGATGTCTCCCGACCCGCGGGTGAACCATGCCGGCGCCGACCTCAATTTCATTGCCGCCGGGGCCGTCGCCGCGGCCAGGGCCGCCCTCGCCCTCCAACCACCGAACGCAGAAACATCGCCGTCAGCGTCGGAAAATGCGCGCGATGTTGCGGCAGAACAGGAGGCGGGTTCAGAGGATGGGGCGGGTCATCCGCAACCGCGGGGGCAGCAACACGAACGCCAACAAGAATCGCAGCCCCCTCCACCTCAACCGCCGCCGAATATACAGCATACACAATTACAACCTCTCCAACCTCGCGAACGAGACACGGCGCCGAAACCCGGGCTCGCCATGCCTACCATGCCTATAACACCGTATACGCCGCATGGCCCGCCAGACTTCTACTCTCCGCGGTTACCGTCAGCTAGTGGGTTGCGGCATCCCGATATCATGTCTCCCGGCATTCCAACTCCCAGTAGCCATACAAACGGAGAGCTTCCTCCTATTATGGCCTCTCCCAAGTCCGAGGCCCAAGGGCCCTCACCTCTACCGCCCTCGCTACCCTCCATAAGGGACCAGTTCAGGGATCTCACAGAACAACATTTTCCAGAGAAGGATGCAAATTGGCACCGTCCATCGCTTCCTCACTCACCACCAGGAGCAGGGATGCCACGGATGTCAATTATCCCTGCAGGCTCACCACCAATCTCGCCGAATAATTCTTATGGCCACCCATCTCCAGCTTATTCCATATTCAGTCCGCACGGCTACTACACGAATGGTTCCGGCCCCCCGCGACCTAGCCTTGACTATAGTAGTGCTGCGAGCAGTCATGCGGAAACACCAGGCACTGACCCCTTATCAACACCTGCCACTTCGATAACGGACCGCATGAGCATCGATAACATGACGAATCCTCAACAAGGCACCTTCATCTGCAAGTTCTCTGGGTGTAATGCTGCGCCCTTCCAAACGCAGTATCTTCTCAACTCTCACGCCAATGTTCATTCCTCAGCGCGGCCTCATTACTGTCCTGTGAAGGGCTGCCCCCGCGCTGAAGGCGGCAAGGGTTTCAAGCGCAAGAACGAGATGATAAGGCACGGTCTTGTGCACGAGTCACCAGGCTACGTGTGTCCGTTCTGTCCGGATCGTGAGCATAAATATCCTAGGCCGGACAACTTGCAAAGACATGTGAGGGTCCACCATGTTGATAAGGACAAAGATGACCCTGCCCTCCGGGATGTCCTCTCTCAGAGGCCCGATGGGCCGAATCGAGGGCGCAGGCGGCGAGGAGTACCTTGATTCGCTCAGTCATCATCCTCAAGACCAAAACTTTCTTCTTTCCCGCACATGATTTAACGACTTCGTCTGGGCCTTGGATGATCCCCAATTGGCCTCCACAAGAAGTAAATGTATATATGCACACAAGATGATATCCCCCGGGGCCCTGGCGGTTGACCTCCTTTTTCTTTAAAAAGGAGGATGATGATTCAGGCGTTGGTTCCGGTGTCTAAAGCCAGAGCGCTTCAAAGTGCAAAAGGAGTTTGGGGCGTATCGCAAATATACCACTGGAGTGCTTTTTTTTCTGCTTCTATTTTACTTGTCATTCTTTCGCTTCATCTCCGGAACCTTTGATCACCTTTTTTTTGTTTCTGGTTCCGCCGATCTACACCGAGTACCCCGACATGCATTCGTTTCGACCCTCGAGTTTTTGGAGCGAGGAGATTGGCCGGGCTGGGCCGGGACTGCGAGTGGGAATCTAGGACGTCAGAGAGCGCTCAGCTGGGTCACGGACATGATATCATAATCGAGTAGCGTACCCGCGAGACGGCTCTGGGGGGAGGGTTAAAGGCAAGAGGATACCACGGGGCAAGCTGGCTACCCAGCGTAGGGTCTGATAAGTAGAGGCTTTTCTGAACAGTTAAGCCGGCAAAGGAAATATGGAGATACTCCCCACCTATCCCGCCTGGTATCAAACGGCAAATCGTGAAACCGAAGCCGACGCGTTGTTCCCCCGACGAATGTCACGAGCATGAGCTCGCCCTGTGGAGTACAAACATGGTCTGTGATAAACCAGCTACGGCGTGCCTGCGTGTTTCGCAGCGGCTCGGCTTTTAGAGCGTTACCCCTGTGTCCTGCAAGCAAGAGGAGGAGTGTGGAGAAAGAAGAATATAGAAAGGTACAAATCAAGGGACCCCGCCTGTTCTCCAGAGCGACATGAAAGCGAAAGCGAAAGCGAAATCGAAGTCGTTAACCGTGCGAACGGTCGTACAATGCCATTAGGGGAGGGTTGGTTTATCTCTAGGTATACGCAACACCGAATTGATTCTTCAATCGAATGCGCCATGAAGGCTTGCAAAGATCATTCATCTCCGTATGTAAGTCTTCATCGACGCATCCTCTGAGTTACAATCTGCCGTACTGTCGATATCCTTGCTGAAGGCGGTTAATGTACACTCAAGAACCTCTTTTCAAACCAACGTGATATCCGTAACTTCTGAATCTGGCATTTTTTCTAATTTCATCCATCATTTCCCCATACACGGCCCCGTTGACGTAGCATGGGCCAACTAGTTGATACCATGAACCCAGAGGACGTAGAATGACTGGTATCCGGCATCCGAAAACCAAAGCCACGCGGTCGCCTGGTCTACAATTTCCTGGTCCCCGACCAACGAGTTGTTTGTTAGTTGCGAACATCTTGAATGGATGGCTTCTTGGGGTCTGCTGGATTCTGATGAGGAATTCTTCTCGGAACCAGTACAGCTTTTCCCGATCCTCCTCCAGTAACTCCCAGAATCTTTCGAACAAGAATTTAATTCCTTTAGGAACACTTGCGGTCTGGAAAGAAGACAGAAAGGCCTCAACCCGAGCCTTACTGTCCAAGCTAATGTCCCCGACATCTAGATGTTCCTGTACCAGGTCATACGCGAATCCCAATGCGAGCCGGTCAGTCCTTTCTAGAGCGCGTTTCGGCGACAGCTTCGGTTCGCCATAAATCACAGTTCTAAAAATGGGTTAACGTCGGAATACTTCAAAGACCTAAACACGATATGGGCCTGGCGTGCGGGGATCGATGAGTCCAAAGGCATTCTGCCTAGACGCAGCCCCTGCGTCAATTATGACAACCTTGTTTACGGTGTCAAAGATGACCCCTTTAAGCTGAAGGTGGTTGTGTAGGCTTAGCTTGAATACAAAATGGGACCTGGCGAGACTTTGGTATCTGAATAACGCTTTAGAAGTAATCTATCCCCGTGAGCCCTTATATATCCGCCAAGTCTTGACAAGTCTCGACAGGTGGTTGGCCATAGAATAGCTTGCCTCCACGGAAGCTCCGCTCAACAGCTACCTTGGCCCTCATGCGCATACCAGCTTCATACGCCCTAATCTTAGCCAGTGAGGTACCTCGATGAGCTTCCAGGTGGCCGCCAGCGACGAGCGGGTCAAACTGAGGATATGAGCCTGCAGGCGGCAAGCATCTACTATATTAGTAGATGAACCCAAATACAGAAGTACATACTAGACTAGTTGGAGATTTTGCACACGGTTGAAGTTTGCAAGCTTGCTTATACTAGGTTTGCCTGTCTCATAGATGAAAGTTCTCAGATCGAGACAGCTGGAGAGTATTCCTCCTAGCTCGCCTGGTGAAATTCCGCTTTGTGTGATACGTCAAGTTTCAACTCTCAGCCCTGGGGAGGCGGATAGCGTACTTGAAGGCTCCCGGTGGCAATCTGTAGGAATTCGTAAATTTGACATGCCCACACTGACTCCCTCCCTACTTTCTACAGCGGTGGCGCTGCTTAAATGTTCGTGAGACGTTCATAGGCGAAGGCCTGCGGGAATTCATCTGTTGACGCGAGTGTAACGTCTCGAAGTGAGAGGATCTGATGCCGAGAGACCCGCGAAAGTCTAGAGTGCACTGCTCCAGATTCGGAAGCTGGCTAGCAATGAAAGCAGTTGTCATCAACGGATGGGTCCAATACGTGCCCAGGCCCAGGTCCAAGAAATACGTATTGAATGTGACACGCTTGACCAGAGCAGCGAGGTCGCGACGCTTTAGTATGGTATGCATAAATGAGTCGACTTGCGCGTTCCATTGTTGTAATGTGTCGTCCGAGGAGGCGCCAGGACCATGTCGCTGCGAAATATTGAGAGGCAGAAACTCGCAGTACAAAAGAACCTGAACGATATCTTGGTAGTGCTTGGACACGAGGCAGAGCGATGCGAGAGTATGGTGTCCAGGCCGGTACTGAAGGTGACGTCGTCGGCATTGCGATGAAAGCAAACGTGGCGGAAAATGCGAATGAAGAGCTCGGTTGGGAGACGGTTCCATTGTCACCCGATGCTCTTCTGATGAGCATTGGTAAAGGACAGCTCTATGCCCAGCGCGGACAACTTTGACAAATACGTAACTAGCATTGGTTCCACCTGCGCCCAACTGAGTTTATTACGGCCAAGTCAGTAAGCTTCGGGATGGTTATAAATTATATTAGTGTGGTGCATACAGTTCTATACATATTAACCACCCCGGCGTGGTAGACCTAGGCACTCTCAGTTCAGCGAGCGACCAACACAGAATATCATGAGGCGGCACACTTGGGAACAGCGAAGCATATCTTTCTGCAGAAAACTACACTACACTACACTACGCGCTTGCGCGCTTCGCCCCGATCACAAGTCCTTAGACCCCGCACGTCGCACCCCTAAACGCTCAAACAACACTTGTGCTCTGAGTGCCATCCTCTCCTTGTAACACCGTAATAAAGATGACCCTGCTTTTTCATCCATAGTAGAAACGCCCATCGGTCAGGCCAAGCCTGCCAAGTACTGCTTCTTTCTTGCTGCTTGCGCGGCGGAGCAGGCAGGTCGGCCGGCTGGGCCGCCTTTCGTTCAGGACGTCGTCATACCGTAGTGCGAATCATGAAAGCCGTAAGAATGAATCCGTATAAGAGGCGAGTCGCTTACAAGCATGAAACATGCGCCGGTGCTTTAATGCCTTTCCATGCCATGACTCCGGTCCGGCTGGATGCGTGTCAAAAGGACTAAAAGAAATGAAAAAACCAAAGATCAGAACTAGCGACCGTTGGCTCTCGGCACACCTAGCCCGCGACTGATAGGCGCATGGTAGGCTCCGATGCTCTGGAAACCTCTGTGATGCCGGTGGTTAGTCATCCAAGTGTTCCGAGGCGGTGCTGAGGCGTGGGTACAACTTACTTGGTGAGATCAAACCCGCCGGTCTCCTCCTCTTCCTCCTCGGGCTCCATCGTGGTCGTCTCCTTGGATTCCCCACGGACCGTAGAGCGAGTCGGGCTCGCGAGGGGTGAGCGGCTGCCCTCGGCAGGTGGCGGGGGGCTGCTGCTACCAGGCAGTGCCGGCTTCGACGGGCTGGGATCGAAGGGGAGAGCCCTCAGCGGCGTGCTCCCAATGTCGGCGTACTTCCAGAAGGGGGCTGGCGAGCTGGTGGGCATATGTTGGCTGGGTCTCTGGGCCGTGCTCGGGGGCGCCAGACGAGGATGGAGACGCTGCGGTGCGGGTGTGACGAAGGGTGCGCCCTCGTCCTGGAGATAAGAGGACGACAGGGTAGGAGGGGAGCGCGGAAGACCGTCGGTGGTGGAAGTAGCGAAGGAGCTGGAGGCGTTTAGAGCCTTTCGAGGCCGGGGCAGAGGACTGCCATCCTGGAAACTGGCGGGACCCGTTGCATCATATCGTGAGCGATGATCGGGTGTCTGTGTCGGGTTGAGCGACGAGCTGGGCGGCGGCGAGGCAACCGGGGACAGCTTGCGCTTCCTCGCCGAGCCCGGCCCACGGCTGGACATCTCCTTGGGGCCCTGGTTGATGTAGTTCAACTGGCTGGGCTGATTGGGGGAAGACGGCGCAGAAGATCCGCGATGACCGCCGCGGCCTATCTTATACGCGGTGCGGATCATCTCCTCCTTCTGCTCAGGGACAATCTCCCATTTCATGCCCTTGCCAGGCTCGTCGGTGGACCTTGGTGCCTTGCTGAAGGACTTGTTGAGAGACAAGTTGTGGCGAATCGAATTCTGTTTTCATGTTAGCTTTACTTGAGCCATGTATGCCATGGGTTGAGCGGCACTGACCTGCCACCCACTGGGTGGTTGATGCCTGTAGTATGCGTAATGATCCATGATGTAGCGATATATACCGTTCAAGTTGAGCTTGGACTCGACCGTGCTCACGATGGCCTGAGTGATCATCTGGGCGTAGCTGAACAGCGGCTTGATGTGCTTGTTCTCGTCCAGGCTGAGGTCGACGTCATTCGGGTTCATCAGCATGGTGCCGGAGCTGCCGTAGGCCGGCGACTTCTGGTGCAGAACGTTACTGCGGCCCCGGGCAGCCGAGGGCGGAGTGCCCGGGCGTTTGTAGTCCGGAGGCGCAGGCGCGAGCTGCTGGAGGGAGCTCTGCGATGCGGCCTGGCCGCGGCCGGCTTGACGAGCGCCGACGGGATCCGGGACTGGCAGCGGCAGGACGGTGCGCGATTCTGGTGCGGGACTGGACTTCAGCGGCTTGGCGGGCTGCGGCGGTCCGTGGCCGATGCGCGATGTGTACATGTCATGGATATGGAGGGCGCCCAGGTTGGGAGGCAGGACGAACATCATCTCGATGCCGCCGACCTCGATGACCTCGCCGCTCGACAGCAGATGGGGTTCGTCGTCCTTCTTAAGAATGGTGCCATTCACCTTCAAGCCGTTGCGGCCCATGACCTGCAGGAACCAGCTGCCGTGCTCCGAGTCCGGGTTGGCATCGGCGTCGAAGTAGATGACGGCGGTCCTGCGGGAGAAGACCTTGCTGGGGCCGAGATCAATGTGCACAAAGTCCTTGTGGTCCGGGTCGGTCGGGGGCGGAGCCTGGACATCCTCGGTGGCACGGCCGATGTTGACGACGAGGTGCTTGACAAAGTACGTCCACTCCTGGGCGGCGATCTTGGCGTAGGCCGAGATGTCCTTGCCGGACTCCTGCAGGGCGTTGGCGTGGTGCTTGCTCGCGTGGGTGGGGATGCTGGCCAGACATTGGGTGACCTGCGAGATCAGGGCCTCGTCGGGGTTGACACCGTTCTCGACCGTGAGGGTAGAGTCCTCCTCTTCGGCCGGCTCTGACGGGGGGTCTGGTTGCGCCTGTGACGGGAAGGAGGCGATGGGTTAGCCGGCAGCTTACTACGTGGGAGTCGCGGAAACAGAGCGGCGAGGCGGCGGTACCTTTCTTCTGCGCTTGGCAGGTCTTGATGGGGACGACAGTTCGCGGACGGGACTGGGGCTTGGGTCCCTCGCCCTGCGCGTCCTCTGGGACGATCTCCTCGCGGACGGAGGCATGTTGTTCGATGGCGGGGAGGCAGTCAGGCGCAGCCCATTGACTCGCGGGAGCGGCGGCGGGCAGGTCGTGCGTAAGAGGATATGGTGGCGATAGCCGGGGGAGGCAGCGCAGAATTGTGCGCGAGGCCGTGGGTTGATAATGCTGGCGCCAACAGTCGGTGGTCGTCGTTCGCAGAGGCCACGTGCGATGCGCAGAGAGGGTCAGGTTCGGCTGACGATGCGGGAGTGGCCTGGTGGGAGATATGCGAAAAGTCAATAATGGCTGTCTCGGATGCCACTTAACGCCCTCGAACCGGTCGCGTGTCCCTGGGGCGTGGTGGCAAGGGAGCTGAGGTTGTCGCGAGGCGACGTGAGCCGCGGGGCGGGAGAAATGGAGGGAAACGGCCTCAATTGATGTACGATGTCTTCACTGGGTGTATGTGGTGAGCAGGACGCACACAAACACATGCACATGCGAACCAAACCGCCGCCCGGTTGCTCGGCGTAAGATTCTCTCTCTCTCTCTCTCTCTCTCTCTCTCTCGTCCCTGCTTAGCGACCCAACGCGCGATCCAGAAAAAGCCACTCTGGGGTCGCGCGGGCTGGTGCTGCTGGTGCTGCTGGTGCTGGTGCTGCTGCCAGCGTGCGACGTGATGCGATGCAACGAGGAAGCGGTCGATGGGCCGGGGCAGGTACTCACAGGCAATGGCTGGGCCAATATCAGCGGCGAATCATGATGACAGCATTTATTGACTGACGATGGCGGGCGGGCGGTGGTGGTTTTTTGTTTAAAAAAATGCAGATCGATCGCGCTCTGCCTCAGAATCCCTGCCGGCCCCGGTCGCGCGTCACTGACTGCCGCCGTTCACCTGTTAGCAGCACCCGCGCACACACACGAACACGCTCAAACCTCTTTAAAGTGGCCTCTTAAAAGCTAGCAGCCTTTCTGTCGCCCTTGGCCAGTGTGCTACCTATTGCCGTGCCCGGTACCCAGTACCCAGTACCTCGAGCCCCGCCCCGCCGCCCCAGCCGTCTGCTGGTACACTCTACTCGCTCCCTCCACGCTCTCAAGACGCTTTCTGGTCTCATCTCATGTTCGCTTCGTCCACGCTCAGAATTCCCGGTCGGATCATGAGGGCAAAGAGCCTTTTGGCACAACTTTCTTTCGCTTTGAACTCATACCTTCAGCTGCTGTTGCCGCGGCCTCATGGCCACATGCGGTTCAAAACTGCTCAGCCAGCCTCTCAGCCTGGGTCCGCTAAAGCCCAGGGTCGCTTTAAGGGCTCCGCTTCCTGTCTTATGCCATTATGTGCTATATATGCCTACCCACTCACTCCATGACTCCATCTGCACCTGCACCATGTGTATACCTATATATACACACATACCTATATACATCTATCAAAAAAAGGAAACTCTGCTATTTTCGTCTTGCCCAAGCCCAGGTCCCACACACCTTCACAAGGCGCAGGTAGATAATACTTCGTTCGCGAGCATTCCATGTCCGATGCCTTGGATGCGCGTTTCGTGCTCTGCCTCAAACGGCTTGCTAAAGCGCTCGAACCGGCCATTGTCACTAGAGCTCGGCCCACATTGAATTTGGCTGCATTTGTTGTGGCAAAACTCGGGTTTCATCTTGCGCGCAGTCGACGATACAAGCCTTTTACCGTTGCGGGTAACGCCCTCGAAGTTAGTATAGGTAGCTCGAGTTCGTGTTGAGAGAGGCGTAATGTACACCAAGAACCAAGGACCAAAAACCACCTGTCCACCATCCTATAATTGCGCGCAACATCGAATAAACCGCGTCACTAGAAAATCACCCAGGTGGAAACAGTCGGTGCGGTGAGAGTGAGGATGTGCGTATATTAAACAACTCGGACGTGCGAGTAAGCAATGCGCTAGAGAGATGCTCAACCACTCCTGACAGACAAACAACCAACCGCCACCAGCAACGCAAGCAACCAGCTTGTTCGTGCTCCCTCCGTTTTGATCCTGCCAGACCGGCCAAGTGGCCAACGATACAGGAACCCCATTCACCAAAACCGAGTCTATATGATACCCCTGGCCGTCCGGGGCAGAGCGTTGGCCGCCGCCCCTCAAGATCGATGTGGAGAGAGAGACAGAGAGACAGAGACAGAGAGAGATATGATACAGTCCAATTCCGTGAGAAGAGAGGCTCCGTTCATGCATGCACAAACCCAGGAAACTTTTTCCTTTTTCGTCCCTTGCTCCGAAGAAACACAAAATCCATACCAGCCGGACCATGCTCATATTCCTACAAACCCCCAGAAAAAGCCCATCACAACCAGACCTAGTTGTTGGCAACGCTGACCCTCCTCATCTTGGGTCCGCCCGCCTGCTTCTTCTTGGTGCTCTTCTTCTGCGAATCATCTCCTTCGATGAACTTGATAAGCTCATCGATGCTGCGCGAGTCGATGGAAGGCTTCTTGCCCCGCTTCTGGAGCGGCGACGCCTGGACGTTGCCGCCGGCTCCAGATCCGAGCGCCGCATTGCGGGTAGGGAACCGGATGCCCGCGCGCAGGCGCTTAGCCTGCTGGTCCTTGTCACGCTTGGCAATGGCGACCGCGTTCTGCGTGAGCTGCTCCAGCCACGTCTCGGCCTCCTTGGTGTTGTTGTTCTCCGGGCCCAGCGTCTCCTTGAAGATGGTGTAGCAGTCGCGCATCTTGGTCAGAGCGGCCTTGGGCTCGTTGTCCAGGGCCAAGGCCTGCGCGAGCTGGAAGAGCAAGCTGGCTGAGCTCAGGGAGTTCTTGCCCATGACACGCTCGCATACGCCGAGAGCTTGCTCGAACCAGATGCGAGACTCGTGGTAAGCCTGCAGGTGCTGTAGCATGACGGCGGCGTTGTTTAGTGTGGTGATGGAGTCGGGGTGGTCAGGTCCGTAGATAACCTTCCAGAGGTCCAGGGCGTGCTTGACGTATGCGAGCGCCGACTTGCTGTCTCCGGAGCCGTGCAGGAATAGACTCAAGTTCAGGTAAGCCAGCAGCGTCTCCGCGTTGTCAACACCAAGGGTACGTTCCGACACGATGGCCGCCTTGCGCGCCAGGTCAACAGCCGCCTCCTTCTCCTCCAGCTGGTAGTAGATCTGGGCCAGGGTACCATAGGCTCGCGCAACTTCGGGGTGGAGAATGCCGTAGATTTGCTCGTGCAGGGTCAATGACTCCAGCAGCAGCTCCTGGCCAATCTTCCTGTTGTTCTGCATCAGAGAGTGGCGGCCGCCCTCCAGAGCCTCCTCGGAGATGACACTTCTCGGAGCAGAGTCCTTGACGATGGGGACAATGTTCACAATGTCGTCCGCCACAAAGGTGGTAGGAGTGCTGGTGGAGGAAGCAGTAGAAGCTGGGGAGCCGTCTCTGGCCTTCTTCTTCTTCTTGCTCTCACCCTGTGCATGCCCGTTCACGCCGTTGGTGGCAGCTCCATTGGATGTGGGCTTCTCGGCTTCAGGCTTCGACGTCTCAGAAGTGAACTGGAAGTCCTTGTATTGCAGCTGGAAACCAAGCTTCAGGGAAACCTCTCGGAGGATTTGGAGAGACTTCAATTGTGTGTGCCACTCCGACTCCAATGTGAACTTGAAGCGACGCGAAGCTTCTCCCTCGATCTCCTGGCGCAGGCTTTCAGGGGTAATCTTCGCAAAAGCCAGGTCAGCATCGGGGTAGAGCGCCTTCAGGGACTCATCGATATCGGCTGTAGGTTTGGGGTTGAAACCAAAGCCGATGAAGCAGTTGAGCAAATGGGCAATGCAGGCAGATGTCAACGGCATTGGGAGATACCGAAGATAGTTGCCGGCAACGTGCTTGAATGCTCTTGCGACGATTTCTTGTTGGCACAGCTCCCGGAGGCGCTGCAGTCTGGGTCCCTCGCAGGCTGCAATCACCTTTGTCAGGTAGCGCATGTTGATGCCACGCTTGTGCATGATGCGGGTGAGCGAAGTTCCGTCGATCGGGAAAGGCAGTTCCGAGTTCTTGATGTCGTTGACAAACTCCGGAATGACTGAGTCACGCAGATAAGTGCAAGCATCTCGCACCTCCTGCTCGTCCTTCGCCCATGCCTCCTTTTCGGCATCAGTCTGCGGTTCCTGGCCACTGAAGGCATCGGCGTTGAGGGCAAAGGAGAAGCCAGACGTGTCCAGGCGAGTAGTCTCCTCTTCAGTCGCCTCATCCTCCTTGGATTCGTCCTCCTTGGACTCACTTTCCTCCTTCTTGTCCTCGGATTTCTCATCCTTCGATTCCGACTTCTCGTCCTTCGAGTCCGACTTGCTCTCGGCAATCTTCTTCTGACGCTTTGCCAATTCCGCGTTGACCCACTCGGACCACTTATGGGTTCTCAGGGACTCGACGAGCTCTGGTCGCAGGACCGTCATCCGGTGGGGGTAGTCGGAATCACCCTTGTCGCCACTGGTACCGACTTCGTCCATCCAGGAAATATCGAGGGGGGTAACACGGTAAAGGTCGAGAACGTATTTTCGTCCATCAGTTCCCAAGAGACCCTTTGTCTCAACGGACGCCTCGAGATCAAATCGCTTGCCGTCCTTGTCCCAGACAGGGTGCTTCTTGCCCCGAAGCGCCCTGGAAAGCTTCTCAAAGGTCTCGACGAATCTCTCGTCGGCCGCAACGATGTCCTTGCCCTCAACAGCGCCGTAGTCGATGGAATGCTCGCCAGGCTCTCGCTGCTTGAAGATTCCGGGCACAATGCTCTGACCAACAATTCGCTTGCCAAGATAATCGACGACTACGGTAGCGGGGCTGTACAAGCCGTCAATGTCAAGCTGGTTGACAAGGCGCACTCCGCTGACGTCCTTGCCAGTGGCCACCCGAGCGGCATCGTCTCCACCCTCGGTCGTGAACGTGCCAACGCCGTCGGCGCCGTAAGAGAAGAAAATATTGTTGTAAACGAAGATCTGCGCGTCCCGTCCTTCTGTCGGGTTTAAGGGAGTGACCTCATTGCGGGCTACCAGAATGGCACCCTTGGCTGCGGCATCCGTGTAATCCGCAAAAAGCTTGGAAATAAACCTCTCCCTGAAAACTCGGTCCTGGACGGTCTCCTTGGGCAGCTCGCGTGCAGACTGGAACTCCTCGTTCCAGTCCCTGAGGCTGTCGGTGTTATCGACGCCTGCAATCAGGTATCCTTCTTGCGAACGGGTGATATCGGAGCTGTGCTGAGTTGTGGTCGATGATGTGCTGGGCACCAGCCAAGGGGCGGCAGGGATCGCGTTCGTCAGCTGGAAAGTCGCCAGGGGATCCTTTCGGCTGCTATACTCGATAAGCTGCTGGAAAGCCTCGGAGAACGAGGGCGAGATCTGCTCGATCAAGGTGAGGAGCGAATGGGCCGATTGGCCCTTGGGCGCAGCCTTGGGGGCAGGGTCGAATTTGCTGTTGGAAGACTTGTTGACGTAAAAGCCTCCGACGTGAGCTGTGACCTGGTACTGCTCTCCTTCGTTTGTCGAGATGACGAGGTAAAGCAGGTGACCCTTCTGTCGCAGGTGGTAAGGAGGCGGGTTCCATGACGACAAGGCGACGGACTTGACGGTCTTGGGCGCGGGCTCCTCCTCCTTGGGCAGGAGGGTCTTGGGGTTGGCCGGGGCAGAAAACTCGTAGCTGCCAGCCTGCACATTGTCGGTTTCCTTGGCCTCGGCTGCGACGGTATCGAAGAGCGATATGCCGGGGGTGACTCCGTGCAGGGTATCGGTTCTGTCGCCAGCAGCACCGATCAAGTCGCGAATCCGAATGACGTGGATCCTCGCCTCCTTTTCCGTGTAGGGATCCTCGACCAGCTTGATTTCCGCGTCTGCTCCTAGACCTTCCACGTCCGAGATCTGAACAAAGTCGTTGATGCGCTCGCCGTTGAATTCGAGATGGAAGCACGAGTACTGGAAAGCGGCGGGCAGCTCGATGATCGACTGTCGCAGCTCGTGAACTTGCTCTTGCGGCGAAGCCTGTACCAAAACACCACTTGAGTTATTGAACATCAGCTGAAAAAGGACGGCGTACGCACCACCATGTTGAGCTTGTGTGGTTCATGGGGAAGGACGACGGTCACGGGGAAGAGAGCTGCTGAGAGTCAGGACAGAAGCACGCGAATACATGATGAGGTCCGGAGACGACAAACCTTCGCCCGGTTGCTCAGCGTTCTCCTCGGCCTCGTCGGCATTGGGCTCGGCAGCAGTCTCGGATGACTGGGCAGCGGTGGCTACCTCGTTGGAAGCCGCTGCAGCTTCACGCATGTGTAAGTCATGTCGTCGGCGCAAGCATGGCAGGACGGACTGGTGTAAGTCACGGAAGGGGGATCTCACCTGGCGCCGCGGCGGCAGTCTCTTCCTTGGCAGCAGGCATAATGGGATACGGCAAGGGGAATTAAAAGACAAGTAGGGGGCAAAAGCGAGATATGCGAGAGCCAGCAGCCAACTCCGAAGTGGTGATGCAATGTACAGGCACGGAGGCAAAAGGAAATGACCAGCAAAAGGTGAAGGTAGTTCCGCTCCCCAAGATTACACTTATCTAGACGAGTAGAACCAGAAGGTAGGGTGTACTGTACAGGCGGGAGGAAGGAATGGCAGTTGTTCAATTGGGGTCATGGACATGGAATCGAGAGAAGGTATTTCCACTGGCTCGACACGAGAGCTCGATCTTTTTTCTCGGGTCGACGAAAAAAATTGACTGAACCCGGTTGGCCCCGGGGCGGCGGAGCTACCGGCAGGGCTAAACAATCCGCGTCATGATGGGCGGTCCCCCAGCAGGGTCCCAGCACCGTAAATGTGCATAAAAGGAGGTAAACCACGGCGCTGATTGGCCACAAATGCAGCTCGTCCCCCAGAGAGCTCGCTGGCCTGGGTACCCGCAGCCCCCTTCTGGTCACCCTTTGGCCCCCCCCCTTTAGGGGACACACCCCCCTGTCCATTCACATATCCATGCTACAGTATCCAATGCTATGGGAGTTTGGTGAATAGGAGCTGCAAAACCCGCATTTTCTCGTCAAATTAGGTAGTGCGGCACATCGTCTTCATGCAATTGGCTCTGCGCTTTCGGGGTACACCACTAACGAACAGCCCCCCCAGGGCTGCTATTGAGCGCCATTCCGCTTCCGGTAAACTGTCAACAAATCTGTTTGACGTTGCACGAGACCTGAGTCGGCTGAGACGGGAGAGCCGTGAATATACTCGTATTGACGACTGGCGGCTGAGGACCGCGACAGCATACTCAACATTCTTCAACAGTATACCGCACGCCCGTGGCTCGATCTCGCGCCTGCATGTTTTTGTTTATGGTGGGATAGACCCCTTGGCATCGCGCAGCGCGCATCGCTTTCATACAACGGTTCTCAGTCGAGCTCCAGGCGAACCTGAAGATATTGCTGCTCTACGTTTGCTACCACAACCCACTTGCTACCAACATGACATAGCACTGCAGGAATTTCCAGGACATATACTCTTGAGCAGTATCACTTATGGCTACCGAAGAGTTCAGGACGCCTCACCGGCCCCGGTATCGCGTCACCAAACCGCAGAATCGCGGAGAACGATCCCAGCCCTGGACAGCCTCCCGATGCCAACGGCTGCTTCGCCCTTTGCTTTCGCGCATCGCACTTCTCAGGAGAGACCTTGCTTTGCTGTCAAGTCAAAGATCTGTCACTACCCCGGCACAGGAAGACAATTCAGGAAAGCGTCGAACTGAAGACTGTGCATGGCTGCTTCCGCGCAAGAGATTGCGTCACACGTATTCTCAAAAATGTGCCGACACTTCTGTGATTGATTCCGTGGCTGCAGAGAGCTCGAGATTCAAGGCAGCTAAGGATCTCCAGCGAGACAGCTCAGCGGTTAACTCTGTCAGTTACACTCCGCTTCTGCGCCGGGCTAGGGGTCATCTTTCATCCTCCCCAATCCAAGAGCCAGAACACATCCCACAACACCAGTCCGCAGGGAGGAAAAAGGTTCTTGGATCTCAAGCCCATCTTGAGGATCGCCTCTCCCTACTGCGATCGCAGTTGTCTCAAGCCAGGTATTCGGACCTGGAGGCAATCTATCGTAGCTTGGAGGCTCTACTTACTGCAACAAGTCGCCAGCCCAGGAGAAAGGGCGCCTCATCGCTGCTTGATATGTGCTTAAGGAAGGTGCCTCAATACATCTCGGGGGTTGAGGCATGGGAAGTGTACGAGGCAGAAAAGACCGGGACCAAATCAAGTTCGACTGCATCTGACGTCTCCTCTCGGGTTTACACTGAGCTTGAAGAACTAGGGGCGTCTGATAGCGGATGGCAACACCTGAGGACTGTCGTAGAAACGGATGCTGTGAGTGTGATCAGGGACGCCATGGCCGAGGGACTGTTCCCTGACGACTTCTCAATGCTGCTGCTCGACCTCTGCGCATGCTACGGTATTGGGAACCCACTGAGTGATGCTATGCAAACCTTTCTTGCTCGCCAATACCCCGGGCCCTCCAGCTCTGGCTCAGACTTCTCTGAGGATACAAAGCTTCAACCACTAAGATTTCTTCGAGAGTTATCCCAAGACAGAGGCCGCAAGTCTCTCTTGCTCCAGCAATGTTCTCAGTTGTTATTGCAGGGGCTTCTGCCCTCTACATGGCTAGTGACGGGAGAACTGCAGCAGCTTTGCGGCCTGGCATATCAAATGCTAACGCGGGAGGAGGTTGCACTTGATGCTGTCGATTTCCTGGCCACCTCAACAGTCCTACTATGCAGACATCAGCGGTCTAAGAAAGGACAGGATGTTAAATATGAGATGGTGCTTGCTTGTCAGAGGACATTGCTGGAATTGCTGTCCACTTTATCCGCGATGCGGCGACTAGCCGAGGACGCACTACAAGACAGCGAAAGCTCACCTTCAGCAGTTAGTAAGGCAAACTATATCAGCAGAAGCCTGGGTTTCACTTTCCAAGCTTGTCTAGCCGAGATAGACTCCTGGAAAGGAAGAAGAGGCAAGCCGAGAGATCTCCTACGTTTGGCCACTTTCCTGTCCTCGGACATGGCACAAGACAGCCGCACCGACACCTCTGTAATGAACGCTGTTACGTCCGCCTACGAGAGCAAGAAAAATCAGGCTGCCCCCAAAGGCGCTTCTGCACCATCAATCTACGACAACATGATTTCGCTTGTATCATCAATTGCGAAAACGTGCGGACGGGTCGCCGGTCAATCCTCACGAGAGTATCTTGCTAGATTTGCCCAACAATTAGGACGAGTAGGGCTACAAGAGCAGATACTTGAAGGCATACTCAAGGCGGGCGCATTTTCCCTTGCGCAGCAGACCAAAAACGTCCGAGATCTCATCTTCGCTGAACAGTTGGTCTCATCAACCTTGGGCCCGGACAACGAGCAGCAAGGCAAACCACAGCAACAGTCACTATTCGAGGGCTACCGATGGGATGAGACAATCAGCGAATGGGTGACGGTCAGCCCCGTGGTGCAAAGGTCACAGGTTGCAGAGCAAGCTCACAGACCATTCACTGGCAGAAAGGCGACTCGGAGACGGACCTCGGTGCAGCCTCTATACCCCGAGCCGCGAACCCCGACAAAGTCAACACCTTCGACGTCTATTGTCGCAGACTCGCCAACAGCTCCAGAATCTGGCAGATATGCGGGCAGTGAAACATCAAGACGAGGGCTAAGGGCCGAACCAAACGGCAAAGCCGGGAGGCAAGGGGGTTCACGATGCAACGAATGTGAAGCAAGAATTCCCGATTGCCTCTCCGGCAGAAGTTGCGGTAGATGCAACAACGAGTCCGCCAAGAGGGGTGTTCATGATGAGCTGGGCCATGACAATGATGACGACAACAAAGAGAACCGGGAGCAGGTACGGCGGAAGCGATACAGTGACGTGCCAAGATCAGTCCAGCCCGGTACGAAGCGGCGCATTCGTCTGTCCGGCGGCGGTGCTCACAGCGACGACGAGCTTGGGATATAGTATGCAGAAAATAGACACCATAAGCCAATGGCGAACCGCGCAAAAGCTGGCTGTAAATCTACCCTCTCATCGGGCGTCGCCCGGTTCTGAAACCTCTCGAGCGGATGAATGCAGCCACATAAACTTGGAAGAGCAACCCAGCTCGTCCGCATAGTCAGGAATCCAGATGGGAGCAATCCCTCTCCTCGGCGGAGCCAGCGACAGAGTTTGCCAGAAACGCTGTGCTGCTTGGCAGATCTGCGCCGGGATGATGACACGATCTTCATGGCATGATCCCTCGCCCGTATGCCTGCGCCCCCTCAGAGCATCACGGGCAGTGATGGGAGCAAACTTGCTCAACCGTGAGCAACAATACAAGAAACACAGGGCCCCAGCCGGCGTGAGACGAAACGACACAAGCCTTGTCCTGAGCGTGGAAGTGGACCAGCAAGTCGCGGACGCGGCAAGGTGTGCCGAACTTGTGTTCTGGATCGAGTATCTAGAGTGATGTAGGATGATGAGCGGCGGCGATGGACGAGGAGTCGGGGATCAGCAAAGAGCCTCCTCGCCGGGCCTACTGAGCCCTTGTGCAGTCGGGCCCCCATCCCAGTCACAGATCACCGAAGAAGCATGTACGTCAGGCCGGCAAAACAGTCCGTGTAGCATGTGTCAAGAGAAGACTGGATATGGACGAATCATATAGTGAACAGCAGGACCCGAATATAGAGACCCGGAAATGTCATGCCAAGCCAAAACCTAGAACGTCGAGCCCGTTGGGCTAGCCAGCCCGACCCAAGTTGACGTGCTTGTGGGGGCAGCGAGCAAGTCTGCCACTCTTCTTCTTTTCTTTCTCTGGCGTGCGTTGTGTTGCGTGTTGCGTGTGTGTGTGTGTGTGTGTGTGTGTGTGTGTGTGTGTGTGGGAATACCAGCCCGCGCAGCTATGCGCCGCCGATGTCCCAAGCAAGGCCTTGCTCCCCAAGTCATGAAACCGTTGGCTCGTCTCAACCTGCCCACCCCCAAAAAGCGCCCGCCGCGGGAACTCGCCCCAATTCCGATCCACACCCGGGATCCTGTAAATCAATTACTCAGGTCCCAGCTCCGGAGAGGAGGGGGGAAGCACACTTTGTATAATTGAGTGTTCCTTGTGCGGCGACGAAGAGTGCAAAGTGAGCGAGCCATCTCGCCTCGGGCAGACATACCTTATGTAAGCCGTGTGGTCGGGTTACCAAGCGATGTAGAAGCGGGTTGAGACAAGCCGGGGGGCCTGGACCCTTGCTGATGAGCTATTGGGGTGTACGGAGTATAGTCACTCTATTTTTGAAAATCACAATCTCGGCGCCCTTCCCGATGTAACTCAATTCCACGTTGCCTCCCCATCATCCCCAGGGCAATCTATGTGCTGTCGTACCAAAATCCGTCAACCTCAGATACATACTGGCCCCCGGAGATGAGGGTTGTTGCCCGTTGCAAGAGATAAAGTTCGGCTATCGCCCCCGAGGACTCAGATTCTGCTTAGCGCAGCCAGCCGGTTGGCAGCCAGCCCGCCCGATAGCTACTGAGTTCAACGGTCGCGTGAGTAGTCTATTCTGTGGAGAGGCTTCTACGACTATCGGGGTATTCTAGTAGTATTCGTAACACAATGCATCATCGGGAATCACAAGACGTGGCAACAGAGATGTTACCGCAATCCCGACCTTGACTCAGATGGGTGTTTGACGACATGCATGTGTCCGCTGTCGCGGAGCATGAGTCGCATGGCCGTGGCACCGGCGCGCCTCATGGCATTGAGTCAACTTAGAGTTCTAGGGAATACGGAGGATTGGTTCCAAGCAAGATCGAGCGGCAACACCTTTCAGAAAATTTGTGCATCCGGCATGAGGCCTCTTGAGTGTCAGATCAAGAGGCTGAATGCCTGGCTATTATCAGAGAGACGGCGGAGGTCGATCATGTTGTGTGGTTTCCATGGAGCGCCGTGACCTCGACGGGGCCGGACAAATTAGCATTTGGATCTGTGACAAAAAAGAAATTGAGAAGCAGCGGCCCCTGGGGTTGGTGTTTGGGTGATCCGATTCTGGAAAAACAGGTGGTCCCGGAGTCTCTGTTTCTTTTTTCGTGAAGTGGGCGGTTTCAGAATAGCACAGCATGATGACTCTTATGTCCTGGGTCGAGCTTCAGATGAAAGGTGCCAGAGGTCTTGGTCTCTTCCCAAATCGATCTGATCTGAAAACTCCCATCTGTGACCAGATGATTCACAGGTAACGTAAGGACGACATGTTTTGAAGAGTGAGAATACCAATAAGTGGAAAAATCGGCATACGACCCGAGTCGCTGTGCGAAATAGAGTTTCCAGCCGCCGCAAAAGTCAAAGTTTGCAGCATGCCATTAATATATCTTGGGAGTGCCTTGAGCTAGTGCACTACAGGGTTCCGGACTTGGCTACAGTAGATGAGATAATCTCGCTCACGGTGATTGATGCCGTCCTTTATCAATGGGACCGTACCGTGGTATCCTGTAGACTCGGGATGATGGAGTGGGCTGAGGGCGGAGGGAGCACTGATCATTCTGGGGCCTGCCACGCAAAGAGCGGGCTCCAAAAACCAAGCAACGCCCTCTGCTGGAGGATAGACTCCAGGATACGCTGCCAGCCGCAATTACGGGATGATCGTGCGTAACATGCGCAGTGGGCCGTCTCTCTTGGTCCTGCCTCTGGGCGAGCTGGCGAGATGGCATACGAAGGAGTACGACTACGGGACAGAGGTCGCCTGGATGGGGCTGGCAGATCTGGGCAGCTCGCCGCCCTGATTCGTGGAGGCTGTACCGCGGAGAGATCTGAGCTAGGGAATGGCGAGCGGCCATTGGTGCAGCACCCCCGGCACTTACCCAAAGAAGCCCCAGGGTACCTGGCTTGCACCCGCTGTCGCCCAGTAGCTGGTCTGGCTGGTGCCGTTTCAGAGGCCAGCCACAACCCGGCCCCCCGCCTGGCCACCGCCCACACGCAATGCATCAATCCATCGGCCCATCAATCGTGGCCCCTGGACCGCAGGACGACGGGCCAAGACAAAACAAGAGCACGCGCGGTCGTCGTCAGATGTGGGAAACGAAACTCTACTTACCTGGTGCGGCGAGAGGCTGCGCCAATCTGGATGGCGTGGTGGCCAGAAGAGAAACACGCCGGTGGGGGAAGAGGAGAGGAGCATCGTGGCAGAAAACCGGGCAAGTCGTGACGGCGAAACGCGAAACAAAGCGTTGTGTGCCTCAGCAATCAGCATTCTCCCATCGCACATGGATTCACTGAGCGGCGCAACTGGAGAAGGAGGGCCGAATGGCTGCTGTGCAGTTGCAGGACAGCCATCAGAAAGCCCGACTGGTCGGTCGATCCGTGGGCTCGCTCTCCATGATCTGCCCAGTCAAGCAAGTGGGCATGAGCTTGTCGGCCAGTCAAAGCCAGTCGAGGCCGGCCAGTCTGACCCCCTCTGACAGACGGTCGGGTGCCTTGCATTGGTGTGGAAAAACAAGAGGGTGCTTAACTTTATGTGGCGTGGCGACCGGTGCTCGGCTTGGCACGAGTCGTATCCTCGTGTATGAATAACGGCCTACGGGGGACTGCCCTGGATGTCGAGGCCCCATGAGTCCATGACTGATGCCGCTTGCGATGCAGGCCTGATGTCAGAGGGAGCAGAGATTTGCGAATGGCGAAAAGGGCAGCAGATTGACTTTTCTGCTCCTACCGAGCAATGGGTCTCCGCATGCAGAGTGCTTGACAGCTTGAGTGCTTGTACGACACACACACACACACACACACACAACGTGGATGACGACGGCACGGGGCGCTGACGATTTCCCTGGCGTTCTGGATCTGCTGTGGCCCATGGCCCGTCACAAGCGAGGGCCCAGCAGAGCCCAAGGGCCCCACTGATCAGTGGGAAGGCGACAGGGTTGGCGGGGTGGGGTAGAGGCTGTAGCGCCCCAAAGACCGCCCAGTCCGTCAGCGGGCAGGGGCAAGGGGGTTGACCTCATTGGCCTCCTATAATTTATCTCGGGCAACGACCCCTACCTCATATACCGGCGGCTCTACCTCTTCTGGCAGCCCATCTCGTTTTGCAATTTATTAGTCTCTGCATCTCCAGTCTGCACCCGCTCGTCTGGGAGCCTCAATACCCAGCTTTCTTTACTTCATTCCTTTGGGAGGTTGACGTCCTTTCGCACTCTTTTCCCACACACCCCCATTCACCCCGTCCATTTGACTAGGCGGCATCCTTTCTCCCGCCGCCCCGTTTTCTTCTCCTTCTCCTTCTCTCGGCTCAAGCCAGTCCGTGGTTGAGGCGCTCGTGGATCCCCCCCTTTGCTGGCTTACACTGTCGATCGACGATCCATCCAGAGCAAAGTCCGTCCGTGGGAGGAAAAGAAGAGACCTAGGTCACAGTTCATTTCGACAATCCAACGCAGCAGCGCTGCCGTTTTAACCCATTTGCGTTCTCTACCTACCGCCGATTAAAGTTGATCTTGTTGGCGCAACAAACGCCTCGTCCGATGATCATCGGCTGCTGAGGCTCCCTTCTCTATCAAAATCAAGATTACGATCAACACGACGTAAGAACACACTATCCAGCCCGCGTTCTTAGTCCCGATCTCGACGTCTAGACCTCCAAACCACGCAGCTGGTTTTCACCTTCTTTCAACAACACACATTTACGAGCACGTTATCGACGCTTCTTCACCATGGCAGCCGGCGGAGGAAACAGCAGTGCGCCTGCTACGCCCAACAGCGAATACCAGTCGTCAACATGGACTCCAGACATGGAAAACGATGCCCTCGCCAACTACCTGCTCTGGGTCTGCGCCATCATTGCCGCCGCCCTTATCGCCTGGAGAGGCACCACTTCTTTCGTCAAGTATGTTCGCCATGTCAGCAGTCTCAACAACGACACGCAGCGGTACTTCGCACACACCTCCGGCAAAGTATCCTGGTTCAAGAAGAACATTCTCTACTCGCCAATCTTCAGCAAGCGCCACAACCGCGAGTTTCAACTCAGCACGGCCGCCAACATGGGCACTCTCCCCACTCGCTTCCAACTGGTGTTCTTGGTCGGGTATCTGGCGACAAACGTAGCCTTCTGCGTCGTCAACATTCCCTTTGAGAGCTTCACCGATGGTGGAAAGCAGCTGAGAAACCGAAGCGGTACATTGGCCGTCGTCAACATGGTACGAGCCGTCCCGCATTCTAGACCCCGCGTTGCAATTTGAGGCTGACATTTGTTGCAGATTCCCCTTTTCGTCATGGCCGGCAGGAACAACCCACTCATCAAGTGGCTCGGCATCTCCTTTGACACCTTCAACCTCCTCCACCGATGGTTCGGTCGCATCGTCGTCCTCGAGACCGTCTGCCACGTGTTGTCATTCTTTGCCGTCTCGGGCAAGTCTGGTGGCTGGGGCCCGGTCTTCATCCACGCCTGGGAGAAGCCCTTCCTGTTCTGGGGTTTCATCGCCACCATCGCCTTTGTGCTCATCTTTTTCCAAGCTGCGAGTATCTCTAGACACGCCTTCTACGAGACTTTCAAGGTGATTCACATCAGCTTGGCCGCACTTTCGATTGTTGGTCTGTGGTATCACTTGACGGGGGCTCAGCTGCCCCAGATCAAGTGGCTCATTGGTGTCATCCCGATTTGGGCTTTGGACAGAGTCGCACGTTTCCTACGCATCGCCTACCACAACTTTGGCAATGGAGGCACAAAGACGTTGGTGGAGGCCCTGCCCGGCGACGCTGTGCGCGTCACCGTCACTATGGCTCGCCCCTGGACCTTCAAGGCCGGCCAGCACGCCTACCTGTACATGCCCGCCATCAGCTTGTGGCAGTCGCACCCGTTCTCGTTGGCATGGAGCGAGGAGGCCGAGGACCTGGACTCGGAGAAGCTCGCGATGAACCGACAAGACGTCCTCGAGATGCGCAAGACAACCATGTCCTTCGTCATCCGAGCCCGTACCGGAATGACCAAGAACCTCTACGACCGAGCAGCACAGAAGCCCGAGGGCCGCCTTCTTACAACATGCTTTGTCGAAGGACCCTACGGAGGATTGCACATGATGCACTCGTACGGCACAGTCATGCTGTTTGCCGGCGGTGTCGGCATCACTCACCAGGTCCCCCACGTCCGCGATCTCGTTGCCGGCTATGCCAACGGCACTGTAGCAACGCGTAAGATTGTGCTGGTCTGGATCATCCAGAGCCCGGAACACCTGGAGTGGATTCGGCCCTGGATGACGGAGATTCTCGCCATGGAGAAGCGACGAGACATTCTCCGGATCATGCTCTTCGTCAGCCGACCGCGCTCTACCAAGGAAATCCACAGCCCTTCATCGACAGTACAGATGTTCCCGGGCAGACCCAACATCGACACTCTCCTGGGCATCGAGATGGAGAACCAGGTTGGTGCCATGGGTGTATCGGTCTGTGGTCCTGGTGCGTTGAGCGACGAGGTCCGACAGTCGGTGCGAAGGCGGCAACACAACGGAGCCATCGATTTTGTCGATGAGGCTTTCACCTGGTAATGGGTATAGTCGACCGATAATCTGTATTCATGTGCACATATTTCGCCATGGGTGTTGTGCGGCTACGGTGTTGCTATGGGTTTGGGGCTATTTTGTCGATTTCTTCCACTTGTCCGATGCCTTTTTTTTTTTCTATCCGGCTCGAGACGTGTTTCTTCTGTGCATATTTCAACCGAGGTCGATTTGCGAGACGACCCAGACTTTGTCAAATATTACTGTATATGGAAAGGAGTCTTCCAGGTTCTGTTTAGAATGGGGGGAGGTTGCCGCCTACGTTGGCATGGGCACATACATTGGTGTGGTACAGCATGGCACTTGGCCCTTAGATGCTCCCAGCTAGAAGAACAAATACGAGTGACGTAAATGATCTATCAAATGGATGCTCTTATCTTGGTGATCGAGCCCGCGTTACAGATTCAAATCGAGTCTACTGCACAATGCACTTGAGGAGTAACTACAGTTCACGCCATCTCGTTTGAAACTAGACGCCCCTCGTCCCCAACATCGTGTTAGTTCAGCCACGCGTCCCCCATTGCCTTTGTCTCGCGTCCTCAGGTTCGAGAAGTTATGGAAGTTGTGCTGAGACTAGACGACCGTCTGCATTTGGAAACCAGAGAATACTCTGGTACGCTCCAATTCAGTGGCCAGCTTACGCGAGTGTTGAGCCTACAGTGCACACATACTTTCGAGCAAACCCATGGTCTCATTGGCCCGACTGGGCGTCCAAGAGTAGCAGCATGCATATGCAGCCAGTGAAGCTGAGGAAGGCTGATGTCAGATAGATGCTCGAGTAGGGCATGTATCACTCACTGACTTTATTTGTTCTCATCCCCCTTCCTGACTGCCTCTTGTTGGTCTTGGGATACGACGCGCCAGTAGGTCGACAAAAAAAAACCGTGAGATGCTGTCTTCCCAACTCCGTGCTCGGTCACTCACTCACTTACTGTGGACCAAGTGAGCAACGGACACAAGACTCCTCCAAATGGCCGCTGAGCCAATTATCTACACGAAGCATGATGATGACGAACTGGCGGTTCAATCACCCAACTTGGGTCCTCTTGACCCGACCAGACCCGTAACCCCCCCTTCCCCCACAGCAGCCTACTTAAGCACTTAAGTTACGTAGTGCGTGAATCCGCCGCCCGGTGGGCTGGATCGCCCGCCGCCGCGACCCCGCGCAAGGCATCCTGACAGGGGAACAGGGGGGTTGTTTTCCCATCCCGTCAAGCCCGGGTGACCCCATTGCCGCCAGCGAGCTGAATGATTCTCCGCTGCCCTCCTCCGGTCGTAGGGCGGACGTTAAAGACACCACCAACCCGCTCGAGCCTCTCTTGCTTTCCGTTCGTTCTTGATGACTTCTGTGCCTACCTCGATCCCATACGCATCCTCCTCCCGAACCTGTCGTTTGAGAACCTTGCAAGCCTCGATCTAGGGCCCCGCGTAGCTCGTAACCCTCCCGTCTGCCCCGAGACTAAACCCCCATAATCCCACCCGGGTCGTCTTTATCGCTGCTACCTGCTACCTTATCGGTCCCCAGCTGCCCCCGTCATCGTCATCCCCTCGAGCTCCGCCGTCTGAGACTATTCGACAGCCCGCCCAACACCTGTCTTTACAACTGCCTGTCCGACGCTGCCGCGTGCTTTACCCTTTCGAAACCCAGCATCATACCGGCCGAGGGGGGTCCGCAGCCACTCCGGACCTCTGTATACGCCCGTGACATCGAGGACAACCCCCAAAGAAGGCGGGGACTCAAAAACACCCGAACAGAACTACCTCGAGCCCGAACCGGCCGCGCCCGCCTATTTCTCTCCGACTTGCTTCCCCCCCCCCCCCCCCCACCCCCCCCCCCCCCCCCCCGCCCC